AGAACTGATGCACTCTGAATGTAGATCTAAGTATATTATTTTTCATTTTTTAAATTTTTTTAAATTTTTTTTCTTTTGGTCTATTTCTTCTTTCACAACATGATTTATGTGGAAATGTTCTACATGGTTGCAAAGGGAAGGAGAAAATTTGGAACTCAAAAACTTTTTAAATTAATGTTAAAAATTGTCTTTATATGTAATTGTGAAAAAATATCTTTTAAAAAAGAACATACTGTAGAGATGAGGCCCTTACAATAGGTATGATCTGCAGGGATTTGGGGCTTTCAAAAATAAGGAATCCTGCCCCAGGAGAAGAGGAATCAGAGCTCCTTTGGGGGCAGCTGACACCAAAGAGTGGGAGGGTAGGGACTTAGGGAGGAGACTTAAAGGTAAGGGGTGGGGGAAGAGAATGACTCTGAGGAGGGTAAAGGTCAATAATAAACTGCAAAATCAGGGACATAGTAAAATTCCTACCTTGGGGCAAAATACTCTCTATCTGGGACAGGAATAATTCTAAATGTTTACTTTGTTTCTTAATTAGGTAAATGTGATAAAAAACTGTTGGTCAACCCAAATTATCTGTGGTCATTTTATCTAAAGATCACCATTCTCTTACTAGTTGTGTTGTAAAATGCTAGCCTTAGCCTAGAAAACAAAATCAGATACAGTTCCCTCCACTTGGCAGAGAGGCTGTGGTCTACAGAGGAAGAAGAAGGCTGTATATTCTGTCAGATGCAGTTATGTTGGCAGGTTTTGTTGAATTGTTTATTTGTGAAGTATATATGTATGTATGTGTGTGTATGTATGTGTGCATGTATCTTTGCATTACAGGGAACTGCTCCATGGGAATAGGGTGGGTATGAATCTGATAATGACCAGGTTATAAATACATAATATATCAATAAACTTTATAAACCACTCTTCCCCCCCCAAGAAAATTTAATGTGATGAGTTTCACAGCGTTTGCTAGTGTTTCAAATCATTGAAGCTAGAAAGAATGATTTGTTTTAAGTAATAGTACTTTTGGAAACAATAGTGAATATATGTTACATTGCCACTTGAAAAGAATAACATTACGATGTTGAAAAAAAATTCTTCCCTAATTCAAAATTCCTAAGAAAGGGGAGTGGAATTGCTTCTCTGCAGAAACATTTAAGTGTTGTAGATGAGAAAGAAAGAGGGACAGAGGAGATATTTTGTTAAACGAGTTGGGCTTGGAGCTTGGAGCTATATTTTACAGCAAGGAGAATGGGGGGTGGTGAAGTGAGGAGTCCAGGCTTGTATTTTGCACACCTGGCAAAGAAATTGACACCAGAACCCTTCCGTGGAGCAGATTTGTAAAAACAAAAACAAAAAAACCAAAGTAGTGAGCATCCTGAGCTAGGGTACTGAGTTTGAAAAGAGAGCTGTGCTTCCTATAAGGAAGAGAGACTGAGTCAGTAGGGAAGCCCCATCGGTGCAAAAGAAGAGAAGAATAGAGTTTCTAAGTATGCTCAGACTGGTCCTCTGGCTCGCACGATGATTGACAGCTCAGCTTGTCTTACTCCCTAGTGCCACCTGGTGGTTATTACCACTATGAGCCGCTCAAGAGTTGGAAGGAATCTCAGAAAGCCATCCAGTTTAGCCTCCTAATTTTACAGATGAGGAAACTGAGCTCCGAGAGTTGATTTGCCTGAGGTCACATATGTTGTAAATGGCAACGCTGGGATTTGAACCCAGGTCCTCTGACTCTCGATTCTAGTGCTCTTCCCATTGTACAACATTTTGTGGGTGCTTCCTTTGTACATCACTATCTTTTCCCAATAACAACCCATTCAGAAAGAGCCCTCCTTCGTAACAAAGACTTATATCTAAGCAAAACAAACCAACAGAGTGACCGTGCCAGACAGCATAAGCCTCATTGCACGCCCATAGCCCACCATCTCTCTGCTGAGAGGAGGAAACCATGTTTCACAGCCAAGGCTCCAAAGAATGACAGTTGTTCACTGCCTTAATCACAGTTGTAACATCTTTCAAAGCTGCTTTCAGCTACATTATTTGAGTCATTGTATAAATTATTCTCCTGTCTAATGCTAGTTAATCAATAAATCCACAAGCAATTACTAAGTGCCTAAGTACCTCAAGCACTTGATAAGCTTGAGATAAAAATACAGGAAACTGTCCCTGCCCTCAGGGTACAAAACAATAATAATAATAATAATAAATAACAATAATAATAGCTAGAATTTATGTAGCTGTTTACGATTTGCAAGGTATTTTACACATGTTATCTCATTTTGATCCTCACAGTTCTAGAAGGTTGGTGCTATTACCATTCCCATTTTACAGATGAGAAAACTGAGGCTGAGAGAAAGGTAAAGTGACTCATCTATAGCTAGTAAGTAGAACAGGCAGGACTTGAACTGAGGTCTTCTTGACTCCAGATATTGCTCTCAATCTATTGCATCACCTACAATCAATCACCTCAGGCTTCTTTTAGGTGAATTTAGAATTTAGCATTCAAACTCTGCTTTGGAGAGTGCAACTCCAATGGGCTGGCCACATTGTTCGAATGCAAAAGATATGCTTGCCAAAAAGACTATTTTATGGAGAACTCACACAGGGCAAGCACTCACATGGTGGTCAAAAGAAGCGATACAAGGACTCTCTCAAGGTCTCTCTTAAGAACTTTGGAGTTGATGGTGTGACATGGGAGACACTGGCACAGGACTGCCCAGCATGGCATGCCCTCATCAGAGATAGTGCTGTGCTCTGTGAGCAAAGCAGAATTGAAGTAGCTCAAAGGAAACTCAAGATATGTACTTAGAGAATCCACCCCTAGGTTCACACAGACTACTCGTGTCTGAACCGTGGTAGAGCATTCTGGCCTGATCAGCCACAGTCAGACGCACTAAAACATGATCCTAGAGTAGTGGTGTCATTTTGGTACTCTTCAAAAACAAAGGATAGAAGGACTTGAGTTCAAATCCAGCCTCGGACACTTGACACTTACCAGCTGTGTGACCCTGGGCAAGTCACTCAACCCCATTGCCTAGCAAAAACAAAGAAAACAGACAACAAGAAGGGAACCTCCTTATCTCTTCCAGTTCGACAGCTGTTCTCTGAGTTCCTGCCCAGATGCTGAGGACTCCCCAAAGCTTGGCCGTGATTCAGCATCAGCTCAGGAATGACACCCCATAGTCCTTGCCTCCTTCACCTTGAGCCTTGGCTGGCCCTGGTCTGGGGCTGTAGAGGTAGCTGGTAGGTTTCAGCTCCTGCGTGATCTTGGTCTAGCTGTGGATGGACTCCAGCCAAAGCCAGGCAATCATCCCTCTGCCCACCCTGCCTGGGATAGGATCAATGGCCTCGAACCCCACAGATGGTGTAAGTAAGGCTGAACTGCCCCACCCCCTCTGAGAAGGCAGAGCCCCCTGGCCGAATGGACAGACTGCAGTTCTGGTCCATGCAGGAGGAATCCTGGGACCACAGAGTACTGGAGCTGCAAAGGAACTTGGAAATCATCTATTTCAGTTGTCTCACTTACAGAGTGGGAAACTGAGGCCCAGAGAAGTCCAAGTTTATGCAGCAAGTTTAGGCATGGAGGAAAACCTAGACTTTCAGCCCCCTCAGTCTGGCCTGCCCTCCCCAATTTGTGTCCATGGGCCATTGATAATGGAGTTGGAAATCCTAAAATCCAACCTTCTGATTTCACACATGATTTCATCATCTCTTCCCACCAAGCCCTCCCTTCTTCCTCACTACTCAAGGCACCACTACCTTCCCAGTCGCCTGTGCTCAAAACGTCGTTGCCATCCTCCACTTCTCACCCTCTCTCATGATCCCTCCCCCCTTCTACCTAACCATTATTAGGTCCTGTTGTTTCTAGCTTTATAACATCTCTCCTACATGCACCCTTCCTCTCCCTTGGCACCGCTACCACCCTGGTACAAGCCTTCATCACTTCATTCCTGGACTAGTACAGCTGCTTCCCAGTTGGTCTCCCTCCTTCAAGTCTCTCCCCACCCCAATCCACCCTTCCTTCAGCTGTCAAATTGATCTTCTAAAGCCACAGCACCTCCTCTCCTCAATAAATTCCAGTGACTCCCTATTACCTCCAAATATAAAATGCTCTGTTTGGCTTCTCAAGCCCTTCAAAACCTCGCTCTCTTTCCTTTTCTGTCTTACACTTGAACCCCCTCTGAGCACTCTATAGCCCAGCAACACTGGCCTTCTTCACACAGGACACTCCATCTCCTTACTCAAGAATTCCCCCTACACCTGGGATGTTCTCCTTGCCTACGCCTCCTGTCTTTCCCAGCCTCTTTCAAGACTCATTTCAAATCCTACTTTCTTCAACAGGTTTTTCAAGATTTCCCAATTGCTCTTTCCAACCAAAGCTTCCCAATCCCTCTGAGATTACCTTCCACTGACCCTGCAGAAATCTTGTCTATACAACTTTTCCCATGCTGTCTCCCCCACTAGGATGTGAGCACCTTGAAGACAGGGACTGTTTATGCCTTCTTTTGTATGGCTGGGGTTTAGCACAGTGAAGTAACATTTAAATGCTTGTTGACTGACTGAAGGAGTGACTCACCTAGGCTCTAAGAAATTAAGTAAATGACTTGCCCAAGGTCATACAAGTAGTAAGTTTGAGTTGGAATTCAAATACAGGCTCTCTGGTGCCAACCCGGAGCTCTTTCTTTCAGACAGGATCAGTCCCCGCTGTTTACAGATGAGGAAACTGAGGTGCAGGGGGATGGATCACCTTGCCTGATTGTCACTTGGGTTACAAGGTACAGAGACTAGATTCTTAGCCCAGCTTCCTTCCATCTAAGACTGTCTCCCTTCTTCAGCCTTCTGGGGTCCCCTTGAGGAAGCCCCCAAGCCAGGCTCCCCACCCTGCTGGTCAGACAAGCAGCCCCTTCTTCTCTGTCTTCTCAGGTGACTCCGATCCCACCTCAGCCAATCCCCTCCAGCTCCAAGTTCACAGCGCCCAGCCCCGCCTCCTGGGCTGGCTCAGGGGAGTGAGAGAGGCAGACCGGACAAGTGAGCCTCTTTCCCTGGCCCCATCGGAGCACCAGTGCCTTCGCCTCTCTAGGAACGGGCAACAGGGGACCGGAACGCTTTGGGGAACCCGAAGCCCCCACCATGGCAGGGATGGTCTGGAGCCTCCGACTGTTTGTTCTCTTCCAGGTGCTCAGCCTCTCCCTGGCCCAGATTGTAAGTGTGCCCTCAGCTTTGGGGTCCTTCAAAGGGGGAGGGATGTCAGCCCGCTCCTTTGCTCCCCACTGCAGCCTGGGGGAGTCCTGTTCTGAGGCGTCTGTTTGCACATCACCCCTGCCATCCTGTCCTCAAGCTTGGGGAGTGCAGGTTGGAAGTTGGAAGGAAGAGGGGTAATCGCTCTTTTGAGGGTCCTCCCTGCTTCCCAATGCAGAGTCCTCAGAGCCTTCCCCATTTCTCGCTGGGGCACCCCAAGACTAGGTTTAGAGCTGGATTGAAAATTTGGGATTCTTCTCCATGGGTTGGGATCAAATCTTGTGGATATGAGGGGCTACTTTCTGCTTGGGGGTCAGGGGGTTTCCTTTGCTCCCTTTCTTATAGGCTCCAGTTTCTGATTCTCTCTATCCCCTAAGAAACTCTGCCAGATAAAGTTGGGGCTCCTATTGGGTAGGAGGATGTAGGGCATGTGGAGAACCCACAAATATTTGTGGACCACCCTCTTTGTACAAGGTTGGAGAGACAAACTCCCTGTAGTTCATGGTTGGGGATTGGGGGTAAAGGTGGAGGTATCCCTATTTCTTTGTATACCACACAGTTCCATCCTGATCCTGGGTGGATGGGGGACACTTGTCCAGGAAAGGAATCCCAGATCTGGGGCCCCCAGAGTCAGACAGTCTAGCGGTTGAAGGAAAGGTGTTTGGGCAGAGCTGGGAAGCCAGGACAATAGCCCCCATTCATGGGTCTCTCCCAAACCCTCCCTCCCTCTCTCCCAGCGTCTGGAGGCTCAGGTTTAGAAGCCACAGTTAATTTCAGTTTCTGGGTTTTGGATGGCTAGAATGTAGGGAGCTTACCAAGTAGAAATGTCACTTCTCTTTGAATCTCAATTTCTCCATCAGAAAAATGGGTCTAATATTACCTACACTCACCTCACAGAGCAGTTGTGAGGAAAATACTTTGAAAACTTTAAGTCTGAGGTGTGTGTACTGGGGGGGGGGAGTTTGCAGAGACTGACCTAGAAAAGAACAGACAGCTAGAAAGGGCTTCTTTTTTGGTGACTCAGAGCTGTGATTTCATTAGTGAAAGGAATTCCCAGTGCGGAAAGTCCTTTCACCAATGAAGATTCACAACTCACCATCTTAGAGAGCTGCCAGAGCAAAAAGGAAGGTTGAATAGCTTGCTCAGGGTCAGAGGGCTAGTATGTCTCAGGGACGGGACTGGAACCCAGATCTTCTTGATTCCAAGCCTGGCTTTCTAGCCACTCTCCTACCTCTCAAGAAGGGATCTTAGAATGGAGACTGTTAGAGAAGAAAGAAACACAGAGACCACCCAGCTCGATGTCCTCATTTTGTAGATGAGGACACTGAAGCCCAGAGAGGGAAAGAGACTTGTGTAACATCACACAGAGTCAATGGCAGGTCGTGGATCTGTCCAAGTGTAGGCTTCTGGCCCCATACCTAAGCTGGGATGTCTTTACATTGCCTCCTGGAAGCAGGGGAATGGTTCTTCCTTTCTGGTCTGAGGGAAGCCAGCCAGCCATTTTCTAGGCTGTAGAAGCCCAAGATTTCAGCACCCAAGCTGGGAAGAGCATGTTGGGAGTGTGGAAAGGTGGAGAATTCTGGAGTAAGTGGAGATTGCCACAGCTATAAATGACAACCCTGGAGCTGAGGGTAAATCTGGGGAGAGGGGTCGGGGCAGCAGGAACAGAAAAGAAAAATGTCCAGACCTATCTGGGAGACCTATCTGGGGTGGACATTCTAGGCTTCCCCAGCCTTCCCTTAACCTAACAGAGAGGAGACAGAATTGAGTTTGGAGTTGGGTTCAACTCTACTCTTTGCCAGCAAGACATTTACTTCTCTCCGCCTCAATTTCCTCTTCTGTAAAATAAGGAGATTGAATCAGATGGCCCCTGCAACCTCTTCTGGCCCAGATAATCTAATTCTGCGATCTGCCTGCCCCTTCTGGGAGGCAGCAAGGTTCACAGGACTGCAGGCTGGAAATCAGGACACCCGGACCTTGCATCATCCTCTTTCTGGCTTTGGGACCCTGAACATTCACCTGGATCCCAGCATCCTGCTTAGTGTGGGCAATGGAGGGTCTTGAGAGATCATGAAGTCCAACCCTCTCATGTTAATGATTATCCTTAAGGTCCCTTAGAGGATATTTGACGATTCTATTCCATCCTAATCTAGCCTATGTTTTATCTTATACTGTATCCTCTCCTATCTCTTATGCTAATCTATCCCAGGCTGCTTTAGTCTTTGCCACCCTTTTCCACCTCACTCTATGACCCATTCATCTTAGCCTTCTCAGTGGTACCCCCCTTTATACAAGACGATACAGAAACACAGGTTCAAAGATCCGTAGAGTTGGAAGAGACCTCGGAGACTCTCAAGGAATCCCCGCTATAACATACCTGACAAGTGGTGGTCCAGCCCCTGCTCGAAGAGCCCCCAGAGCCCCAGAGAAGGGCCGGGAAGGGGTCCTGGGCAGACTGCCCAGGTCCCTTCCAGGCTCTCCCAGGACTAGGGTCTTCTGGGCCATGTACAGTGGGAACTGGCACCTTGGCTGGGCTCAAGCCTCCTGCCCACTCTTCCTCTGCCCTTCCCAGACTCTCGGCTGACTAGGTTTCACGTGTGTTTGTTTCCAGAGAGGCCCTCCAGGAGAACCGGGGCCCCCTGGCCCCCCAGGCCCGCCAGGAGTGCCAGGCTCAGATGGCCTTGACGTGAGTAGGCAGCCTGGGACTGGGCAGGAGCTGGAGCTGGAGGGGGAGGAGGAAACAGGGAGGCGGGGCAGGTGGACAAAGAGGCCCTTTGTCTGGGGGGGCCCTGGGGACTGTGGGGGGATGGCCCACCAGAAGAGGGCGCCAGGCTGGACCACAACCCTCTGCAATTCATCAAAGCTGCAGTGTCCAGCAAAGGTGGGGGAGCAGGGGGAGGTAGAAGAACAGCTCACAAACGCCCTCCCCACACCCCACCTTTCCAATAACATCCCTTCTAGGATACCACGTCCCCCTCCTTCCTTGGTCTCCACAGGAGGACCTTTTATTCAGCAAAATATTGTGGGGCTAGAGGATCCATTCTGGGGCTAGCAGGGAGCTGCCCACTCCTCTCTGGGTTAAAGACAGAGCAGTCTTGCTTCCATGGTCCCCAGCTGGCTGAGAGTGAAATGGCTGGGATCCCAGACATTCCCCAGCGCCCCTCCCACTGTAGCTGCTGGTGGTGGGGATGGTTATGGGGGTTATTTATAGAGCTGGATCCAGGACACAAGCCCATTCAGTAGCTGGCTCCCTCCAGGAGGCTGGGAATGAAGCAGAGACTTTGTGGCTTCTGGGATCTAGGAAGGTCTGGGAGAGAAGAAAGCCTGGAACTTGAGAGTGGTTGTAATTCTGACTTGGGGTTGTGTGACCCCAGGAAAGACCCTCCATCTAGCCAAGCCTCAGTTTTCTCCCCTGTGAAACAGAACTAAAAGTTATTGCAGGAGCTATATTCCCCAGGTTTTTCTGAGGAAAGAGCTTATAAACCTCGCAGCAAAATGGGAATGATTATTATCGTCCTGAGGGAGATCAGACACCCTTTACCCCTCCCAAGCTCTTTTCTGCTTATACCTCCCAGAGTTTTTTCTGCTCACCATCAGCCGATCCCTGCTCCTTTTTCTCCTCCACCACAGTCTTAGACCTCCAGAGTGTAGAGACCAGGTCCTGCTCTCAGGGACCCCCTGACCTGAAAGATGAACCAGTTTCCCTGGATTCTGTCACAGATTATCCCTGAAAATATTTCTCTTTTCCCAGGGACATAGCTCAGTACAAACGTCCATTAGAACGAGAGAGTAGAGACTGGTTCGGATTTTTTTCCTCCCTTTTTTTGTCCATGTGTCACCAGTGCCTAATACAGTGTGACATGTAGTAGTCACTTAATAAATGATTACTGGATTGAATTGTCCAGAAGAGAAGCCTCTTGACTCCTTACTGAACCCAACTCCATGCTATTAGAACTCAGTTTCCCCAAAAGCCCCAAGTTGCTCTACCCATCTTGAGAGCTACCAGCCTACATGTGTAAGACAGATCTCACACCCACATTTCCAAATCCATCAGCTTCCCCTCACACAGAACAGCATAGGTATTAACATAGCGAAAAACCAATTCCATTTTGATTACTCTGGCTCCACCCAAGCTGGGATTGTGATCAGTGGGATGGGTAATTTTTTCTTTTGTTAATAACAGATATGAAACTTTGGAATGATAGATTCATGTCACAGGATCATAAATTAAACGTTAGAAGACACCTCAAATGTTTATCTGGTCTAACCCCCTCATTTTACATACATGAGGAAACTGTGACCCAGAGAATGACTTACTAGAAGTCACCCAGATAATAAGGACCAGAACCAAGAATCAAATCCAGGTCCTCTGATACCATGATTCCTCCTTAGCACCGTAAACCATCTTGAGCTCACTCAGTGCCAGCATTGCAAGCAGGTCCTGCTATGCCCAGGTGCCTGCTCAGGGAACCTCATCTGTTTTTGTCTTATAGGGTGACAAGGACCCCTGGAAAACCTGGACTTCCGGTGAGTACCTTCTTCCCCAACGCCTCTGGCCTTGGAGGTTCCAATGTTTGCTTCCCACCATATCTTGACTCCATTTTTCTCTCCTTATCTGTTCATCAGGGACAAAAAGGTGACCCGGGGAAACCGGGCCCAAATGGGCCAGATGGAAAGCCAGGGATTGACGTGAGTACTGACCAGAAAAGCTTCCGTGGTTGGAGCAGGGACTGGGCAGCCAAACAAGGGATGAGGAGCCTGGTCCTCCAGACCTCCACCCTTTGTGCATTCTCTGCACGGGGGAAAACCCAGACTGTGAGCCCTGACTCCTATGCAGTCATGTCCCATTTATATGTGGTAATGAAGGGAATCAGTGGTGCAGATAATCCAAAAGATATCTTCTTTTGGATTTGCAGCTCCTAGTGGACAACAGGTCAACAGTAGCTGAGTTGGCAGTATGACATGGCACCAATAAAACATGGCAGCCAGTACAACACGGCAGCCAGTACAACATGGAACCCAAAATGTTCGTGTGACCTTAGGCTGCATTAGGAGAACCATAGAGGTCAGGACCAGGGAGATGATAGCTCTGTGGTCCTGTACCCAAGTCAGACCATTCCTGGAGTAGTGTTTCATTCTGACTCCACATTTTAGAAGGGTGTTGTCTAGCAGGAGCAACCCCAGGAGAGAATGACCAGGGTGGTGTAAGGACTGTAGACCATACTATGCAAGGATGAGTTGAAGGAGCTGGGGCTGTTTAGCCTGGGGAAGAGAAGATTGAGGGCATGGGAGGAGAGGAAGCCATCCATAGTAATCATCTTCAGGACTTTAAAGAGGCATTCTACTTGTACTTCTTGAGGAGAACCTGAGCTATGGGTCGAAGCTGTAGAGAGGCAAATTTAATCTCAACATCAGGGAAATCTCCTGACTATTCGAGCCATCCAAAACGGGTGACCCAGGAAGGGAAGGACCTCACCATCACAGGTGGAGACTGAATGACCAGCCGCTTGTCAGGGATGCTCCAGCGGGAGATTCCTGGTCAGGTACAGTTAAGTGAGGAAACACTAAGGTGCTTTGCAGGTCCAAGAAGCCACACTGAAAATGTAGTCTAACATTTGAGGGGGAGGCAGTGATGGAGAGAGCACTGCCTTCAGAATTCTGTCTAATACTGTGGGTAGACAATGGGTGCTGGCAGATGTCCCCAGCACACGCTGATTAACAGTGAGGGAGGCCTTTGGGAGGCCGTTCTGGGGCAGGGAGGTGGGCTGTGGGAGGAAGTAATTTAGGGATTAAAAATATCCCACAGGCAATTTCCATGCAGGTAGTTGAGGACACTATCATTTTTTAATGCACACATCGGTATGTGTCTCTGTTTATTAATAAAAAAGAATAGTTTCTTGCATTTCTGTACAGTGCTTGGCAGTTTAAAAAAACACTTTCAAACCCATTATCTCCAAATAACAAGAATTCTGAGCTGCAAGGATTCTTAGAACACAAAATGTCAGAGCTGAGAGGACCCTTAGAACAGAGGATGTCAGGGCTGGGAGGGCCCTTAGAACACAGGATGTCAGGGCTGGGAGGGCCCTTAGAACACAGGATGCCAGGGCTGGGAGGGCCCTTAAGACACAGGATGTCAGGGCTGGCAGGACCCTTAGGACAGAAGATGTCAGGGATGGGAAGGAACTTAGGACAGATGATGTCAGAGCTGAGAGGGCCCTTACGACAGAGGATGTCAGGAATGGGAGGGGCCTTAGCACACAGGATGTCAGGGCTGGGAGGACTTTAGAACATAGAATGTTAGAGCTTGTCTCAGATTCATTCAGTATTTAAATCTGCCTCTTAACAAGCCCTAAAATAATGACTTTGGGGCTTAGAGATTGTGAACCCTGCCCCCACCCTTTCCTTATCTCATCCACTCAGGATTTTTCTAGCAAGGGGGGAAAAACAGGCAAGGCAAGAGAGCACAGCAGATAATCTCCTGGGGCTAGGATCTGGAGACCCCTAGCATTGTCCCTGATAATGTGATAATAAGGGCAGTTGGACTAGATCAGGGCCTCAAGGCCACATGTGGCCCCTTAGGTCCTCAAGAGTGGCCCTCTGACTGAATCCCTAAGGACCACCCTTGAGGACCCCAGCCCTGGACTAGACCCTAGCCAAACTCTAAGGTTCTAGTCAACCTTCTCTGCTCTGTCTTTTTGAGTTTATGATAGCGAAGTTGGATTCAGAGCTTAGTTGACATTAAAAAGAAAAGCAGAGATCTTCAGTTCCATAGACAATCAATCCTCTCTTCCTATCATACTCTGTCTCTGGAAATATCCATTTTATTTGGCATTTAAGTTCAGAATTTTTTTTTAAAGACCCACCCAACAACAATAACAACAAAAAGAGATTAGATCCAGGAGTCCTAGGTTCTAGTCCTGACTGCCATTTACTAGGTGCAGTACCTTGGGCAAATCACTTGGGCAAACTCAGTTTTCACATCTGTAAAATGGGGAGAATAAAACTTATCCTGCCTGTCTCACAGGGCCTTTTATGAGGATTAAGTAAAATCACCAACGTGACTGGGCCACGACCAGGTTTGTGGGGTGACCCAACGATACTGGTCCTCTTGTTCTGACGCTACCTGGGGCCCTGGGCTGGACTCTCTGTGGGGTGCATGGTTCTAGGGAACCAGCAGGGACCAGCCACCGGCGGGCCCAATGGTTGGCTGTCAGTGGGGGTGGATGGAAGGTTTGGGGCCCAGAATGAAAGTCGACATGGGCAAGCTAGCTATGGAGTCTGGCTGGCCTTTCAGGCCACACAGAGTCATGCCTGGACAGGGCACATCCTTGGAACACAAAGGGTGATGTTGCCACTGCTTTCCTAGGGGATGTTTAATTTGGCAAGGGGGAGGGGACAGAAGAGGAGCCACAGCTCCCATACAAACAGGTCCAAATCTTCTCATTTTGTTAGGCCCAGAGAGGTTCAGAGACTTGTCCAAGGTCACACAGGTGGTAAGGGACATAAATAGGACTTGAACCCAGGTCCCAGGACTCCAAAGCCTATGCTTTTTCCATTACACCAAGCTAATTAAGAGAGGTTGCCCAAAGTAATGGCAGCTAGGTGGCTCAGTGGATAGAGAACCAGGCCTGGAGTCAGGAAGACCTGAGTTCAAATTCAACCTCAGACACTTACTATGTGACTCTGGGCAAGTCACTTAACCTCTATTTGTCTTGATCGAATGGGGAAGGAAATGGCAAACCACTTTAGTATCTCTGCCAGAAAAAGCCCATGGACAGTATCCGTGTTCATGGGGTCATGAAGGGTCAGAGATGACGAAACAATAAACCCAAAGCAATAGCTAAACTAAAATAAAAACCATCGCAAACAGTGGATCGTCCTGGGCAGCTGGGGCACACTAGATAGAGCTCCGGCCTCGGAGTCAGGAGGATCTCAGACACTTGACACTTACTAGCTGTGTGACCCTGGGCAAGTCACTTCACTCGGATCGCCTTACAAAAAAGAGAAGAAGAAGTATTTATAAAACAGGAACTAAGCCGGCAATAAACGAGGTCAGAACTCAAAGAATACCGAATGGCAGAAGACAAAAAGTAGCTCATCCGAAGCACTGCAGACTGCTACACAATAATGAAAAGAGCTTAAGAAAAGAGCAGGCTGGCTCCTCATCTGTCCCCTGTGGAACAGCCCCAGAGGTGAAGAGCTCACCTGATTAGAAGTACACGTGTACTCTAGAAAGGACGGGTGCGGCGCAGAGGGCGCTACAGCCGAGGCCGATTCCATGACCATTTGTGACACGCCAACTATGTACCAGGCATTCTGCTAAGCTAAATTCAAGAAACCTCAGTTCAAATCCCTCCCCTGACACTAATTGGTTGTGCGACCTCCAGCAAGGCAAATCAGCTCTCTGACCCTCAGTTTCCTTACCTGTAAAATGGGACTTGACGCCTGCCCTCCCTCACAAAGTTGTTGTGAAGCTCAAATGGGATGAAGTGTGTGTGTGTGTGTGTGTGTGTGTGTGTGTGTGTGTGTGTGTGTGTAGCTATATCTATCTAATCTTTGAAAATTGTCTTAAAAATGTCAGGTCCCATGGGGCAGCTAGGTGGTGCAGTAGATAGAGTACTGGGCCTGAGGTCAGGAGGACCTGAGTTCAAATCCAGCCTCGGACCAGACACTTGATACTGTGTGACCCTAGGCAAGTCACTTAACCCCAATTGCCTCACCCCCCCCCAAAAAAGAGTCAGGTCCCTTCTTCCTGCCCTTCCTTACAAAAGGGTCGCTGTGATGTGGAAACCCCAGGGTGGGGTCTGGGTGTGGCCCTTGTTAAACTGACCCTTTTGCCCTCTTCTTCCAGGGTTTAACGGGAGCTAAGGGAGAACCAGGCCCTCAGGGGCCCCCTGGAGTCAAGGTGAGCCTAGGCTGGGAGATGCAGAAGATGGAGCTACCCCCATACAGTCCTTGGTTCTCATTTGGCCAGGCTAATTAATGTCTATCTGCCCAGGATTGGGGGGGGGAGTTGTGGAGATGGGGAGGGGGCTTGAGATTGGGGGTCCAGAGGTGGAGGATGTGGGGAGCTTGGGTGGGCCTGGCGGTGCAGGGTGGCCACCTGTTCTGAGGACACACTCGGTCAGATTCCTTTTACTGCTAACCTTCTATCGGTCTGTGTTTTTAGGGTCAGCCAGGCCTCCCTGGTCCCCCAGGTCTACCAGTGAGTATTTTGGCTGGCTGAGCCCAGCCCCCTCACTCTACTTTTTCAGGGCCTCTGCGAGGGAAATTCTGGGAAGAGAGAGTACTTGAGGAGGAGGAGGAGGTTCTAAGAGACTTTCTAAGGATCTGGAGAAGGGGGCTCTGAAGGGAGGGAGCTCTGGGAGAAGGGGAGGGCAGGGAGGGCAGAAAAGATTTCCAATCTCTCCTTCTCTTTTCTGTCACAGGGCCCAGGCTTTGCAGGACCTCAGGTGAGTCCTTGGGGGAGGGCAGGGAAGGGGAGGCTGAGGAAAGTGGATGGAGAAAGGGACCCCAGGAAAGACCAGAAGCCATTCACCCTCTCCCAGCCAAGCCTTACACAGCTGAAGAGCACACAGTCCACCGTCTCCCCCCCCACCCCAATCTTAAATCTTAATCCCTGCTAGAGCTGGCAGCAATGAATCACCAAAGCATTTATTAAGCACCTACCGTGTGCCAGGTGCTAAGGCAAGAGCCACAGATAAAAGGACAAAAGTAAAACAGTCTGCCTTCAAGGAGCTTACATTCTAATGGGACAGCCAATGTGTATACGTACACATCTATTCAGAATATATACAAAATCAATACCAAGTAATTTTGGGAAGGGAAGCCTTAGCTGCTTTTTTTTTTGGAGGGGGGAAGAATCAGGAAGACCTTCTGATATAGGTGGTGCTTAATCTGAGTTTGAGGGAAACCAGGTATCCCTACTGGTAGAGGTGAGGAGGGAATGAATTCCAGGCGTGGGGCACAGCCTTTCCAATGACTCGGAGTCAGGAGATGGAGTTTCCTCTTGTGTGCAGATCAGCAAGTGGGATAGTGTGCCTGGAGAAGAGAGGGACTGGAGAGGGGATGAACCCTTTGCTAGGGGCCTCTGTGATAAGGGAAACAGGATAAATCAGGAACATTTTGCTTTTACATCAGCTGATAGCTCTTTACCCACAGAACACTTCTCACTGATTTGCCCTGTTGACATCACTAGATTCCTAGAGGGAAGGCCTTCAAACTCCAAACATTTCATTGATCAGATATTAACTGAGCTCTCCCCTGGGCCTCACACTGTGCCAGGTGACACAGAGAGAGAAAACACCCCCTACCCCCAACAAGTGAACTTACCCACCTTCCCTTCCTTGGCTGTTCAAAGGCAAGCCTCACTCAGACAGGGAGGTAATGCTTTCCAGACCCAGCTCAGCCTGGGGTAGGGATGGGGGTGCAGCAAGGAGTTAAGCAGGGGTCAGGATCGGTGAGTGGGAGCTAATTCTGTCATTTGTCCTAGTCAAAAAGTCTAGAACTGGGGGCAGCTGGGTGGCACGGTGCATAGAGCGCTGACCCTGAAGTCAGGAGGACCTGAGTTCAAACCTGGCCTCAGACCAAACACTTGACACTTATTAGCTGTGTGACCCTGGGCAAGTCGCTTAACCCCAATTGCCTAAAAATAAAAAAAAAAAATTAAATTAAAAAAGTCTAGAATTGTAAACAACCCAAAAATTCATTTCCACTTGGATTGAACAACCACAAGAGGACTATGGGGGACAGTTAATTTACACGTTCAGACCGGTAAAGAGAGTTTAGATTCCCAGCCCCTGCTTCCATGGGACAGGTGGGCAGTACAATGGGTAGAGAGCTGGGCCTGGAGGCAGGAAGAACTGAGTTCAAATCCTACTTCAAGCACTTACTAGCTGTATGACTCTGGGCAAGTCACTTAACCTTTGTCTACCTTACTTTCCTCATCTGTAAAATGGGGATAATAACAGCATCTACCTCACAGAGTTGTGAGGATCAAATGAGATAATATTTGCAAAGCTTTTAGCATGTAGTAGGTGCTTAATAAATGTTTATTTCCTTCCTTCCATGAGCCCTAGGGATGACAGGATACGTCATAGGAAGTCTCAGAGAAGACATAGGCTCTTAGAACTAAAATGTGATCTCAGCTTTGCCACTGACCTGCTGTGTGACCTCTCTGGGGCTCAGTTTCCTTCTCTATAAAATGGGAGGTTTGGGATACTCAAGTCCTCTTAGAGCACTGATATTGTAAACTCTAAAATAATGGGGCCACCTCTATGATACTTCTTCCTCTTCTCTCCCCAAGGGACCTCCAGGACCAGTTGGACTTCCGGGAGAGATCGGGGTCCCTGGCCCCAAGGTAAGACACTGAGCTGCCCCCAGGGTCTTATGGCTCTTCCTGGTACAGTAGAGGGAGACCAGGATGGTGAAGAGCCTCCAGCCAGTTGAGGGAATCAAGAATATGTAGCCTGGAGGAGAGAAGACTGGGAGGAGGATGTGATACCTTTCTCCAAATATGTGAGGCATTACCACGTGAGAGAGTAGACGTGTTTGGTTTGGCCCCAGAGGGCAGACCTCGGAGCATGGGGAGAGGCTGGGTGTCAGGGAAACACCCCTGACGATGAGAGCTGCCCCCAAATGGAGTGGTCACCTCGGGAGGTGGGGAGCCCCCTTCATTAGCTGTGCCATCACTTGGAGATGCTAGCTAGAAGTGGCACTTCTGTTCAGGTAGGGGCTGCTTGGCCAGAGCCAATCATGAGATTCCTGTGATTCTGTAGCAGCCCGGTCTCCTTCTTGGGTAGGAGGCATTATTGTGGCCAGTCCCCTGCCTCCGACCCATAAAGTGCAATAGCCAGGATCCCTCCAAACAGGGCAGAGTCCACAGCCTCCATGGAGGGTCTCCCAGGGACAGCTGAGAAGTCCGTTCTTCAGTTAGACTGAAGTTCCTCTTCCTGAAGCCCCGGCTCTCTCTCGTCTGCTGCCGCATCTGTGCCCCTGCTCCAAGGTTGAGGCGGGGGCTTCCAGGGTGGCCCTGTTTGACTTAGCACTGGAATCTCTTTTCAGGGGGACCCCGGACCTGCGGGACCATCAGGACCTCCTGGGCCCCCAGGAAAACCCGTGAGTATCTCCTCTGCTTCCCTTGGGGAGGTGAGAGTGGGACAGAGAAACATGGGCCTGGAACACTGATTCTGTGGCAGCAGTCAGGCTTGACGATGTATTCTCATGCTCCATTGTAGGGGGAGGCTGGCTGTATCCCAATCCCATTGGCCCCCTTCCCCATCTTGCTTGTCCTAGACCGCTAGGTTAGGGGTCATTTTAGATGCATGACATCTTGGCTGTGAAATGGGGGTCCCCAGAACCAGGTCTGGGGACTACAGAGGCTTAGGTTTGGCTTTTTAGAACTTCAGAATGGTATGTGGGATTCACTCATCAGCCCCTTGCCCCAAGGAGGGTTGAGTCATTGTCCAGGAGCATTGTAAGAAAGCCCACTCACCGAGTGGGAGGTGAAGGCTGAGGAGGGGTCAGGATCAGACTGGGGAGGCCTGAAGAAGGCCAGAAGACTGGGGGGGGGGAGGGATTCTTGCCAACAGCTACATTTCCTGGGAGCAGGAGACAGATAACTTTAGTGTGTGAACCTTCGTGGTATGGTCTGAGCTCCCACAGTCTCTGCCCAAAGCCCCTCGCAGGCGACCAGCCATCTCTGAGAGATAAGGGGTACAGGGGACCCAGCCTGCCTCAAAACCTGGGAAGCTCTGTTCCTGACACTGTGGTCACCTGCCTTCCCAGACCTCACCTCAGATTCCCCTTTCAGGGCCGTCCCGGGACCATCCCGGGCCTTGAAGGCAGTGCTGACTTCCTGGTAAGTGCCGGATCCAGCTACCCAGGTCATTAAGGACCCTCTGCAGAATGGGTCTGTGTTAGAACAGTGGTAAAGGGGACAGGGGCCCTGGGAGGTCAGGAAACCAGTGATGAGGAGGTGGTGGCTGTGGCTGTGTCCAGGGAAAGGAAGGGAGAGACAGGCTAGCCTTGGGGCCAAGAATACCCCAAAAAGAGGAAATAAAAGTGAGGGGCTTTGGAAAAGCAGAATCACATACCATGCTTTTGACCCCACCCCCACCCCCACCCCACTCCCATCCCAACTAAGTGCAAAGCTGGGATTTGAATCTGGCCTTGAATAACTCTCCTCACTCCATGTTTATATTTCAGTGTCCAACCAACTGCCCAGCTGGTGTGAAGGGGCCACAGGGTCTGCAGGGGGTGAAGGTGAGTCCCGAAGGGGCTCAGCTGGGTTTGGGGACATGGGGCTCAGTGGTATTGGAGGAGATGGAAACTCAGTGATGTTTGGGGCCTGGGGATTGGGGGGTAGGGTACAGTGTTGGAAAATACAGCTCAAACTTCCTTCTCTCCCTTCAGGGACATCCAGGCCGTCGGGGACCTCTGGGGGAGCCAGGCAGACAAGGGAAACCAGTAAGTTTGGGAGAGTGCCTCTAGCCCTCAAGGTATCCTGTCCCCTGCCAGCGTCCTTTGTCGAGGGGCAGGGAGGAGATTGTGCAGAGGGGGCTGATGGAGAGTGTAAGGGGCCAAGGGCAGAGATGGGAGGCCACAGGGTGGGAGGAAGGGACCGGAGTGGGGAGGTGAGAGAAGTCTGAGGGGCATGGATGGGGGGAGGCTCCTCCGTTCCCTCCCCTGACTCCTGAGCTCCCTGAGGGGGGCCTCTGAGACCTGTGTCTCTTCCTCTTCTTTTCCTGGACTGATGGACTGCGGTCCTCAGTCTCTGACATCTACCTTCCACCCTCTAGGGTCCCAAAGGAGATGTGGGTGCTTCTGGTGAACAGGGAATTCCTGGTCCCCCGGTAAAGTATCCCTCCTACTCATCTCTTCCTTCTGCCAAGGGGCATTAGTGGGACCCTCCTGGCTGTTCCCATGTTTAGAGACCACAGAGTCAGTGCCCACCTGGGAGGAAAGGGCCTGGGCTGTCTCCCTGGACTGGATGTTCATATATTTGCTGCGTGACCTTGGGCAACTCGTTTAACAGCTCTTAGCCTCAGCTTCTGCTCCTATAAAGTAAGAGAGTTGAACTAGATTATCCCTAAGGTCCTTCCATCACTAAATCTCACTATCCCATGATTCTGGATGACGGCTTTTGGAGCTTTCACTGGGTCCTCGGTTCAGCACATCTGTGCCTACCTGCTGGGAATTTGACTCAAGGGAGCAGGGGATAGGGGATGTGCCCAGGGCAGGGGCTGGTCTTTCTTCTGGGGAATGAGACCAGGGAGATGGTGTGAGATGGAGTAGGGCAGCTTGGAGGAAGCAAAGACTACCCTCAGAAGGGGCTATGCTGAGCCCATCCCCTGTGTCCTTCTGTCTCGACAGGGCCCCCAGGGCATCAGGGGCTACCCAGGCGTGGCTGGATCCAAAGGAGAGATGGTGAGTCCTCAAAGAGCCTCCGACCATCTTTTGCTTCTTTTTGTATTCCCAGTACTTAGCACAGGGTAGGTACTTAATATTTATTGACCTAAATTGAGATCGTGATTATCCTTTGAGACCACAGGCCCCCAGGCCCAAGTCTGGCCTGGTCCAGTTCAGCTTGGAGGCTCCATGAGACTAGTCTAGAAAATGCCAGGCATCGGCATTATCGATAATGATAATGGTGATAACATCGCAGGAAACTAGCTGGGATTCTTTCTGTTTGTTGTGTTTTGGTCTGGATCCACCTGTGATTTCTTTGGGGTAAAGAGCTCCTGATGAGGAAACTCACTTTACCACAGCTGCTCATCAACTGTTCTGCAGCTCAAAGCCTTAGGGAACCAGGCATCGACAAGAACCAGAGACATGACCACATCAATACTATATCAAATATGGTTATTATGGGGCAGCTAGGTGGCATAATGGATAAAGTGCCAGGCCTGGAGTCAGGAACACCCGAGTTCAAACTTGGCCTCAGACACTTACTAGCTGTGTGACCCTGGGCAGGTCACTTCACCCTGTTTGCCTCAGTTTCCTCATCTATAAAATAAGCTGGAGAAGGAAATGGCGAAACACTCTCTGTCAAGAAAACCCCAAATGAGGTCACGAAGAGTTGGATATGACTGAAAATGACTGAACAACAAATAGTTATTATAATAATCAATAAGCATTTATTAAATTCTTAGCTATGCACTTGGCACACAGAAAGTGTTAAGAAACTCACCTCCAGCAAGTCCCTGTCAGGGATGGGGAACCTTTGGCCTTGAGGCCACATGGGGTCCTCTAGGTCCTCAAGTGCAGTCCTCCGACTGAATCCAAACTTGCTAGACCCTCCCTCAATCATAGACGGGTTGGGGCCTGAACACCTGCACGGGAGGGAAGCCTGGGAGTCCCCCACCCTGATGAAACTAGAGGTAACGGTCAGTAATGATAGTGACCATCTCCATAAAAACACTACTGCCAATCATGCCAGCGTCAGTAATGTTAGCAGTGGTGCTAAGAACATTCATAGTAAAAATAACATGCATAACTACTGTCATGCTGACCATATAATTGATAATGGAAAGAATGCAGGGTTGAAGTCAGAGGACCCAAGTTCAAATCCCAGCTCGGTCACTCATTCGAACTCAGGACTTTCACTCAGTGTGTCTAGCTAGGCCTTGGTCTCCTTGTCTGTAAAATGAGGGATTAGATAGATTAAATTACATCCAAGGTCCTTTCCAGCTGTAAATCTATACTTCTGTGTCTGTGATAACGATATCATTAACAAACAGTCTTTATGATAATAGCGATGACATCAATAATAACGGCGGTAATGCTTTCTTTCCCTCCCCTCTTCAGGGTCCCCAAGGCTACAAGGGCATGCTTGGGTCTGTCGGTGCTGCTGGGAAGCCTGTAAGTCCCCCCTACTCCCGCTCCTCGGCCTCTTGGCCTCTGACCCCAGCCCCTGGGGAATGTGCATCTGAGATCCAATCTTTCACTTCTATGCCTGGCTAGGAAAGGCTTTGTTGGGGGGGGTCCCCATTTCAGTGACCTGGTCTGGGCACCTTCCCATACTGTGAGGGGCTGGAGGCTGTGGGGGGCCCCAGCTCAGGGAGCGGAGGTGGGTGTACAGTTCAGCACTGCCCATTCTGGGCCTCTTCTCTGAAGGCTGAGTCCCCGGGGACCCCTTCCTGAAAATCTGTTTGCTCTTCTGTGCCTCCAGGGTGAGGAGGGCCCCCGGGGGCCACCAGGCAGAGCTGGGGAGAAGGGAGATGTGGTAAGTTAATGGTTTTGTGTGTGTCACCTGCTCTGGTGAGAGCCCAAATTGGGGGTGCTGGGGTGGGGAGGAGGCAGGAGGTCTGGGCCAGGCCCTCCTCCATTCCCATCCAGAAAGTGTATGTGTGCGTGTGTGCGTGCATGCGTGTGTGTGTGTGTGTGTGTGTGTGTGTGTGTGTTCATATATTTGTATGGTGAAGAATAAGAAGGAAGCGACTGTCACTATATGTGTTCGGCTGTCTATGCGCATGGGCATGTGACTGCGTGTTTGGGTCTGTGCACATGCATTACCTCTGGACACCTGTGTTCAATGTGGATGATGGAGTATACACATGCATTCTATGTGAAAAGAACACCAGCTCTAGAGCCTGACAACCTGAGTGTGGATTCTGCCCCTGGCAAGACCTGTGTGATCTAAACAAGTCACTTCACTTTGATGAACCCGTTTCCTCCTCTGTAAAATGAGGGCTGGGATGACATGGCCTCTGGGGTCTCTTTCAGCTGTAGATCTAGGCTCTCATGTGCAGGTGTGTTATGTATGGAAGGCTGTACACATGTGGATTACATGCGTATACATACACACCCACACCCACATGTTCTACATGGATCATGGCACACATATGTGATCATACATGTGTGTGTGCATATGTATACACTCATACACATACACATATGTTTCATATGGATCACCACCTGACCCTTAGGCAGCACCAAGCATGACCTGAGCTGGGCTAAGGAAGAACCAGACTCAGGCTGGAAGGAACCTCGAGAGCTCATAGGGTCTATTCCCCTGTGGTAGCTCTGCTTTTCTAGCCTCCACGCCTGGAGGGTGACAAATGGGGAGCCCCAGACCAGACGACTCCAGCGCCAACCTCCTGCCAGGGGCTCCTCATGCCCCCTGCTCCTTTCCCAGATGCCATCAAACCATAGCCGAGCTAACAGGATTAGAGACTTTAACAGTTCCTGGCCGGGTAGAGGTGGGGTGGAGGGCTGGGGCCGAGGGGAGGGGAAGTCACGGACACTTCCAAGCCCATCCGGAGCCTGGGTCTCTCCTCGGCCACAGCCTGATTCCTGGGGTGGGCCTGGCTCCCTCGGGCCATCCATCTTCCTAATGTGTCTAGGACCCCAAGCTGTGCTGTGGGAGGCATACACATGGCTGTCAGTGGCCCCCAGACCTCTGTCTTTGGCCATGGAGTCTCCAGAGTGTGTGTTGTGGGGAAAGGGAAGGGATAATGTGACAATACTTTCCTGCTTGGCTTCTGCAGGGCAGTCAAGGTGTTCGAGGCCCCCAGGGAAGTGGAGGACCCAAGGGAGAGAACGTAAGTACTTCAGTTGGGGGAGGTCCTGGCTTCCTGGGACCTGGGCTTAACTCTGGGCAGGGGGTGGGGGGGGATCAGATCCAAGTGAGCCCTCACTCATATCTGGGCAGGAACCTGGTCCAGGCTTAGCCAGATGGGGGGGGGGTGTCAGAAGACCTGCATTCTAGTCCTAACTCCTTCTGTGTGAGAACTGAACAAGCCCCTTCCCCACACTGTGCCTCAGTTTCCCCATCTGTAAAATGAGGGGGTTGGACCAACAGAAGGTCTCTTCCAGCCCTGATGCTCTAGGATGTGCATCATCGTAGGCTATGATTTCTTCTCCTTCCTCTGCAGGGCCTCCCCGGTATTGATGGCAAGGATGGGACTCCTGGAGTTCCTGGGGTGAAGGTAAGGGAGGTGTGGCACATGGCCTGGAGGGGGAAGTTCCCTTAGGCCTGGGCCAGTCCCCTGGGTAGGTGGAGCACGATCTTCCTGAGGCTGGTGTGAGGGGGGCCCAGGGCCACTCACATCAAGTAATCCCACGAGCCCCTTACTCCCCACCCTGGAGGGTCCCTAGGACTGGGGTCACAGGTAGAAGAGTAATATTTGTGGCTATTCCATCCCACAGGGGAGCGCTGGACAGCCCGGGCGGCCCGGAAACCCAGGTCACCAAGGACTGGCAGTGAGTATCAGAGTCAGGGCCCCATTCCAGCTCAAGCCTTACTTACTTTCTGAGCCTCAGTTTTTCCTGTGTAAAATGGGATGGTGGGATGGTTAACATGATCTCTTGCCCCCAAGGCCCCTCCAGGTTCTGTCATTCTGAGTTCTAAGCTCCTTCCCAGCCTTGACGTTCTCTGTTCAAAGGTCCCTCCCAACTCTGACATTCTTGGCTCTAAAACTTTCCAGCTCTAAATCACATGACCCAGACATCCTCACAGGATCACAGACAGTGTCTGAAGCACAGTGGGAAGAATTTGGGTTAGAGGATCTGGGTTCAAATCCTGGCCCTGCTACTTGTGTGGTGTTGGGCAGTCACTTAATTTCTCTGGCCTCAGTTTCCTCTTCTGTAAGAGGAGGAAATGGGACTAGATGACCTCCACCATCCTTTTGCAGTTCTAGCAAACTTACAGGGTACTGGAGCAAGGATCTCCTGACTTTTCTAATAAATCGAATTAGGAGTGACAGGTGGAAATACAGGGAAGCATATTCTGGCTCAGTATAAAGAAACACATCCCAGCCATTAGCTCGAGTGAGCTACCTTGGGAAACAGTGAGCTGTCTCCGGGAGTCTTCAGACAGAGGCTGGAGGAGCATTAGTTTGGGTCTCCTCCTATTCTGCACCTCCTACGTGCCAGGCACTGAGCAAAGCTCAGTGCTCTCCAGCTCTGAGGTTCTGAGATCCTGAGCTCTGGCTCCTATAACTCCCCTTCCTCAGGGTGACTCCTCCTGACCTTCCCAGTTCCCTCTCCCCTTCTCCCCCAGATCAGGTGGTTGGCTGACCATGAAACTGTTTTGTGGGGGTGAGATGGACCATGGAAGACTCTCCTCCAATGGGCTTGGTCATGAGATACTGGATTTAGGTTCATTCCCAGTCGTTATGGGGCTTCTGGATGGTGACCAAACCCCACCATCAGGGTCCTGGGCTAGCTAGGGAGAGTCTGTTCTGCTATTTCCTAGCTGCATGATGGTTAGGTGAGCCTCTTACCCTATCTGGGTAAATTTCTCTATTGGTAAGCCTCTTACTTACCCTACCTGGGTAAGTTTCTCCATCCTGGCCCTTGCATTTTGCATCTGCAAAATGAGAAAATTGGATGAGTTCAGAGGTTCTCAACCTGGGGTCCATGGAGTTTGGATAGATTTCAAAGGGTTAGTGGATTTGGATGTAGGAAAATTATATCTTGATTTCAGTATATTGTAATTTTATGCATTTAAAACTATTATTCTGAGAAGGGGCTCATAGGTTTCACTAGACTGCCAAAGGGGTCCACGGTATAAATAAGTTTAAGAGCCCCTGGACCAGGTGATATCCACTATTCACAGCCCTGGTAGCGTAGTGGCTAAAGTACCAGATTCAGAGTTAGAAAGACCTGAGCTCAAATCCTAACTTTAATACTCACTACTCGCAAGGTAAGTTACTTAAGTTCTCTGAGACTCAGTTTCCTCATCTGTAAAATGACGCAGTTTTGATGACCTCTCAGGTTCCTTCCAGCTCTCAAACTATGACCCTATGGTTCTGGCCTGTCTCCCCGGTTTCCTCTTTCTGATGGTTGCACCAAGGTTGTGTCTAGGCCTCTGGGGGACAGCTTGGAGCCTCCCTAGAAGCTATCAGTAGGACCATCACACCCTTTTCTCTCTACAGGGTTTGCCAGGCCAGCCAGGGACCAAAGGGGAACCAGGAGACAAGGTGAGGGGGTTTCCCACTGGGGACATTCTGGGCATGGAAGGGAAAGGTCTGGCGGATTGGGAGATTCCCAGGTGGAAGCCTGGCCTGTCCCACTTGCAAGAGGGGCTTTGTAGGTGAGGGGCCACTCCATGCTTCTCTGAGGGGATGCTGTGGGGTTAATGGAGGGGGGTTGTGCAGTGGCCAGTCGGGAGCTGAGCCCAGGGCTGAGCTGCCTCTGCTCGGTTTTTCTATAGGGTGAGCCTGGCCAGAGGGGCTTCCCAGGATTGTCTGGCCCCCCCGGGAAGCCGGTAAGTGAAGCTGCTCAGTGATTGTCCCCAAGAAAAGCAGATATTACACCTGAACAGAAGAGATCACACATCCCCAGCTTCTGCCTGCCCTTGTGATGCAAAGGGCTAGTGAACCCAGAGCGGGCAGGCTACACCAGGGCCAGGGGCTTAGGAAGTTTGCATTAAAGCCTGGTCTCTGGGTTCTAGATCAAATAAATCCCTCCTCTTCTAATTTCCTCTTCTATAAAAACAAGATTGGATTTGTTGATTTCTGGGTTCCTTTCTAACATTTTGTGCCAACATAAATGTACCAACATATAAACTAGTAGAGGATTGAATAAAAGCAGAAGACCACGATGGGGGAGTGTTAATGTCTGGGCTAAGCACAACTTGGGAGGGAAATCTGCCCTGAGAGCTCTGGGTCCAGGTAGGATGGGGTCAGAGCACACGTTGGCCCTTACCTAATTAATATAGGAGGGCTTTCTGGAGGAGGTGGATAGAATGTTGGACTTGGCTTTGAATCTTGCCTCAGATACTTACTAGCTGTGTATCCCTGGGCAAGTCACTTGATCTGCATGTACCTCACTTTCCTCATCTACAAAATGAGGGAATTGGACCCGATAGCCTGCACGGCCACTTCCAGCTCCAATGATTCTGTCATCAAGCAGAGCAGAGTATCCCAGTAGAGGGGCAGGGCTGCAGTCCCTATGGTACTAACTGCACCCCACCTCTGTCCCCCAGGGTGAACCTGGGCCTCAAGGAGAAATTGGCCCTCAGGGCATCCCAGGGCTGAAGGTAAGAAGGGAGTGGTTAAATTCCTCTTGCCAGGGTTCTGTAAGATCCCCAGTTTCCCCCCTGAGGGTTTGCTGTGTGTCTCTAGGGAGGTGGCTTTCTCTCTCTAGACCTCCCTGGAGGGAGGCTCCCTAGCAGACAGAGCCCTGGGAAAGGCCTTGGAGGATCTGGGTCCAAGTCCAGACTCATCTCCTTTGTCGCCATGTGGCTAAAGTACTTAACCTCTCTGGGTTTGTTTTCTCACCCATAAAATTGGGATAACACCATGTGTGCTGCTTCCCTCCCAGGATTGCTTTGGGGAGCAGGTGATATAGTGTACAAAAACGATTCAGTAAGCTTCAAAGCCCCATAGAAAAAAGAACTGAGAATAAAGAAGACCTGACCACAGGCAGGGTCCCTCAGCCCAGCCTAGCTGAGCCACATCTGCTCCTGGGGTTGGGGAGGGAAAGGTTGGGTGGCGCTGGATTTCTCTGGCTTCCCTAACGACCCTCTCTGTTTCATCATCTCAGGGTGACCAAGGCGAGAGAGGGCCCGTGGGGCAGCCAGGCCTACAAGGGAGAGTTGTAAGTGTGTAAACAAGGGAGGGCTATCGTCCACTCATGGTGCACAGCCCAGGGTGGAGGGAGCAGGAGGAAGGGGAGCGCACCTGGCCTTCGGGGTGTCTTCTAGAGTTCATTTCTAACCTCACCCCAGACTTTCTTACCATGGGCCTTCACGTCATCTCCAGAGCTGAGACTCCCCCATTCTCTTCACTGAGTTTTTTCTCTCTTCAGGGTGCCAAGGGGGAACAGGGGCCTCCAGGGATCCCGGGGCCCCAAGGTCTGCCAGGCGTCAAAGGAAACAAGGTAACTAATGGGTCCAAGAACATGGGAACACAATGGGAAGCCAGAGGCCAGGAGCACAGATTGGTGGGCAAGGAGTTTCAGGGCAGGGATGGAGTCAGGATCCCAGACAGGAGACAGAGAGCTAAGAAACCAGGCTGGGAAGAGAAGGAGGGACCCTGAGCTTCTCAGGAGGTTCTAGAGGCCTCCCAGGGATGTATGGTGGGGGAAGGTACCAAGCTGGGGAGGCTGGGGCGATTTCCAGGGCCCAGAGATCAAGGAGCACCCCCTTCCCCACTCTGCTTTTCCAACAGGGCTTCCCAGGGAAGATCGGTTCCAGAGGCAGTGGTGTAAGTACCTGCTCAGAAGGGGAGAGGCGGGGGTGACAGAAGGACAGTGCCAGTCTGTGCCTTTTCTCAGGGACTCCCTGGTCAGTGCTGGGCAGTAAGACCCCAGTTCTATTCCCCTTGCCCCAACTTCTCTTACCACCTGTTAGTGCCGCCCCTCCTGCACCCTGGCTGTCTTGGGTGCCTTGGGTACCCTATATGCCACCATGACAGCTGATAAGCAGCCTGGCACACCAGGAAAATCCCTTCCTGGCCTGAGTTTCATATTCTACTTCTAATTTATTCACTATTTGACTCTGAACCATTTACTTATGGAGATACTTGTACTGCTCACCTCATGTGGTTCATGAAGAAAATGCTTTGTCAACCATAAAGACGAAGAGACATTGGAGCTAGCTTAATAGCCCTTAGCATGGGACCCAGAGAGAACTTGATTCCTCTAGAAGGGTGGTTTTCTCCCAGTTCCTTTCACTGCAATATCTCCAACTGCCACCAGGAGGAGCAAAGTAAGTACCTTAGTGCATGCAGCCCCAAGGTAGGCCCCTGGTTCACCTCCACTTTCAGATAGGGCTCTCCCAAGGACGGGGAAAATGAGGGAAGGAGGGACTCCAGGGAGAACGGTGCCATTAGGAGAGGTGGGAGTAGGGTTGAGCTTGGCACCAATTCCCTCTACTGCCCTGTCTGCCACCTAATTGGGTCTTTCCTCTACAGGGTGATCCAGGTGTGGAAGGTCTCCCTGGGGAGAAAGGAGAGAAGGTGAGCAGGTCCAAGGACATGGCTGGTCCCTGAGAGATCCCCAAGGGCAAGTGGAGACCCAGGTCTCAGCCCTGGGATCAGAAATGTCAAAAGCTGTGGCCTAATTCTGAAGAGGGAGTTTGACGGGGCAGGGGAAGTGGTTCCAGGAGTGGGTCCTCATGGCTCCCATGGAAAAAGTGACTTTTTTGTTTCCCTCTAGGGAGAGTCCGGAGAACCAGGCCCCAAGGGGCAGGTGGGTGACCATCAGACCATCTCTCTGCACATCCTTCTAGCTCCTCTTCCTCCCTCTCTGTCTCTTCTTTTTTATTTTCTCCTCTCATTTCTTTCCTCTTCTGCTCACTATCCTTTGGCTGCCTAAAGAGATATGCTGGAAGCAGCTCAAAATGGTTTACTAGAACCAGCTGTTAAATGTTCAGTGTGAGCAGTTATGCATCAGAAATTGGCAAACAGGGGCAGCTAGGTGGCACAGTGGATAGAGCACCAGCCCTGGATTCAGGAGGACCTAAGTTCAACTCTGGCCTCAGACATGTAACACTTACTAGCTGTGTGACCCTGGGCAAGTCACTTAATGACATTGCCTAACACCCCTCCCCCCCCAAAAAAAAGAAATTGGCAAACACTACAAATCTGGGCTCAATTCATTGTGTTGTTGATTATCTAGACTTAAGAAAATGATGGAGAAAATGTTAGTAATGCAAATTAAACTTCAAAGTGTGTTGTGTGTCAATGTTTTTTTTCAGGAAGCTGGCTGTTAAACATTTACTAGCACATTCTTGCTTCACGTTCCTTCTCTGCCTATCTCCCCCTACCATTATAGAATTTAGAACTAGAAGAGCCATTGGAGAACATCTAGTCAAACACCATAACTTTGCAGATAAGAAAACTAAGGTTTAGAGAGGTAAGTGACCTGCCCAAGGTCACACGTAGAATAAGGATAACCTTGAGCAATCGCTTCACCTCTGGGCCTCAATTTCCTTATTTTCTCATCCCCTCCATTTCCCTCTTTCTGTCCCTTCTCTCTCCCTTGGTTCCCCCAGGCTCTGGGATGGGAATGACAGCAGAGGGATGCATTAATGTCCACTCTGACTTTATTGTTCTTCCCACGGTCCTGTCCGTGGTCCCCGCCCTCTTCTCTCCATTACAGCAAGGCATCCGTGGGGAGACAGGCTTTCCAGGTCCCACAGGGGATGCTGGAGCCCCTGGAGTGCAGGGTTACCCAGGACCCCCCGGGCCTCGGGGGATCACTGGAGAAAGGGGCATCCCGGGGCTGCCTGGAAGACAGGTGTGGCGGTGAGTTCCTCCCTCATCCTTGGGCTGCAGGTAGAGGAGAAACAGGCCAAAGCCAATATTTCTTCTCTAAGACCTCAGGAGGCCAGGCAGAACTTGTCTCTGAGGTGCTTGGAGATCACTGAAGAGGCTGGGTTAGATCCTGAAAGCCCATCTTGGGGGAGATATTGCATCCCAGGCAATCTCCACTTTTGCAGTGTCTGTACCAGGGAATGGGTTTGAGTCACATCATGAGGAACTGAAGTTAGCTGGTCAATACACATTTATTAAACAGCCACTGTGTGCCAGGCACTGTGCTAAGCGCTAGTGATACAAATATGAAAAAGAAGGCTGTCCCTGCTATCAGGAAACACAATCCAATGGGGATCAGGGAAGCAGGAGGGACGGGATGTTCCCTTGGAGTGCGGGCTTCCCGTGACCTCCGGTAGCGCAGGCTCTAAGGATTGCCTGGATTTTTGAGGCTGGGTTTCGGGAGGACCTCAGAACCAGGGAGCATCTCATTCCCACTTATTTGTTCTTGGCTTCCAGGGCCGGGATGCCAGTGACCAACACATCGTAGATGTGGTACTGAAGATGCTGCAAGGTGAGTGAGAGGGAAAAGGGGTGGAGCAAGCATTTATAAAGCACCCACTACATGCCTGGCAGTGTGCTAGGCACTTTACAAATAGTTTCTTATTTGATCCTGGGATGACTGAGTGGGATCTGGGGGCCCTTAAGAAAAAGAGGCATCCCTATCATCTTCCCCCATGATGGTCTATAGGACCCCTTTCTGAAGGATCTGATGGGGTGCCTTTGGGCAAAGGCCTTGTTAGGCAGTCTCTGCCCCTCTCTTGGCCTCAGTTTTTTTCCCTGTCTAATGGGGGCAATGATCTGGGAGTATCATCCATACCAAGTCAAATCAGGCAGCAGCTTCCCCACCCTCCTCCTTACTTTCCAGAACAACTGGCCGAGGTGGCAGTGAGTGCCAAGCGAGAGGCCCTGGGTGGCATAGGAGGAATGGGTCCCCCAGGCCCCCCAGGCCCTCCTGGGTACCCGGGCAAGCAAGGTCCACACGGACACCCAGGCCCCCGAGGCATCCCTGGTATCATTGGAGCTGTGGGACAGATCGGCAACACAGGACCTAAGGGTAAGGAAAAGGGCCCTGCAAGGAGCCTGGGAGCTTGGACTGGTTTCCAAGGCGCCCGGGGAGGGCCACGTGTGTTGGACTCAGAGGCAATCAGTCGACAACCTGCTTTGTGCCCAGCACTGTGCTAACGGAGGGAATTGGAGGACCTGCATTGTTCTAGTCTTGGCTCTACCATATGGCCTTTTAGGGCCTCAATTTCCTCATCTGAAAAACAAGGATAACAACCCTTACTCTCCCTATCTCACAGGGATGTTGTGGAGGAAGCATTTTGTAAGCCTTAGAGTAAAATTCAAGTAGTCTTTCCTGATTTCCCCAGGTATTAATGCCTCCCCACCAAAATCTCGTGTATTCATTTGTATATATCCTGTATTTACTCTCTGTAAGCATATTGCATCCTCCTGTAGAATATAAGCTCCTTGAGGGCAGGAATTGGCTCACTTTTGTGCCCGTATTCCCTATCACCCAGCCCAGTGCCCCCTGACACACACATGCACATGCACGTGCACACACACACTCATGTGCATATAGTAGGGGCTTCATAAATGCTTACTAAAAAGAACAGTGACAATAAGACTATTAAGGATAACAGTAGAGCAACTTGTCCTAGGGCCATCTTGGCCTGCACGCCATAAAAAAGGGAACGATAACAACAAACGACGCGAGCTGGATGGAGGGCTCCTGCTATGCTTTGGGGCGCCTGTCTGTAGGCGCCCACATCCCCTCCTCCCCCCCTTCCCCAGCTGCCTGCTCTCCTTCCTAGCTTTCCTCCAAGGCTCATCTGGGGCTTCTTGCCTGGAGGGGAGAGACATCATCCCATGAGGAAACAGGGCCCTGGGTTCTGAACCTCTCCTCTGGCCCTGGCCTTGCTCCTTGCTGGCTCCTCCCTGCTGGTCATGAGCAGAGGGAGCCCAGCTCTGCGAGCCTCCTCTTCTCTTGGCAGGGAAACGCGGAGAGAAGGGAGAACGAGGGGACGAGGGTCGTGGGCACCCTGGGCAGCCAGGGCCTCCAGGAATCCCGGGTGAGTGAACAGCGTGGGCCAGCTTCCAGCTTCACCCCGCTCCCCATTCCTTTCCTTCCCCCCACCCCCGAGGCAAAGGCCTGGCCACTCTGGGGTAGCGTGGGATCAGGTGGGAATGGAGGAGACCCGTGCAGACAGGCAGTTGGGGAGGAGGCCTAAGGGGCAGGGGAGCTGGTTTTTTCTTTCATGACCACCTCTGCCTCAGCCCAGGAGTGAGGAGTCACTTGGAAAATTTCAGGAGACTCCTGCTGAATCCTGGAGAAGTTTCCAGCCAAGCAGGTTACCTGGGCAGGGTCCTGTTCTTGTGTGGTGTCCACAGCCTCAGTTTTCCCCCTCTGAGCAATGGGATGTCTTAAAAGTGGTTGGAAATCTGGGGACAAAGGATAGAAGATTGAATTGGGGTTTGATGGGATGCTAATGTTCTCTTTCCTCCCCCAAACTCAGGACTTCCTGGCCGGCCAGGCCAGGCCATCAATGGCAAAGACGGAGACCGTGGATCACCAGGTGCCCCAGGAGAGGCAGGCCGACCAGGCCTGCCTGGTCCCGTGGGGCTCCCAGGTTACTGTGACCCTGCAGCTTGCCTTGGGGCCTCAGCCTATGCTTCCGCCCGCCTCACAGAACCCGGAACCATCAAGGGGCCCTGAGCCAGGACACAGCGACAGGGGGTGGGCCCTGCCTCCCTTACCCAGTGGTCACCCCACCCCCTTTGATGGATATCCAGTTCCCTGGCCCAGAGGACACTGATTCAAGCTGAGGACCCAGGGGTTCAGCAGGCTGGTAGTCTACATCAAGCATCTTGGGAAATTCCAAATGAAGGAGCCATGAAGGGGAAGAAGAATCAGGTAGACCCCAGAGAGGTCCGAAGGCCTCTTTCTTACCTTGGATCTCAGACTTTTCCCCCTGTGCTCCCACATCCAGATAAACCTCTCCTTCACCCTCTCTTCTTCTCCTCTCCACTCTCCATCCTCCGGACACATCAGATGGAGAGAGGGAGGTTCCTAGCCTCAGTCTCTTTTACAGGATAGACTGGTCACCCTGCTCTTCCTCACTGACATTCTGGGGTAGAAGTGTCCACTCAGGCCAGCAGTTCAGGCTTCTCCCCCTCAGCTCTGTGTGAATATTTAAATGTACCTCCTCCTTCCCCATCCAGAGCTGGGAATACCCGGGCCGGAGCTGTCCAGAACCAGGGATCCCCTTCCCAGATGGGCATGAGACAGCAGAGGGCTGGAGCTCTTGGGCCAAGGGCAGCGGAGACATAGTCTGTAACTGAGGGGTGGGGAGGAGGGTGGTGCCACGGCTGGGAAGAGAGTCCTCAAGCCACTGGAAAACCGAAGGGAGTGCAGTCATCTTCAGACACATACCTGTGCATATCTGTCATACCATAGAATAAACTCCCCAACCTGCCCACCAAGCTGGAGCCCAACTGAGGTCTCAAATCCTGTTCAACAGTAATGGCCGTGTGATCATGACTCTGTGTGTGTGTGTGTGTGTGTGTGTGTGTGTGTGTGTGTGTGTGCTAATAATGTGGGCTTAGGTGCATGACAGAGGGAGAAACAGAACACTATAGAGGTCAGGGGGCAAGGTCATTACTGACCAATGGGTCAGTCCATCAATAAGCATATATTAAGCACCTACTATACACCAGGCACTGTGTTAAATGCTGGGGACAGAAAAAAAAATATTCACCAACCTTGAGGAGCTCACAATTTAATGGGGGAAACAACATGCAAATAACCATGTACAAACAAACTATAAACACAATAAATTGCATAGGATTCACAGAAGGGACCCACTAGAAATAAGAGCAATGAGGAAAGGCTTCCTGTAGAAGGTAGGATTTTAGCCAGGCCTGGACATAGATCAGGGAAGGCTTTCTGGAGGAAGGGGCTTTGGAGCTGGGTTTCAAAGGATGAATAGGAATTAGTAGTATAATGCCTGGAGAGGCAGTATAGCAGAGGAGTGGACAGAGAGCTGGCTTCATGGTCAGGAAAACCGGGGTTCAAGTGTGGCCTCTGACACACAATGGCTGTGTGACCCTGGCCTAGTCACTTACCCTCTCAAGGTAACTTTCCCTCAGCAGCTTCCCACTCTATAAACTGCACAGCAGGTATTGGTTCTCACTGGTGGAGGGAGTTTCCCTTCTCTACCAATGAAATCACCGGTCTGGACCAAAGGGAAAACAAGCACCTGATATTTCTAGGTTTCTACATACACCTTCATTTGCTAGTTCTATGAAGCAGGTACTACAGGGCAGTGGGGTCAAACACATTCCTGTGGGCTGTATATTGACTCAGAAAATCACAAATTGAAATTATGTCATATTCTATTTTGATCTATTTTGTTAACTTAATTAACAAAATTTAATTTGATTTTGTTAAAAGTAATTTCTCCATTCCATTTCTGGGGTCCTGAGTTGACTCATCTGCATCATTGACTCATCATTATCACATAGTGTGAGAGTTGAACAACACCTCACTGCCACCTGGCCCAATCTATACACAAAAAGAGTCGCCACTATAACACATTAGGTTGTTTATTTCCATTTCACAAATGCGGAAACTGAGACTCGGAGAGAGTAAGTCAGCAGGTAAAAGGGAGGGAGAAGACATTCCAGGAAAAGGAACAGGATTGGGGCAGCTAGGTGGCACAGGAGCTCAGGCCTTAGAGTCAGGGGGACCTGAGTTCAAATCCTACCTCAGACACTTGACACTTACTAGCTGTGTGACCTTGGGCAAGTCACTTAACCCCAATGGCCTCACCCAAAAAAAAAAAAAGGAATAGGATTAAGGGAAACCAGGGAAAAGACAGGAAAGGCTGTGTTGCATGGGGGTAGGGGGGAAGGGGCAAAGAGAAAAGTTAGATTTGACTGGAGATTAGAAGACAGAAATCCCAAAGAATGGGGCACAGGGCTAGAGGGCCACTGGGGTGCCTTCCAAAGCTCAAATTCTATGGTTCTGCATCTTGAAAGCCAAGTAAGGAGGGAAAATTTAGTAGGTGGAGTGGTCAACAGTATCAAATTCGGTAGCATAGTCAAGAAGGCTAAAGACTGAAAAAAGATCATTGGACAGGGTGGTTTAGTGGTGGAGGGAGAGAGCAGCTGGGGAGGTCAAGGAGGCATCAAGTATAGACAACTTTTTTCAAGAAGTTGTTAGTGAATGGCATGTATATAACCTATACCAAATTGCCTGCCTTCTCAATGAGGCTGGGAGGAGAGGGAGACAGGAAGAGAATTTGGAACTCAAAAAATTTTCAAAAAGACCTTTTTTTCCTTTTAAATAGTATTTTATTTTTTCAATTACATGTAAAGGCAGTTTTTAAGATTCATTTTTTTCATATAAAATTTTGAGTTCTAAATTTTCTCCCTCCCTCACCTCCTCCTTCCTTCAGACACTAAGTGACTTGATACAGGTTATATACATGCAATCATGCAAAACATATTTCCATATTAGTCATGTTGTAGAAGAAACAGAACAAGAAGAAAAAAAACTGCAAAAAAAAAAGTAAAAATAGTATGCTTTGATCTGTATTCAGACTCCATCAGTTCTCCCTCTGGAAGTGGACAGCATTTTCCATCATGAGTCTTTTGGAATTGTCTTGGATCACTGCATTGCTGAGAAGAACTAAGTCTATCCTAGTTGATCACTGCATAATGTTGCTGACACCTGTGTACGATGTTCTCCTGGTTCTGCTCACTTTACTTTGCATCACTGCATGGAAGTCTTTCCAAGCAAAAAAAAAAAAGAATGTTAAAAATTGCTTTTACATGTAATTAGGGGGGAAAAACAAAATAGTAAACAAATAAGTTATCAGTGAATGAGAGGACAGTAGATGGGACAGGAGTAGGATGATGGTAGAAGGGCTGAGCACAGGTATTTTCGGAATTGAAAGCACTTTTCCACACATAGGAAGAAATTATTGAAGGGAAGACTGAAGATATATGACACCTCACTTTAGAGAGCCTCATCTTTTCAGTGAAGTTAGAAGCTAAATTGTTCACTATATTTGGTCACTGGAGACCTGGATGCCACTGGGGGAAGAAGAGATGAGTTGGGACCCCTCCGGGATCAAATATAAAACCCTCTCTTTGGCATTCAAAGCCCCTCCTGCCTTTGCAGTCTTCTTATACCATACAACGCCCCACTGCGTCCTCTGTGAACAAGTGACAGTGGTTCCCTTACTCTTCCTCAAACACCACACTCCGTCTCCTGATGCTGGGCATTTCCGCTGGTGGTCATCTACACCTGAAATGTTCTCCTTCCTCATCTCTACCTTCCAGCTTTGCTAGCTTCCTTTAAGTTCCAGGTAAAATCTCGCCTTCTCAGCCCCTCTTAATTCTAGCACCTTTCTCCTTTTGATAGCTCCTATTTACGCTGTCTACAGCTTGTTTGTACACAGTTCTGCACGCGTTGTCGGCCCCATTAAACTATGAACTCCTGGAGAAGAGATTGCCATATTTTGCCTTTGTATTGCCAGCATTTAGCACAGCGCCTGGCACACAGTACGCTAATAGTCCCTCTGTACTCTGTCATTTCTGAGTGCCGCATTATAGAGGGGACACTGATAAACTTCAGAAAGCCCAGAGGAGGGCAACCAGAACGGTGAAGGGCCTTGAGTGGATTGGCTGAAGGAATTTAGCCCAGAGAAGAAAACGTTCAGCTGGGACAGGATAGCTGTCCTCAAGTTTATGAGAGACTGCCACATGGACTGTTTGGCTCCAGAAGGATGGAGCAATGGAACTCCTGCTCATCGCTGCAAAGAGGTATATTTAGGCTTACTGTCAGAAAAAACAATTTTTCTAACAACCAGACAGAGCTGTCCAAAACCAGAAGGAGCTGTCTCCTTCTGTAGTGGGCTTCCCTTCAGAGAAGTCTTCAAGCAAAGGATGACCACTTGTCAGGTCTGCGGTAGTCAGAATTCTTTTCCAAGGACAGGCTGAACTAGGTGGTGGTTGAGCTCTCTTTCAACTTTGAAATCCTGTGATTCTATATTCAGTCTCAGTGAGGAGGGTGAAAAGGTGTATTCATGAGAGTGAAAGCGGAGGAGGGTGAGTGGAAGAAAAGGTGGTTGAGTTGCAATTTCGAGGGTGAGGTCAAAGAGGTGACACTACCTATGTGAGGCCAGAGAGGTAGAGAAAGAGGAAGCCGAAAAACCATGAGGTCACAATACTAGGATGGTGGGGGCAGGGGAGAGCCAAGAATTATTCTTCAGGAGTCTTTCTGATAGCCTAATTTGGGCAATTCTCTAATTACCTGTCAAGTTCTCTAATCAAGGGGTTTCCTACCTTAGAAGTGAATTAATTTTTCAAAAAATTACACCCATATTAGGTTGGGAATCAGTTCTGCACTCACCTGTTGTGTGACCTTGGGTAAACCACGACCCAGCTCCCCGAGTTGCTTTTCCCTATGAAATGAGGTGTATGGAGTAGGTTCTCTCTCTCAGCTTTGATATTCTAGGATTCATTTTAGGTAGATGAAGTGGCATATTAGAAAGATCAGTGGATTTGGGACCGAATCTCAGCCCTCTCAAAACCTGGCTCCAACCTACCTTCTCAACCTCATTATGTTTCGTCCCCTTCATACACTCTTTGGTCCAGCCTTCTTGCTCTTCCTCACTCAACTGGATGGCTCACTGTTCTTCGCACACAAGATTGCATCTTCCATGTCCAAGCTTTGCCCTAGCTACTCCTCATGCCTACGTTGGAATCTGGTTTCCTTCAAAGCTCAGCTCGGCCACTGCCTTCCACCCCGAGAGCTTTTCTGATCCCATAAACGGCTTCCGCTTCCTTCACAAAAATCACCTTGCGCTTGGTGCATTTGCTACCATGTTTATAAAAGCTTACTTGCTGTCCCCCCCCCCCACCCCGGATAAAATGTAAACTCTTTGAGTGCAGGGACTGTTTAATTTTTTCTCTTTGTGTCTCTATGGCCTAACATGGTGCCTGGCACACACAGTGGGCACTTAGTAATGTGAGCTTTCTCAACCTTAAGCCTTGACATCATCACTTCTCTCTTCCCACCCCAGGATATTTCTACTACACACTAAGGCTAATCTCATTTCCCTCCCGCCACCTCCTCTCCAAGGCCCTGCTCCAGCAGTCCCCCCTCTGTGTCTCACCAATCTTTAATCTCTCCCTCACTACTGGCTCCATCCCATGGGCTGTGGTCTTCCCTGAATCACAAATAGTCTTGCCTAGATACTAACTATGCAGCTAACACTGCATTCTTTCCTTGACTGCTTAACCTACGGAGAATGTGGTCTACAAACAATGCCTTGACCCCACCCTCATTACCTACCCTCTTCTCAATGCCTTGAATTTTTAAAAATTATATCTGGTCATCCTATGCCTTCGCTCAAAAACCTTTAGTGGCTCCCTGCTGCCGGCCGAGTCAAATTCAAACTTCTTTGTCTGATGTTCGCCTTCACTACTTGGTGCTACTCTACCCTTCCAGCTCTGTCTCACGTTACTCATAGACTCTATGCTCCAGCCAAAGTAATGCACCACCTCAGAAATTTAAAACTAGATGCTGATGATAATAGACAGCATTTACATGGCGCTTTAGTTGGTAAAATGCTTTAGGTTTATTACCTCATTTGATCCAACAACACTAGGAGGTAGATGATTATTATCACCTCCATCTTACAGACGACACCAAGGTAGATAGGTTAAGTGACTTGCCTGGGACCACACAGCTAGTCCCTGAGCAGGATTTGAACTCAGGTCTTCCTGAGTCAGAGTCCAAATCTAGAGTTCTATCCATTATGCCACTTGGCTCCCCATCCCCTATCGCTCCTCTGCCTGGAACACCTTTCCTCTCTTGTCTTTGGTATCCATGAAGGCCCAACTCAAACAAATCTCACTGGATTCCCAGTCCCTTCAGAATTGCCCCTCGGGACTCACACAGAGCTTGGGAAACTCTCCAAAGCCTGCCTCATTCAATACTGTTTATTATTGTTGTCTGCATCCCAACTCTCTCCTAGACCATGAGCTCCTTCAGGATGGTGTTATTTAAATTCTGTATTTCCCCAAGGTGTGCTCTGCATAACGTATTTGCTGAACTGAATGAGCTTTGGATCAGAAGTTTCATGATTTTCTATTCAATTTAACACTTTTTGAAGTGGTGACTACAATACAGGGCCCCATGTTACGCAGCCGGGATACAAAGTTAGAAAAATGGGTCCTCACCATCCAGGAGTTTATAATTAAATGGGGAGATAGGGAGAGAAGACACATACACAACAGGTACACAAGAGAACATGTACGTGCATGCGAGGCAAGACACAAGCTCTGTAGGAAAATTTAAAGAGAAGCTCCTATGGAAGTGTGACTTGGCCGGACCTTGAAAGGGATTTCATACACAGCCATGCTGCACAGGCCAGGGATAGGCTCAGAGGTGGCAGGTGGTGGGGAACTCTTAGGGTCAAGGAACAGGAAAAACTTAAGGGAATGACAGTTATGCTGAAGTAGTTGACTGTGAAGGCCACGTAAGGCGCAATGGACTGAGTGAACTGGAAGAGGATGGAGCGATTGGAGGGGCCTGAGGCAGGTGAAAAGCTGATTCAACAGGCGTGAAGAAGGCTGTGGGGGTAATGCTGCAGCTGAAGAAGAGCTGTCTGTCACAAGGCCCTGGAAAGGCTGGGTCTGAGCAATTCTCTTTGTAGAGCACCTACGATGGAGCTGAAGTCACTTCTCAGCAGTAAGCTTTTTGATGAGGGACCCACTGTAATGTGGCCCTGATCCTGCCATCTCCTCAACAGGCCAAGCATCATTCCTTTTCCTAGACAGACTCCTGGAGGGGCTTCCCTCCACCCATTCACTCCTTGAACCTTTGTAATCTGGCTCATGACCCCATCACTCAAATCGGCCAAGCTGAAGTCTTTGGTCAGTCTTATGATCTTTATTACTAGGTAGTCTTTGAGATCGCTTTTTCCTGGCTCTCCTCTCACCTACCTGAGCACTCCTTCATTTCCTCTCCTTAATCATCATCCTTGTTCCACCCCCTAAGCATTGGTGTCCTCCATGGCTTCGTCCTAGGCTTTCTTTGCTTGTCTCACTATTTTTACATCATCAATCCCTTTGGAAATCTGGTGAGAGCTATGAACCCCTCCTCAGAATATTTGTTATGTATATTCCTAGTGAAAGGAAATGCTAAATTTCAGTTTGAGGTCAGTGAAAATAAAGATGTATTTTTTTCTCATCCAATTTCTAGGACTCCCTGAAGTCTACCCTCAGGGGCTGTAGACCCCAGGTTAACGATCCCTACTCTACATCTATCCTTTGGTAGTCTCACTGCTCCTGTGTTAAAACAAAACAAAACAACACAACATATATCTAGTCCTAATCTCTATGTGAACTCAGTTTCCTCATCTCCAAATGCTGGCCATCTCCACCCAGATGTCACTGGAAGCATCCAAGCTCAGCATCCCTGAAACAGAACACGTGCTCCCAGATCTCTCACCCAACTTCATAACCTCAGGGTCCCCTTCAACGCCTTCCTTCCCCCACTGACTCAGCTATGAAATCCTGTCCACTCCACCTATAAAACATCTCTTGCACTTCTACCTTTCTTTCCATTAACAGTCACCACAGTAATTGTAGCCATCCTTATCCCTAACCCATCCTCCACAGACACCAGAATCATCCTCCTGGGGCATGAGCATACCTCAAAACCCTTTAGGGCCTTCTCATCTCCACTAGGCTTGACAGGTAAGACCCACCAGTCTGACTCCAGCCTGCCTTCTCTCCCAGACCTGGTACATAAATTCCCTTCATAGCCCCGTCCAATGACTTCACTGTTCTCTGAACGCCACATGCCATCTTCTACCTCCATGCAGGCTGTCCCCCACTGCACTTCATCTTCATTTCTTGCTTTCAGAAGGTTTATATTCCTTCAAGACTCAGCTCACAGGGTCAGCTAGGTGGCACAGTGGATAGAGCACCGGCCCTGGAGTCATGAGGACCTGAGTTCAAATCTGACCTCAGACACTTGACATTTACTAGCTGTGTGACCCTAGGCAAGTCACTTAACCCCTCTGCCTAGCCCCCCCCAAAAAAAAGACTCAGCCCATAGAACCCCTTCTTCATGAAGCCTCCTTCGATTTCCCTCTTCCCTATCCCAGGTGCAAATGTTCTCTTCTTCCTCAAGTCTTCTGACAGTACTTTGGGTCTCTCTTTTGTACTCACCACACATTAATTAAGCTGTAATACATTTATCTCTATACTAGTTGTACCTGTCTAGTAGAAAACAAGCTTCTTAGATGTAGACTATTTTTTAAAATCTTGGTATTCCTAGCAGTTACCATAATGCTTTAGTAAATGTTTGTCCAGTAGGCATTTAATAAACATTTAATTGAATCAGCTTAATTCCCTAAGCTGCTTAGCTACTGCTGCCTGCTAGACCCCCTTCCACAAGTCTTAACCAACTCAGTTCTCGCTGTATGACAGCAGGGGGACAATATGTTCAAAACCTCAAAGGAAGCTTAATTTGACTTCCAGAGGGCAGACTGAAGCGGTTCTGAGTGGAGGCACCAATTAGTAAGTTTGATGTTGAAAGCAGTCAAGCTCACGATCATCCGAGCTGCATCAAAGGGAGACAGCACAGTCAGAGCACAGTAAAAAGAAGTCACAGAGCAACATTCCGCCAGGGACCAGGGACCAGAGACAGCCTCAAGGGTGTAAACCCCAGAGGGCGATTGCTTTTCCTCCAGCAGCAGAGCCACCTCTTCACATGGTACCAGCCAGCTCCTCTGGTGGGCAGAGAATGAGCATGGGAAGTGGGTAAAACATACAGCCTTTCCAACAAATTAAAGATAGAACATACGACTTTCCATTGGCAATTTTTAATGTCTGAATTGTGCTAAATTCCAATGTGAGTTTAAAGGCACAGGAGGAAGGGAAGGATATCTCACTGAGAAGGAAAGATAAGGGAGGCTGGAGGAATAAAACTGTAAACCCGCTCACTTGCATTCTGCCTAAGGAAATAAATAATGCATTACAACAGAGAAACTGACTTGGATCATATTTTCATGTGAAGAAGTCACCCCAAACCTCAGCTATGCCAACTTTTACTGACAGAAATCTGAAGGCTGGTTCTGTTCCCATTCCGAGCAGATACCCAGAAAGCAGATGTATCAAGGGGATCACACCAGACACAAAAACTTAGGGTTTCCTCAAGCATTGCATACAATTATAAGGCAGTCACATACACATTTCTTTTAAAATGTCAAAAGGAACCTCAGGGTGGAAGGCTGCTTTGAAATAAAAATAGCTTGACCACTGACAACTACTACAACTGGTCCGAGTGGATGCTAGGCTTGATTCATAACATTGGTCACTTCCTGGGGAAGGGGGTGGGGTGGGGTGGGGTGGGGTGAGTGGAGCCTAAATAAAAGAGAGTTTCTCAAAACAGAACAATTTTTACTCTGGCTTCACAGGGCTTTACCTAAGTGCAAAAAGAAACCTATCGTCTTAGGGGTGTCTAAAAATTCCATTGTGTCCTCCTCTCTTCAAATTTTGTCCCTTGTATAGCTATGGAAGCTTGCATAATATGGCTGTTTCTGCCCAAAAGAGGAATATATAACTTTTCCTTATTGAGGGCTGGCTGAAATCAGGGATAGAAAGGGATAACAAATTCAAAAAAGGTAAAGGTATCTTGAAAAATACTACTGATTTGCCTAATGTGGTCATACAGGATGTACATGGCATAACGTACATTTCAGTACAAATGACATTAAGTCTTTTGTCAATTGTGATTTTCTATACTGTGGGATAGATCCTGATGAATAAAATCCAATAAAACAACAATGAAGAAAAAATTTCTTAGAACTGCCCACCTAAACATGGATACAGAGGCAGAAGTCAAAAGCATATTTATAACCATATTTCATCACAATAATGCCAGTTGTAATGACAAGTACCTTCCTCATTATTTAAAACACTGATTGGTTGGTCAGATTAAACACGAACAATTTTAACTATTTAAAGATTCAAATTTGGTATGAGCACAATGATTTGGGACCATGGTCTCAGCCTTGTAGAAAGGTTTCAGAGGAAGAGATACATCCTCCAAAGATGTGCCCGAAGTACCCAGTGGGCAGATTCAATTATGAGCACAAAAATCAATACTTTTATGTTTGTTCAAATAAGTTGGGGGTAAATTATATTATCAAAAAGTAAAGTAAAAATACCTTTATATACAATATGTTTTTAATGCTCATCCAGTGTTTTCCTTTTTAAAAAAACGGATTATTCCAATCAATTTTAAAATGGGCTATTAAATGCATTTAAATCGGGGAACCCACCTGCACTTAATTTTTCTCTTAAAAAAAGGTAAAAACATTAAGAGCTAGAACATGCTGCCAGGATGGAAACTTTCAGAAACTTGTCTTCAAGCACAGACCCTGGGCATCTCAGTCTTGTTTTGAATCCTGCAAAGCTTGAAGTCTCTCTAGCAGTGGAGGATGGGAATAATGCCACATTGAAAATAACCAGTCAGAAACAGGAAATCCCAAGTTGTCTTTGTTTAGTTTGATCAGGGCTGAGTATAAGTCTTTAGCCTTCCCAAGTTTCTTGGCAAATGCATCTGCTTGGAACTCAAATCTTCGGCTCAGTACTGTGAGACAAAAAGAAAGTACCTAAGGGAAGGTAAGGGGAAAGAAAGGGTTACTGGAAAGCAGTACTTCTGTTCTCACTGAAGATTTGGTGACACTGAGACCATGAAGGAAGTGACAAAGTGGGGCCTGGGCATGGGGAAAACAGGCCTGAAAGAAGGTGAGGTGAAGTTCAAGGATATGGAACATCAGTGGGCATCTTCATAAAGTAACGAGGTGGTCCTATACATTGCCACACATTTGAGAACATCTCTAACTCCATCATTTTCCAGATGGGAGAAGCAAAGCCTACATAGGTAAATGACTTGCCCAGTGTCACAGAAGTAGTGAGCAGGGGACTGGGATCCAAATTCAGGTTGTGATGTAAAACCCGGGGCCCCTTCCCACTATATCTCACCATCTCCAATCAAGAACAGGCATCTCTCCTCAGAGTCACTCCAGCTCTAAACCAACGATGATGATCACACCAACTGACGTCAAATATTAGGGTTGCAACAAAATATTTAGATACCCTTCAAAACTAATGAGGCAGTCTGGTATAGTGGAAAGAATGCTGGACATGGAGTCAGGAATCCTGCTTCTCACAATTAGGAGCTGTGTCATCATAGCAAAGTCATCTACCCTCTCTAAGCCTCAGCTTCCTCATTTATAAAATGGGCATCATAATAAATTGTGAAGATAAAATCATAAATGTCAGCTAAAGCAAGGAGAATGATGTTTTAAAAACAAGAAAACAAGAGCATCCCTGTGTCAGAAGGGACCCTAAGAGGGCACCTAGTCTGCCCTCTAAGGAAGCCTGATTCCTCTACAACACTCCTAACAAGTGGCCACCCAGCCTGTATGAAGACCTTCATGATGGGAAATTCAACATCCTCCACAAAACTCATCCACCATTTCCAAATTCACTCTGATCCCCCCGGGGGCAATGATGCTCCCAACACCTGAAAGTCACACAGCACTTCTGTTCCGATACTTTTGTTATGCACTGATTTGGGGGGGAGGGTGGTGTCTGGAAAAAATTTACATACTTATTTTCACTAACCTCTAGCATCTCCTTCAATTTGAATTTAAAGAATTTTTCTGAGAAGGGGTCCACAAATTTCACTAGACTACCCAAGGGGTCCTCTAATCACAGAGGACGTAAGCTCCCAAAAGACAGGGGCTCTGTCATCGCTGGCACTGTTTCCCAAGTGCCAGCACAGTATCTTGCACACAGTCAGTGCTTAATAAATGTTTGCCAAGGTGACTGTAAAGTTAGCTCTCTGGCTGCCCTGCCTCAGGCTGAGCTCCCAAGGTCCTTCTCACAAAAAGCGTTTTCTCCCTTTCTGTACTTACATAATTATCTCTTGAAGACCGAGGATTCTTCTTCATTAGCAGAACTTTAAAGATCTAAATTAATGATTTCATAGAAAGCTACTGTTTTGATGGTCCCACGATGGGATCCACTAGTATTCCAAGCTCAAAAGGGTGTAGGAACTTCTCTTTGGGAAATGATCCCAGACTCCATTCATAAGCAAAATAAGAAAAACTACCCTGTTATTCTGAAGCCATTTTTTCCATTTAAATAAAATCTACTCAATTCATTCATCATATACTTTTACACATCAGATTTAGCTCCCAGCTGAGCCGTTTCTAAAAATCAAATACATTTTCAAAAGCTAAAGACTCATTACCACTGAAATCCAAATGCATTTTCAAACAGCGTCACTGGGAAAACTGTAAGACCTCCCAACACAATTGCTTTAATGCAAATAATGCTCATTAGGATGCATGAGCCCTGATATGTGTGTGAAAACTGAAGTTTCATCACCGTATTTATTTACTACTTTTTTGATGTAGTACCTTTGGCCCATGTTTCAAAAGAAGATTTGGGGGAGACAATTCCCCTAAAATCTTTGGGGAAGGTCCAAGAATGGATTCAGCCTTTGAGCAAGTCTTCCTTCTGGACTGTAATCATCAAGGGGCCCCACTGTTTCTTTAACTGGCTTCCTGCCTTTCTTGAATGGTGCTTAGGCAACCAAAATGATTGGTCTGAGCAAGGTAACCTTGAAACAAAGCTAAGAACTAGGAAATAAATAATTTCTCTAATCATTCAAATTATGTCACAAAAAGTGACATCCAATTCATGTACTCAATTCATGAGAAAGCCCCCCTCCCTCAAAGTCTACTTAGGCTTTCAGTATAATCCTAGCAAGTACATTTATGGGCTTTTTCCAGACGACTAGGTGTAGTAAATTCAAACAGACAGGAATTCTCAAGGCAGGTCTTGAGCACTGTTCTTCATTAACATTGAGAAAACCACTGGCAGTGTGATGGTAAAGGTGGAGACAAAAAACCACCAGCTAAGAACTCAGACAGCACAGCAGTGTAAGGTCATCATATGCTATGGCAAATATAACTACACCTAACCATGTGATATCTGAGGGCAGCACATTCAGGAAGGACAGTATACTAATATTTTAAGAACGAAGATAATGATTCATCAAGAAATGGTCACATAATCAGTATATTGTTTAAAGAATGCAAAATAGTAATACATTTTAGAAGATTTTCATCAAAAATAGAATTAAATTTGGTGTAGTCAGGGGCAGCCCTGGACTTGAGGAGTATCTGGATATAGATCCCATTTCAGTTACTAATTGTGTGGCCCTGGGCAAGTCACTTCTCTGTGCTTTGATTTCCAAATCTGTAAAATGGGGGTGGGGGTGTTAAGGGAAGAAAAGGTTGGCCTTGATGGCTTTAAGGTCCCTTCTAGCTCTAAGCCTATGATTCTATAAAAGGGTAAGCCTAAGTTAATTGGAAAATGGCCTCATACAGACCATCTCATTCTCTGATGAGGCCAGAATCCTTTTTGTTTTTCCTGGGGTTCATACCCAGTTAAAATTACCTCTTTTACAGTCTTTTCAGTTATCTAAGAACCCTATGTTTATGTTGTTTCAAGTTGTAGCAATCTGTGTAGGGATTACTGACACACTTAGCCTAGCTTTGACATTCTTGATCTCTTTCAACATTCTCAGCTGAGCATCCTTATCATAACCAGGTCCTTCCTTTATGCTCTCATTCATTATTAAGCAGGAGTTACGGAATGCTGTTCAATCAGGGTATCAATGCAAGCCGCGCATCTGAAGGCTACGCAGCTGAGTCTGAGTTCTGGCAGGTTCCCATCAGGTTGGAAAAGCTCTAAGTAGAGCTTGTGTGTCTGCCCTCTGAGGACCAGCCTAGCCAAGTGTAAAGAGGCTCATCACTAAGAGGCTGCCCACCACATAATGTCTTTTTTCTGGGTAACAAACTCTTATGAAGAGTGTACACTACAACACTGGGGCCTGTGCTGGCAGAGGTAGTGTTCACTGAGGAAATCGGCCAAAGAACACCCTTCTTTGTGTCCATCCCACAGTACTGCCCATGCCCACTAAATACTAGATGACTGTTCTTTGCATTAAACCTCACATTCAATACCACCTCACTAATTCCTGTCCTTTCTGTAGTTTATATCCTGCCAGAGCTATTTCTCTTAGTGCCTTTCCATTAAATTCCTGGAATACCAGTTACATCAGGATCTGTATTCAGTGAATGTCCCCCACTTCATTCAGGCAGGCTTCTAAGCTGGGGTCTAACAAGGACTTGTCTACACTGGCTCTACTCTTCTGCTGGGTTAACTGTTGATTCCAAAGGTAGATTATTTTACTATTGCTACCATCTTCAAGCACAGCATACCCTCAGAGATCAGCATAACGTCAGAGCTACAGGGGGTCTCCAAGTGCATCTGGTCCAACTCACTGCTAAACAAGAACCCCCCTGCCCATGAGGGGTCATTCAGTCTCCAATAAATAAGCTCTCACAACCTCAGAGAATTTCCATTAGAATATTCTCCTTATATTGGGTTGGAATTTGCTTCTCTTTAAATTCTACCCATTACAGGCCATGTGGTATGGTGAAAATAACAATGGGCTTGAAGCCAGAGGCCTGGGTCTGAATCCTGGCCTTGCTACTCGTAGTCTACGTGATTACGGGCAGGTCACTGATCTTCTCTGAAGAGGAATGGACTCAGTTAGCTGGTTGGCTGCTGAGGTCATCTACGATCCCACTCTGACCCTCTTTAGTCAAGCTGCTTCCCCATTTCCTCAGGTTTGACATCTTCTTTTGGGGAAGGTTTCCTCCTATTTCCAGAAGGCCAAAAGCTATGTATAGGCCTGCCTCTCAGCCCTACCCACAATTTCCTCCCAGTAGCTAAAGGTTTCCTTGCCTCCTTTCCAAGGGCTTGAGAGTTATTATGGAAAGTTTCCTTCTTGACCACAACAGTAGGGCCCTTGGCCATCCAAGTGTCATATCTCTAGGCACACTTTGTCTTTTCTCAAATTTAACCACCATTCTGTTATCTTTTTTATGTTTAGTACAAGAACCCAATTACTACTCTGGTCTAGGTGGGAGCCTGCTCAGCTCACAGCCCAGCCACTCCACCTGCAGCACCTGACAAACTAAAATCCTCCTCCCTGGCCCCATCATTCAGTCCATGTGCTGAATAAACACATTTCCTGATCTTTCAAGGCCTTCCGCGAGGAACGGAGTAGTATCTTAAAGACTGCTAGACCTCTAGGTCCAGGACTTAGTAAACTATGTGAACACATAAAAGACCATACTTTACCTCATTGTAAGGTGAAAAAATAAACTGGAAGATGATCATTAGTCCAATCAGAGTGGGTTGAGTATCATAAAAACCAAATGCAGCAAAGAGTTCTTTTTGACCAATTAATATGGCAAATAAGAAAAAACAAAGGAAAGAATTCATCTAAAATAAAAGAGACAGATATGCCAAGTTATGGTTAGAATGCTCTCATCACAGGGCAACATTCACACAGCCTGGATTTTATTTTTAAATTCTACCACATACTCTCATTTTAAGAATGACATTGAATGTGATCACAGAAAATGTCATGCACTTAGTTTCATTTCTGCCCCAGACAGGAAGGAATGTATGCATACAGTGTGCCCACACCAATCCTGTGTTTGAAGATATTCTTAACTAATAGCTAAAATGCACACAGCACTTCAAGGACGCAAGAGGGTTTTATATATCTATGATTCTACCTGATCCATACACAATGACCCAATGAAAACGCTAGCATAAGTATTAGTAGTCTCACTTTATTGGGGAGGAAAGAGACTCAGAGTAACAGGGTCATTTCCAAAAATCACAGAGAAAATAATTGCAAAGCCAACACTTGAATCTAGGTCCACTGATTCTATATTCAGGGCTCTTTCCACTCCCCTGTGCTATCTCTTTCCGTTTAGAATGAGAGCAAACTGAACTAATTCACAGTTCCACCAACAATGTAAAAGAATACCTGTCTTTCAACAACCTCCAACACTGTCCAGTCTGATATTTTGTCAGCTTTGCTAATTTTCTGGGTGTGAAGTAAAATCTCAAAGTTGTTTTGATCTGAATTTCTTATTAGTGATCTAAAGCAATCTTTCATATGATGGTTAATAATTTTCCATTTCCACATGTTCTAACCACTCATCCACTAGAGAATGGCTTTTGACTATCAGACCATTATCAAAGATATCTGATACAAAGATTTTTTTCCCAGTTGACAGTTGCCCACCTTATCTCAACCACATTAATTTTGTTTATATAAAACTAGCTCCCTCTTTTATGGAGCCTAAGACTACATTAGGTTTTTTTGGCTTCCAAGTTACATGCTATCATTCAAATGTCAAATCTGAGCCTTGTCCCAGCAGCAGCCGTGTGGCCTCAATGGCAGGTGCCATCTTTCTCTGATGCCTGGTGGTTCCCTCCAAAGGCATATGCCCTGTTGCTGCTTCTTTAAAAGCCCAACTATCCTCTTTGGGCAACTTCTTTAGTTCTCACTTTCTGTCTGATAGAGTCTTCAGCTCATTTCTAAAGAAATATTATCCCACCTGATGTATATTTTAGTTCACCCACATTTATCAATTCTTTCATGTTTGTTCTACTGTCTCTCATGGTGCTGGACTGAAAAAAAAATTGGCTTTTTGTCCAGTAATAAATGAACTACATAAAAATAAATAAATGAATGAAAGAATGAATAAATAAATAAATCAACTACATTATCGCTAAGGTCCCTTCCAGCTCCGAATCCTGTAACCAAATAAAGGAACAAAGCTGCCTATGACACAGGTTTTAAGGGAATCCAAACACAAAGGGAATAGAAATTATTAAACAAATTTGGTACACATGAATATAATGGAATACCACTGCAGTGTAATGAATGGTAAGAAGTATGAGAAGACAACTGATACAAAGTAAAGCAGAACCAGGAAAAAAACACACAGAGGGGCAGTATGGAAGAGTGAAGAGAATTGGCTTTGGAGTCAGGAAGACGTGGGTTCAAGTTCTGTCTCTGACACATACTAGCCAGACAATCATGGACAAGTCACAATCTCTCAGGAGCCTAGGCAACTTTCTTAAGACTCTAAGTTGTAGAACAGCTACCTGCTTCTCTCTAGATATAGATATAGAAAGATATGATAATATCTGTATATACAAAATGTGTCTATATATAATGTGTATACAACATATATTTTATTTATACATATATAGAGAGAGACATGAGGGAAAGAGAGTAGAAGAGGTGGGGAGGGAGGAAGAGGGAGAGGAGGGAACAGAAAGGGAGAGAGAGAAAGAATGTGTTTTTTTTTTGGTTTGGTCCAGTGATTTCACATACATACAAATATGTATGCACATGTACACGTGTATATTATTATACATACACACATAATGGAAAGGCCAATAACAATGAGATCTGACCATTCTCTAATTATAAAGACCAAAATGACTCCAAAGAAGAGATGTGAATGTACCTGCTCCCTTTTTCATAGAGGCAGGGGTCCAGGGGGATACAGAATGGTGAATGTAGTAACAGACCTGACTGATATGTTAGTTAGTTTTGCTAGGCTGCTTTTTCCGCACCTTTTCAATTCTTTGTTATATGGAATGGCTTTATAGGAAAGGAAGGGAAGAAGGAGATACAAAAACAAGATAGCAATAAAAATTTTATAAAAAGGCATGGATCAAAATCTTCTCGTGGTCAAGGGCAAAACTGCTAAAAACGGTTGTGGAAAAGAAATTTTTGCTGTGCAAAGCTAACTGGTAAAATGACAAAATGAGTCAGTGACTCATTACATGCTGCTTTCTTCCTCAGACCTTGCAGCTAGTAAAATGACACACCAGGACTGATTGAAGACATGGGTGAGAATGTGCACTCAAGGCACAGGCATACCCCAGAGATATTGCAGGTTTGGTCCCAGACCACCACAATAATGCAATCATCTCAATAAACTCAGTCACGTGAATTCTTGGGTTTTCCAGTGCATTAAAAAAAAAAGCTATTTTTACATAATATTGTAGTCTATTAAGTGTACAATAGTATTCTGTCAAAAAAAATCAAACCCTTATAATGTATATACCTTAATTTAAAAATATTTTATTGCTACAAAATGCTAACCATCGCCCAAGCCTTCAGTGAGTCACAATCTTTTTGCCGGTGGTAGGTCTTGCCTTGATGTTGATGGATGCTGCCTATTCAGGGTATTAGCTGCTGAAGGCTGGGGTGTCTGTGGCAATTTCTTAAAAATAAGACAATGAAATCTGCTGCATCAATTGACTCTTTTACTGGAATACTCAGAGGCCCTTGTAGAGTTATTAACTGGCCTAATTTCATTACTATTTTGTCTCAAGGAATAGGGAGGCCCAAAGGAAGTCCAGAGAGAGATGGTGGAACAGGCAGTTGGTTGAACAGTCAGAATATACAAATTTACTGATTAATCTGCCATCTTATATAGACAGGCATGATTTATGAAGTCCCAAAACAATTACAATAGTAATATCAAAGATCACTGATCAGATCATCATAACAGATAAAATAATGAAAAGATGTGAAATATTGTGAGAATTACCAAAATATGACACACAGACACAATGTGAGCACATGCTACTGAAAAAATGGGACCTGCAGACTTGTTTGAAGCAGGACTGCCACAAGCCTTCAATCTGTAAAAAACGCAATAAAGTGAAGGGCAATAAAATGAGATACGCCTGTACTGGTCTTCTGCCTGGACGTCTAAATTATCTGTAGCTGTACAAAACGGTCTGGTGAATTTGTAGTAAATATGTTCTTTTTATGAAGGATTAGAAATAATAATAATAATAATAATAATAATAATAATAATAATTTTTTTAAAAAGCAAGGTGTGCAGACAATGATAGATTCTGAACCTGGATTCAAGTCCTGGTTCTGTGACCTTAGGCAAGTGAAGTGGCCTTGGCCAAGCTCTCTGGGCTTCCCTCTTCACATCTGTAAATCAGAGGCTTGGACTAGATGGAGGGTTCTCAGACTTATCTGCGTCATGACCCCCATGGGCAACCCAGTGAAGTTTTTGGAGCCCTCCTTAGAGTAGTGGTTTTAAAAAAAATGTATAAAATAAAATACACTATAGGATTACAAACAAAACCAATAATAACGAAATACAGTTATTCCTAAACCCCAGGTTAAGAATCTCTAGACTAGGTGATCTCTAAAGTCCATTCCAACTCTAAATCTTAGGAACTCAACTTTGGGATGAAGACCCAAACCCAGCAACAATTCCCATTCCAGAGCTGGTGAGGTGTGGTTACGCATGCCCATAAATCCCTGCTACTCGGCAGGCTGAGGCTGCGGGATTGCTTGAGCTCAGGAGTTCTGAGATGCAACAGGATAAAGTCGAGAGGGTATCTACATTAATCTAGAACCAATATAGTGAGTTCCCAGAAGGGAGGATTACAACGCTGCCCAAACTTTTAACCTTAAAGCTTCCCTAAAGATCAATATTAGGACTGGGCCCATGAGCAGCTGCTACACTTACAGCCTGGGTGAGATAAGGAGACCTAGTCTCCAAAAAATGATTTCCCACTCCATATGTCACTTTTCTGTCCTCTATGTCTGCCTTCCCCTTCATGGCTGCATTTGTCAAAGTCTTGGGCAGGGGTGGGGAACCTGTGGCCTCAAGGACACATGATCCCCACACCCTTGACTTTGGAAGTCAATGACTTCTATAATACCAGTAATTGAAAAGAAATCTGGAGAAGTGAGGCGAAACAGTGCTTTGGGGCTGTCCCTCCCAGGAAAGGATTACTTGTTTATGAAAAAGCACAGGTGTCTACCTGACTTGTAGCAGAGAAGCTGGAAAAGCAGGTCTTCTAAGCAAACCAGAATGCTCACACACTCACCTGACTGATAACGATATTTTTGACAGTGTGGCCTAACTTCCAGTGTCCCAGTTCATGGCCAAGAACAGCAAGAACCTCTTCATTTTTACAGCCTTGTTTCTTATTCTGAATAGAAAAAAAATATTAATAATCAGTATAGGAATCTATTTTCGGGGCAGCTAGGTGGCACAGTGGATAGAGCACTGGCCCTGGCTTCAGGAGGACCTGAGTTCAAATCCAGTCTCAGACACATAATACTTACTATCTGTGTGACTCTGGGCAAGTCACTTAACCCCACTGCCTACCAAAAACAAAACAAAACAAAAAAACAGGAATCTATTTTCAGGAATATCTCTTGAATTGACAGCATGAATATGGCTAAAAGAGAGCTTCCCCAAGCTCAGCCTGTGATCATGATAAGCCCTGGGCTTCTCCCTTTGTACTCCCCCAAAAGGCAGGCTAGGGGGGGGCTTATTCCTTTGTCTTAGACTTTGTCACCCTCATCAATGTCTGTTTGGCCACACAGTCACTCTTTTGTTCAATTCTTATCGAAGGAGCCTAGCACAGTGCCTAATTCGCACAAAGCATGCATGCACCAGGGACTGAGAGAAATGCCAGGGTGAGACAAAGTCACTGCCTTCACAGAATAAGACATACAGAGAATTACAATATACCATCATTATAAAAGCTGAAATCCACATAAATAAAGCTTTAACATTTGTTTACAAGACATGATCATATCTAATACTGTAAGGTAGGCAGTGATAGATACTGTTACCCTCACTCTGCAGATAAGGAAACTGAGGCTCAGAGACACGAAGTAACTTGCTCAGGATCACACAGTTACTAAGAGGCAAAGTCACGGGGCAGCTAGGTGGCACAGTGGAAAGAGCACAGGCCCTGAAGTCAGAAGTACCTGAGTTCAAATCTGGCCTCAGACCAAACACTTGACACTTACTAGCTGTGTGACCCTGGGCAAGTTACTTCACCCCAATTGCCTAAATCAAAAAAAAAAAAAAGAGGCAAAGTCAGATCGCTGCAGGTGGAGCTTCCTTCCCACTCATGACCAGCGCGCTAGAGGAGAAGTCTAAAGGAAAAGCTCTGTTATAGACCACAGGCATCACAGAAGGCAGCTGAAGGAGTAGGCATTTGAGCTGAGACTTCAAGGACGGCGAGGAATTAGTGAACATCTAAAAAGAGAAGCAGTCACCACAGAGACAGCAAAGCTTTATCAAGAAAGGCCATACAAGATCAACTTCATTTCCTTTTTTGGAGGGTGACTAAATTTGAAGATCAAGGGAATGCTGCAGAAATTGCTTACCTATATTTTTGCTAAGCACTTGATGAAGTTTCTCATGTTATTTTTGTGGATGAGATAAAGCGTGTGGGCTAGGCAAGAGTACAGTTAAGCGTGTGTGGAAATAGAAGAAAGGCTGGACCCAAAGAGTAGCCATTGGTTTATCACCTCAGAATGAGATCTCTATCCATGTGCCCTACGGGTATGTTCTTGGCTCTGTGGTAGCTAACATTTTTAAATTAATGCCTCAGTAAGGCATGGAGAACATACTTAACAAATCTGCAAATGACCCAAAGTTGGGAAGATAGCTACCATGGACTGGATCTATGATTTCCTTGGCACAGGGAACTTCTCTCTACTGACAGAAATTGGCACCTTCTTTGTCTTGGTGAGCTGTCTAGAGAGGTGAAGTGACTTACTTGTCCAGGGCCACAGCACCAATGGAACAAAGTGTAGTCCCGATCAAAGGAGGGTCTTAAACCACCCTGGCTCTGAGGCCAGTTCTCTTCTGACTACATCATGCTGCCTGTCTCTCCACACATAGCAGATACCAAAAACCAGATTCAGATGACAGAATCTGGATCTAAGAAATGGCTGCTGCTTAGAACATCAGCTGAGTTTTCTAACAAGATGAAATTTAACAGGGATAAATATAAAAATTTACCCTGACATCCAAATAATCAATAGCTCAAGAATAAGACAAGGGAGCCATGGACAGAGGGCTGCTTATTTGGAAAGACTGAGGGTTTTAGTGGGTTTTAAGCATCACATTAATCAATGATGTGATATGACAACCAAAACCCCCTCATTAAATCTTCTGCTGAATTAGAACTGGTCTAATATCTAGACTAGAGAGGAGACAGTCTTATGAACTCTGCTCTATCAAATGACATCTAGAGCACAGTGTTTAGGTCTGGGCTCACATCTTAAGGACACTGAGAACCTGGAGTGCATCCAGGAGGACCACAAGGATGGTGATGGACCACATCAGCATGGACTGAAGAAATTGGGGATCTATAGTCTGGAGCAGTTTAAGGGAAGCATGACAGCAGCCATCTTCAGGACTTGAAGAGCCCCTCCGTGGAAGAGAGCAGACTTGTTTGGCCCTGCAGGCAGAACCTGGGGCAACAGGTCTAAGTCACAAAGAGGCAAAGTGAAGCTTGATGTCAGCAGAAACCTACTCACAATTAGAGTTGCACCTAAATTAACACTGTTTGGGAGAGGGTAGATTCTCGCTCACTGGGTATCTTCAGGAAAAGAGGGATGACCCCTTGTTGGGTGGAAGGGCTTCTTGGTCAGATATGGGTTGGACCAGAAGTCCTCTGAAGTCCCTGCCAACTCTGTGACCCTGTGAGGGCAAGGGAGGATGATGTGCCCGTGAAAATAAGAGCTGGCATCTATATAATGCTTTCAGACACACACACACACACACACACACACACACACACAACACACACAAACACGCAGCCTCATCTGAGGAACAGAGAACGAGGTTGTGTGAGGCACAGAAGGAGAGTAAAGGGCATATTTAGCTCCACAAAGTGTAAGCTCCCTGAGGTCAGGGCCAATTCATTTTTGCATTTGTATCCACTGTGCTTAGCATACAGTAGGTACTCAATAAATATGTGCTGACTGGTGAGGACAGAAAATACAGTGCACAGAGGGAGCTAATACAAAGTATTATCTCTAAGCACTACCAGGGCCTGGAGGAGGGAGAGGGAGAGCTGGCACCCAGCTTACAATGGGGGACATCCCTAGGATATCCCTGCTACAGCAGGCTTTGGGAAAAGCTGAACTAGATAGCTCAGGTTTAATATGGCCCACCTTTCAGGGGACTTAGGAAAGCCAAATGATGAAGACAAGCTGGGGTACCTCAGGTATATAGGAGAGGCAGGTGGTAAGAGTGAGCACAGGAAAGAACGGCTGAGGCTGGCAGGGGCAGTGTGGTTGTGGCACCCTTGGCATGAGGTCTGGGTCTTTCTCTCCTTCAGTGTCACTGATCTGGATCATGGCCCCTGGTGCTCAAGACCATATATGACATTCATAGAACTGAATAAAAGAGGCTGTAGGTAATCCTAGACAGTCTGAATTATACCAGCTGAGTGTCATCCCAACTTTCTGTCCTTATGACAAAGGTCTGTGCTGAAATCATGAGATGTCAGAGGAATGATCCAGAAGCTAACAGCAGCATCCCCACAAAGCTGGGTTGGAGTGCGCAAGGGCAAACCCAGATCATTCCTCAAACTTCCCCAAACTCCAGAAAATCTCCTCAGCCTTCTTCCAATGCTTCCTCAGAGCACACTGGTGTTCCTTTGTCCTCAGAGGCCTATGCTCTGAAGACTCCACTAACTGGAGAAGAGGTCCCCAACGGAGTTAGTGAACAGGAGGAGGCTACGGGAAACAAACCTCCTCTTCTTAACAACCAAGCCAAGCAGGAGAGCAGCCAGGACTACAACACAAGAGGAAGAATATGGGATTCACACAGCAGGAAGAAAGGGGACCCTGGGCCCCAAAACACAGATGAAAGAAGTGATCAGAGAATATATTTCCAGGAGCTATAGCTGGAGCAGGGGGAGCAGCTCAAACAAACCAGAAACTACAGTGACCCAGGTCTCTACTGCACTCGAAAAACAACTGTTGTTCAAGACAGAAAAAGTGCTGTGATAGGCAGCAGCATGGCAGTGTGGATGTTGGCAGCAATGAACAAATGGGAAGGGAAGAGAATAAGCATTTACATAGCATCTACCATGTGTCAGGCACTGTGCTAAGTCAAATGGAATCTAGAGCTACTGCCCCTTCTCTTAACAAGTCCTTATTTTAGAGTTAGAGACATTAAAGGAAGGCTCTGTCTGTGTGTGTGCGTGTACATGGGCACAAGTGCAAATGACAGATAAATGTAAAAAGATACCTAAATGGAGAGGAAAAAACCAAAAAACGGAAGCCAAAAGAAGACAGACTAGCCAGACAGCTTTGAAAGTAAGAGGCTGATGTTATGATAAACCTAAAAAGAAAAGCAAACTGTACATAACTGAGGCCTGCCATTTCAGCTACAATCCTTTTTCTGTTCTACTATCCATACGTAAAAGCGTATTCTATTTTTTGTTTGCTAACTTCAGAATAAAATTTTAAGTTAATTTTAAAAAAAACAACTGGGTACCTAGTTTTTCTTTAACATTTTAGAGTGAAGTCTAAAAGTCATGAAATTGTGGGGGAAAAAAGGACCTGGTATTTCCTGTACCTTTTTATGGGGATGGAAGTACACGCCAGGGAGAATGAAGACTGAGGCAGCTAGGCAGGTGTAACTGAACAGCCAGAGAACCTAAATCCAGATCTGAGTCCTATTATCACACACCTGGCCTTGGGCAAGTCATTTCCCTTACCTGGAGCCCGAGACTCACCCTTGCGTAATAAGACAAGGTCAAACTACATTATCCGTAAGGCCTCTTCCTGCTCTAAATTCTATGATCCTGTAACTGTTTACAAACCTGTCCATGGGCCTTACCCTGGCAAAGTTTTGGGTGAGACTTTAATTTCATCTTTTGTTTGCCTCGATGACGGTAGCAGGAAAAAAAATCATGTAGAAAAAAACACTTGATTCTCCTACCAGGATATGTGGGGCCAGGGGAGGAAAACAGGCAGAAAAAGGGCAGGAACTCTGTAAAGTATGTCCTCCCTCCCCCTCCCGTGGGTCACAGAGCACCCCTAGACTGCTGAGCAGCCTGGTCTCACTCACTGCTAACACAGAGTTAATTTTGAACTTTGCCTTCTGCCCAAACATACCCCAGAGACTCAGGTACCGGACAGGCTGTTTTCCAACGGTCTTATCACACTTAGCCCTTCCTGGAACACTGGCCCCCCCTGCCATGGGCAAAGTATCAAGCTGTGCCACAGGAACACAACACCCTGCTTGTCCCACTGCCTCTCAAACGCCAGACAGTCCTCTGGACCCCCAAACAGGGCAGCCTGAGGAGCCTGTATTTGTGTCCCTGGCACATAGTAGGGGGAAGGGAAAGGAATAAGCATTAATATGAAATCTACTACGGGGCCAGTCACTACACTAAGAGTTTTACAAATATCTCATCTGACTCTCACAACATTCCTCTTATTACACCATTTTACAGTTGAGGAAATTGGGGTTAAGTGACCTGCCATAGGGTCACTCAGCTATTCCAGTCTTTCTGACTCCAGGCCCAGCCCTCTATCCACTGCTCCCCCAGGTGCCTTGATTGCTGGTATATTATATGGGTCTAGTCTAATTATTTTCTGGAGACCAGTAACAGCATTTCTCCTCCAACATTCCACTCAAGGCTGCCTCCACAGGCCAATGATGGCAGTCCAGTCACCACTATGGGTCTGAGGATTAGGCTAAATGGACTAGTTCCACCGCCCTTCCCAGATGTTGTGTGCTGACGTGAGTTTCAATGACATTTTTAGTAAGGAACTTCTCTCGTCTTCTTGGAGTTTTCAAGAATTCCCTTATCCCAGAAAATCAGACACTTCATCACTCCAAAATACAGGACCTCTATCTGAAACCCAACTTGCCAATAAAGGACTGTGGCCGTGTCACAAGTCAATCCTGTTCCCCATGGCCCAGCAGCCTCTAACCCCAGAACTAGAGGTATGAGGCAATTATATACACAGTGGACAGGTATAGGGATATTTCACGTTCTCTAAACAGGGGCTGCACCCCTGGGACTGCCAAAAGTGGCTGCAGATACTGAAAGCAGAAGACAAGAGTTCAAGTCAAACTCACTCTCCCTTTGGCCTTCGTTTCTGGGCTTTCCCCCTCTTGCGGGGGGGATTCCGAGGAGCTCTCCTCCGGTGGCTCTTTGTTGAGCATGGAGTACTCTTCGAGCAGCGTGTCAAACAAAACGATCCGCTTGTTCTTGAAGAAGCCATAAAAGTATGCATTGCTGTGGGAGGAGCGCTTCGATCCTGTTGGGAGAGTTCAAAGCAGAGAGAAACTAAACTTCTAGGGCCTAAAACTGCCTGGCTCTGCTCAGTGTCATTATGAGAGGAATGGACAAATAAACCTTTCTGTCATGCTAGTGCTTGAGAGGACTCAGTCAACTACCTAAAATTACTGTCAATATGCCATAATACCTTTGGCATTCATTTACTTTCTTGAAACCTGTGATGACATCAGCACAGAAATCAGCATGTTAAGAGTGAGTGAAGGGGCAGCTAGGTGGCGCAGTGGATAGAGCACCGGCCCTGAAGTCAGGAGGACCTGAGTTCAAATCTGGCCTCAGACCACACACTTGACACTTACTAGCTGTGTGACCCTGGGTAAGTCACTTAACCCCAGTTGCCTTAAAAAAAAAAAAAAGAGTACATGAGCTCCGGGAGGCTGTGCCACGCTGAGAGGCCTAGCAGACAGGCCCCGTGACATGCAAGGAGCAGAGAGGCTCGGCCCTGGACGGTCAGTCACCGGGTAGTCAATATTCTGGCCACAGCCAATCACAAGGAACAGTGGAGAAGCTGTGCATTCTGCATAAGTGGAGGGAACCCACTCTGATGAAATAATGATCTTTAAAAGTGGTAACTTAGGGGGCATATTGTTGCTTTTAGGTTTACAAAGCATGACCCTTATGCAGAGGCAGTAGAAATGTCATTTGTCTGTTTTCTACATGGCAAACTGAAGCCCAGTGAGGCTCCAAGACGGTTAAGTATTGGAACCCGGACAGGTCAGGATGGGACAAGATGGGACAGGACTGGACAGTACAGAACTTCCCAGGTCAGCCACCTCTAGGACCAGCACTCTTAGCACTGTACCAGGCTGACACTCTGACTTAACAAACTCTTTCTTAATCTGTCAGGTCCTTAAAGTCCTGTTACCAGAGAATATTAAAGCACCTAATCAATATTATTTGACTTATACTGTTTAACATTTAGATGTTTTCAAACACAGCAACATACAAGTTAGTGGGAATGTCACTGTCTAGATTTATAAAATTTAGACAATTTCTGTGAAAATTTGTAACTGTTTCTGATCCTAGAAAAAAGACTGTGCATAACATAATTTAACCTTTAATCAATGACTCAAAGTCATCTTTTTGAACACTGGAGTCTACATTTCTGCTACAGATGCAGAAGGTATGGGCCACTGGGCTGGTTCACCAAAACGCCCCATGCTAAACTGTTCTCTAAACGGCAATCATTTCAGGCAGCCGGCTGCTGCTGACTGCCCCGTACACAGCAGCACTCTGAGGTGTGCAAAGCACTTTACAACTATTGTCTCATTTGCTCCTCACAACAACTCTGCAAGGAAGGTGCTCTCATTAGTCTCACTTTACATATGTGGAAACTAAGGCCCACAAAGGTGACTTGCCCAGGGTCTCATACAACTAGTATGTGAGCTGAGGTCTTCTTGACTCCATGCCCGAAGCTGTATCCACTGGGCCCTGAAGCTGCCTGCATACTACAGATTCACGTAAGAGGCTGAGGCCAGAGGGTCACTTAATTGATGAAGGAAAGTAATACTGACATAGGTAGGGGAGAAGAGTCCAGAACATCTGTGCAAGGAGGGAGATACAGGAAGGTAATGAAGATCTAAGTGGGTGAGCATAAACCAAGATATTCTCCTCTATAATTAAATCTATGAGCTGACACTGGAAGGCAGGGAAATCATAAAATGTAAAATTATACACTAACTACTCTCTTAGGTTAAACTCTACAATTATTTAGCAAAATAATATTGCTGGCTTCAGGTAAGCCTAAGGTTCTGAAGTGCCCCCTTGCCCACAGATACACAATATGTTTGGAACCAGTAAACAGAAAGAAAAAAAAAGGCACTTGAATTGGCTCATGCTTTGTAAAGCAATAAGAAAATGTCAAAATTGTAGCATGTTGAGGCAGCTAGGTGGTGCAGTGGATACAGCCCCAGCCCTGGACTCAGGAAGACCTGAATCCAAATCCAGCCTCAGACACATAACACTTACTGGCCTGTGTGACTCTGGGCAAGTCACAACCCCAACTGCCTCAAAAAGAAAAATAATTGTAGCATACTGTTGTGTTATGGGTGTCTACAACATTAGTACACATGTACACACACAGCCAGTAAGTACTCATAGATAGGAGCATCAAAGAAATAGATCACTTTCATCAAAGGCTCTGTTAATAACAGATTACTTTTACGATGGTCAGGTACTTTTACAAACTTTATCTCATTTGATCCTGTGAGAACCAAAGATATCAGGAGAGAACTATGCAAGCAATATTATACCCATTTTATAGATGAACAAAGAGAAATGCAAAGAGGCTGCATTATGGGCTCCTGGTCAGTCACACTGCAAGAAAGAGGCAAGTGAGGACCTGGACTATACTTGACATTTTCTTTGAAAAAAACAAACTGTTTACAGTTTCCCTTCCTGGTGATTATATCACTGGGCAGATCTGGTTTTCTAATCCTGATTGTGAAATGTAAATCCCATGTGACTCTGTCACATGTGTTAGCTTACAGAGTCCTCCTACTTCTCTTTTTTTCCTTCCCTGGAGGAAGCAGACAATGCACGGCACAGGGACCTCTACAGGACACCCAGCTCTGGTCTGCAACTTTTGTAAGGTAAGTGCTTTAAAACTGCAAAGCACAATACAACAAAGAGAGACACAGAAGAGAATTTTAAAATACAGACATAATGGATTCTTGGCCCAGGATGGTGCCTAGCTAGCAAGGGCATGTAAAATATATTTTCCTAGAATACTACAAATCTAATCAAATAGATTAAAAAAAAACCCCAATAACCCTATCTATATATATAGCTACCAAGCTGGAAATCACAGAGTACTCTACAATGCAAGAATCGTAGTACAAATACCCCCAAATTCACAGAAGACAAAATCTAAGAAATGACAGCAACAAAACTCACTAACTCAAGTGTTTACAGACAAATGTTCAGAGTAATAGTACCAAGTAAGGTAAACCAGGTATATTAATATAAGAAAGTAAATTTGGACAAAAAGGAATCGATGTGGATACACGGGAAACTCACTGACAAACTCAAATTTGAAAAGGACACATAAGCAGACAACAGCAGATAACTGTCCTGTAAGAACAGTTCTAGGTACTGAAGCTCAGTAGGGCTAGAAGCAGGAGGGAAAAAGAGGAGGAGCAAAGAAGAGGCAGGACAGCTGCCCACTGGGGTTGTTGTGAGGACCAAGTAAGCCTGACTATAGAGCATCACATACATGTGAGAACCCCCCGAACCACCTCCTAATGGAGGCACTGGGCCAGCCTGGAATCAGGAATATTGCAGGTCTCACCTTGGACACACACACTAGCCAGACCCAAGCAAGTCACTTAACTTCTCAGTTCCCCAGGCAATGCTCTAAGAATCAGCATTTGTAGAGGGAATTTTCTCATCCAGAGTTGCCCCTAGGCTCAACCTGAGCAAAAAAAAGGATGGACTTTATTGATATTTTCTATGACGCTGGGTTTTCAGACACTAGGCTAGGGTCACACAGGCTCTATCAGGCCCAACCAGTCTGGCAAAACTTCGTGGTGGACCTGTTTCTCTTTGTCTAGGCATGAATCTAAACCACAACCCAAAGGTTCACCACCAGAAACTGACTACCAGATGATGAATTCTCTAAGCCACAAGTCAAGATATCACTGACTATGGGGTTGTGATCAATAGTGGTGGAAGAGTATCCATACTGATGAAATCATGGACCTTTTAAAGTACTAAACACAGGCACAGACTACAATACAGGATGTATTCTATTATGGCCAAGCATGCTATTGCCCTGCCAGGACCCTCCCTAGGCTATTTTCTGGAAGCCTTTACCATGTGAAAGAATGGATGAAATCATCCTGAAAAACAGGACAATTCAATTAACAAACATTGAAGTTCTTACCATTTTCAAGGCCTTTGCTATGTCGGTCAACCAGCATTTATTAAGCACCTAGTATGTGCCAGGCAGGCTCTGTGCTGGGGATACTAAGAAAGGTAAAAGGCTGTCCCTGACCTCCAGGAGCTCTTGTTGTGACAGGAGGGAACACCCAAACGGCTCTGTACAAACAAGCTCTAGACAGGGTAAATCGGACACAACGAGCAGAGGAAAGGCACTAGCATTGAGGAGGATTCAGAATGGCTTGGTGCAGAAGGTCAGGCTTTAGCTGCAACGTGAAGGAGGCCAAGAGGTGGAGTGGAAGGAGGGAATTCCAGGCAGAGAGGAAAGCCAGCGAAAACTTCAAGAGACAGACGTTCTTGGGTGAGGAGTAGCCAGGAGGCCAGTATCACTGGATCACAAAATATGTGGAGGACAGTAAAGTATAAAGAGGCTGGAAAAGGAGCCAGGAGCCAGGTTAGGAAGGGCTTTATAAGCTAAACAGAGGATTTTCTATTTGATCCTGGAGGAAACATGGAGCCACTAGCATTGACTGAGTAGGTGGAAGACAAGACCAGAACTGTGCCTTAGGAAGATCACTTTGGTGGCTGAATGGAATGGGAAGTCTTGTGGCAGGCAAACCCACTAGCAGAGGCCTGCACAACATCCTCTACATTATTCGAGGACTGCCTGAAATCCTTTGGCCGCAGGCTGGTAGTAGCAGCTGTTGCAACAGTCTAGGCATGAGGTAATGAGGACCTGCACCAGGGTGATGGCAGTGTCAGACAAGGCATATTCAAGAGATGTTGCAAAGCTACAAATGACATAACTTGGCAACTAACTGGACGTGGAAGGTGAGAGAATAAGGTGTCCAAGATAACCTAGGTCACAAGATGGAGGGACCAGGGAACTCAGCATTAATACGTAAGTTAGGAAGAGGGGAGAGTTTGGGAGGAAAAATAATGAGTTCAGTTTTAGACATGTTGAGCTTAAGATGTTTACGAGAAATACAGTGGGAATAAGAGATGTGAAACTGGAGTTCTATAGAAAGGTGTAAGCTGGACAAATAAATCTGGGAATCATCTACATAGAAATACTAGCAGAATCGATGGGAGTGGATGAGATTACCAAGTGAAATAGCATGGGGGAGAAGAAAAAAGTGCTTAGGACAGAGAGCTGGGGGACATGCACAGTTAACAGAAGTGATCTGGATGAAAAACCATCAAAGAAAATAGAAAAGGAGCTGTTGGACAGGTAGTATGAGAAGCAGAGAGGAGTGCCATAAAATTCTAGAGAGATGAGAGTGATTAAGTGTCAGAAGCTGCAGGAAGGTCAAGAAGGATAAGAATTGAAAAGAGGCCATTAGATTAGACAATTAAGAGATCACTGGTAACTTTGTGGAACAGTAGTTTCAGTTCAAGCCAGACTCTAGAGAGTTAAGAGGAAAGAAGGAAAGGAACTGGAAAGACCTACTGCAGATGGCCTTCTCAAGGGGTATAGTCACAAAGGAGAAACAAGAATTAGGAGGGATGGATGGATTACTGCTCTCATTCCTACGTCCATGACTCCTCTTTACTGGAATGTCCTTCATATCATATCCTGCCCATCCTTCAAGGCAGAGCTTTCGTTCTCCATGAAGCTTGCTTTCCAGTTTCCCCAGGTGTGACTGCCACCCTTCTCTGAATTCCCACAGCCTTCCTACAATTTAACACATAACTCCGTATCTTCTTGTACTGTTTTATGACTGCTTCACATCGATCAAAATCTATTCATGATTTTCATGTTAGTTTCTTCTCAATTATACTGTAAACCTCCTGAAGACTAGATCCACGTTCTATATTTTTGTTTCTCTCACAACGTTGAACACAGAGCAGACATTCAATAGATATTTGCTGAACAATAACTACTGAAGTGTGTGTGTGTGTGTGTGTGTGTGTGTGTGTGTGTGTTGTGTACGCTGAAGCCCCAGCAGTGCTGTTCCTTTTGGTGAAATAGCTCTCAGTTAGCCGCTCTCATTTCGCCGCTCTCATTTCTCAGTTAAGAGACCAAGTCTGCAATGGCTTCTCACAGTCTCTGTTCCCTGTGCTTTTCAATGAACAAATATTTTATTCAGTGCCTCCTAGGTGCCAGGCATTGCAGCAGGAGCTAAGGATACAAAGCAAAGAAGCTCCTGCCCAGGAGGACTTTACAGTCTAGTTAGGGAAGACAGTATGTATTTGTGTGTGTATACACACACACACATATATATATATATACACACATATATATATACACACACACACATATATATACATATATACATACACATACACACACACATATATATATATATATATACATATATATATATATATATACACATACACACACAGTCTAGTGAGGGGAGATCTCTCTCTCTCTCTCTCTCTCTCTCTCTCTCTCTCACACACACACACACACACACAAAGTAGATGCAAGATAATTGGGGGTGGGGGGACACAGCACCGCACCATGGCAGCTGGAGGATCAGGAAAGGCTTCATGCAGCAGGTACCTCAGCTGACCCTTGGAGGAAGGTAGAGACTTTAAGAGGAAATGGCAACACTGGGATATATTCCATGCACGGAGGCCAGCTGGTACAAAGGCATGGAGATAAGAGATTGTATGTCATGTATGGGGAACAGTAAGAAGGCTAACTGGGCTGTACAATAGTGTGTGTGAAAGGGCAGGAGGGGGCCAGGTTGTGCCAGGTTTCAGATGATCGTCACAGGGAGACACTGGAGTGACTGAGCATATTGATGTGGCCAGATGTGCACTTGGCAGATGTGTGGAAAATGCCTTGGCTCCTCCTGCACACTCAGCTGTGGTACAAGGGGCTTGGTTTTCTTAGCCACTGCCCCCCAAAGGTAAGGAGATCACAGATTTAGGGCTAGGAGGGGCCTCTGCAGTCAGAGTCCAACGCTCTCATTTTGTAGATGAAAAACTTGAGGCTCAGAGAAGTTTAGCGACTTGCTCAGCTGTGACGTCTGAATGACAACGTGAAGCTGAGTCTTCTGACCCCCAGTCCAGCACTTGCCCTGCTGCTCTGGCTAGTGAACTGTGGATGCCTTCACTTCCTCAGTGACATTTGGTTTCAGGACAGTTCCAGGGCAGTCAAGGGTTTCATTCCCAGGCAAGTCAATGAGGTATTACTTTACCACTCTCTCCCTTTGGGTATAGAAATAGCTACAAAATGTGCTATACCTGCCATGTAACCTTCATTAAGTGACAACCTCTCTGAACCTCAGTTTCCCTTTCTATACAATGAGGATAACAATACCTGTATTCCTGGCCTTAGAGGATTTTTTTGAGAATCAACTGAGATGTTCTGTTGTTGTTGTTGGGGAACTGAGAGAGTGTGATATAGGAGAGAAAGAGGTCTTAGAGTTAGAAGACAGGTTTGAATCTTGATGGCAACACTAATAGTTGCATGACTGGGCAAGTCCATTCCAATTTAGGCCATAATTTCCTCATCTGTAAAATGGGAATTAAAAATGCTTCTACTACCCATTTTACAGGGATGTAGTTAAAAATGCTTTGGACATAGTTAATTATTATTATCTTTACAACCTGAAGGTTAAATCACGTTCCATTTATATTATGTTTTTCATTACAATAAGTGAAATAATGTCCTTACTTCCCAATAACACTAGGGTTCTGCTGTATCCCCAATTCCTAGAAAACTTAAGATTCCAAATTTCAAAGCCTAACTCTAAAAACAAACGTTGAACTTTCCTTCATTCACACTTTTTAACTTTAATGACAAGGTTCAAAGCTAAGACCTTCTTACCCTCAGTAAAGCCTTACCTTCCACAACATACACTTTAGTCAGAGGAAAGTCAATATTCTTTGCCATTACTTCAATTTCTTCTTTGAGGGTTCCCTCAGGCAAAGGGATGAATTTATCAAACAAAGGGGCAATGTAGTCAGCATAGATAGTGACAAGCACCTGAAATGTAAAAGTGAGAACAACCTCTAAGAAGTTTCTTGAAGAAGACGAACATGGACAGGTTTACAAAGCCTGCCTAGGTTCTGGGTTTTGGTACAGCTCCCTAATCCCTCTGACCAGAGCTCTGTGAGGGATGTATATCTTATCTCTCCGGGCTGCCAACCTCTCCAAGCTACCCTTCTCACACGCCCTGAGGACTTTTCCTAATGGCCAAGTCCCACCATGTCACTCCTTTCGCCAAAATCTGTGACTCCCCACTGCCCACTGAACCAAGTACGAGCTCCCCAACGGGTCTCCAAAGTGCCTTTCCAGCTTTCTCTCCTCCATCTTCCCTTCCTCCGTTCCCCTCCTTCTCCGCCACCGTCCTGGCCGCTCCCATCTCTGCGCTTAGGCCTAGTTCATCACCATGCCTGGAACGGCTTGCCTCTCGCTCCAATCTGTTGAGGCCCCTCCCTCCCTTCGAGGCCCACCTCACAAATATCCTCCTCCATGAAGTGACCTCTCCAGCCCAAAGCTGAAAGAATCTTTTCCTCCTCGAAAGTTTTCATTATACTTTGTGCTATGAAATTTAGTTGAATAAATTCTCAGTGCCCACCTATGAGCACGCTAGAAATGGGGATAAAAAGAGACAGTCCCCGTTCTTGGGGAGCAAGGGAAGAGAATCCATATGTACACAAATGAGTAAAGGAAAAGGGAATCTGAGGGAGGGAAAGAACACTAAAACCTGGCCTGTGTGGAATGATCAGAGAAAACTACTGGGCCCTGAAGGGAAACTGATTGTTAGGGGCAGAGAAGAGGAGAAAGTATATCCTAGACAAGGGAGGATGATTATGAAAAGGTAAATAAGTAGAGATGGAATGCTGAATTTAGAAAACAGGCATCCAGCTTGGCTGGAATTAGATTTTGCAAAGGTATGAGCAGAAAATCGGGATGGAAAAGTCGGAGGGAATCAGACTGCTTGAGGATGCTAACCACCACACTGAGGAGTGTTTTATCTTTTTTGGCAATGGGGAGTAACTGAAGAGTTCTGAGGCTTAAGGACAGAATTTTAGCAGCTCTAGGCAGGAGAGACTGAGGAAGGGAGAAAACGGAACCAGGGACACCAAGCAGGAGGCTACTGCAAAAGTCCAGGCAAAAGACGATGAGTGCTGGAACTAGGGTAACGGCTGCTTGAGCAGAGAAAAGGGGATCACTAGAGAGGTGCAGACTAGATCAAACTCAACAACTGACTGGACATGGAGGGTAAGGAAGAGGGAAAAAAAATCAGAGATGACTCTGAAGTTACGAATGGAAAAGATGGCAGTGCCTTTAACAAAAAAAAGGGAAGTTGGGAAGAAGATGGGGTTTAATAGGGAAGAAATGAGTTCCATTTTGGACAAACTGTATTTGAGAAGCCTCTGGTACATCCATCAGACAGCTGACAATGCAGGAGTGATGCTCAAGGGGGAGATCAAGGCTCTTTCCTTTGCATTTATCACACCCTTTCTGATATCACAGTAACTTGTATGCATGTGCCCTCTCAGAATTAGACTGTAAACTCCTGGAGAATAATGTATTTACACTTAAATTTTTAACTTCAGTGTCTACTCTGTAAGTATAGGAAGCACTTAATAAATGACTCATAATAGATTATCAGAAAGAGAAGGCACCTTGGAGATCAAGTCCAACTCCCAACTTTACAAATGAGGAATCTGGGGCCTTAAGGGATTAAAGACATTTGCTCAAGATAACGGCTAATAAATAAGAGTTAGGCTGTTAAACTAGGTTTCCTCACTCCTGATCCGGTGGTCTTTCCACCCGAATTAAAGTGAATTTCACCTGTCCCAGCCTTCCTGCTCTGCACCTTGACTGAAGAGAAGCACAAGTGAATAAATGACATGTTACTCCTCCTTAAAGTTCAAATAGCCAAAACAGGTTTTACCCAACAGCCAGTTATTTCATTAGTGTCCACACTAGGTTATGCCTCTTCTTAACAAAAATAAATGAGTTAGTATTTTGTAGTGCAGGGCCTCTACGGTCCTGATATCCCTAGAACTTTTTTTTAGGTAAGTAAATGTATACAATGTTATATGTAAAACTAGCATGTTCATATATGACAATCACAATGAAATGCCGTAGATTAGACTGCAGCCTTTGAGGTAGGGCTAAAAAATGAATGTGGACTAACAATCTTTGACATATGTTCTGTTTTTTAATGCGTGAAAAGTGGATCGCTATTTGCCAGGAGCCCAGGAAGCTTTTACTGTGAATTCCTCCTGGCCATGTGTCTTGCTGTCCATCTTCTGGTGCTATTGTTTCCCAGGTCACAAATGTATCACAGGGTTTGAAGAGGGCTTTGAGCTGAGGTTTGAAGGAAGCTGGGGATTCTAAGAGATGAAGGTGCATAAGAGAAAGGATGCTAAGCTTAGGGAACAGCTAGCTAGAGGTCTAATAGGACTGCAATGATGACTGGGGGGGAGGGAATAATATGAGATAATGTAAGCAGATGGTTTTAAATGCCAAGTAGAGTAGTTTATGTTTCATCCCAGAGGGAACAGGGATGCTGGCCACCTCCAGCCAATCTGGAACTACATTACTGGTGAACCCATTATGTTTACTAGGCTTATAAGAGACAATGGCAAAAATGCTCCAAAATTAAGATCTGGCATCTGTTTAAGCCCACATCTTATAGCTTTATGGTTCTTCAGTGATTGGAGCTAAGCTCCAGTGGTGGCTGCCATGGGGTGGAGCAATAACAATAGAGCAGGGACACAGCTGGCCCTAGACCTTGCCTCTAGGGTAAGTCAGGCTGGGACAGAGAAGGAACATGCAGTGTGCAGAAGCCAAGAGATGGGTCAAATGTGTGCCAAAAAGCAGACCGTGATCCAGGACACATGGTGAAGTCCTACAATGAGTCTAGGATGGGAGCCCAGCAGAATTAGCAGGGGCCTTAAGATGTTTTCTACAAGCAGTCTATTTTTACATATGACCCTCCCATACCTGACCATGCTCTCCTAATGAGAGCCCAAGCAGAAGCCTAAATGCACTATGTGTCCACTTATCAAGGGCCAAGATGGACTTTGGGAATCATATTTCCAGTGTTTTTAAGCAGCTTTTGGGGCTATCCCTTATGCACACTAGTTCAGGGCTCCACTGTTTTCAGATTTAAACAATCTTAAACAAGGCACTGACCGTACAAAATCTCATGACTGATGACTCGTGTTTGTCCTTCAAGAAAATCCCCATACAGAAATGTCTTTCCTATCTCTCTGGCACTACAGATGTTTCTAAGCCTGAAGAAAGAGAAATGCTTCCCAGACGTGTGGAGGAAAGGATGAAAACAGGGCTGAGAGAAGACAGGAGAAAAAACAAGTGCTTCTCTACTATCCTCCCCTTCACTGACACAATAGTCATGTACACGGCACTATGCCAGGCACTGCGGGAGGCAAAAGTATAGGCTACAGAATTCCTAAGGACAATCTGGCAGGGGAGATGAGAAACATCTCAAGTAAACTAACACAAGAATATTGAAAAACAGCATGACCCAGTGGAAAAAGCAACAGGCTTAAGAGTCAGAAGACCTAAGTTTAAAAACCCAGCTCTGCCACTTAATAGTTGTGTTATTGGGCACTCTTACTCTGTGTCTCAGTGTCCTTATCTACGAAATAAAGGGGTTGGACTAGATGACCTCTGATGTCCCTGAATTTTTGTAAATGCTAAGAACCCATGATTATACTAGCTAAGATCACTTCTACAGCTCTACCATTTTATGATTTTGAATAAAAATGATATAACAATATGAGAGATGTCATATTGCAGTATGTGATTCTATGCCAGGGAAGTGACAGAGAGTATTTCACAGCAGGAAGGAAGGCTTCATGGAGGAGATAACTGACTTGTCACGTGAAGACTGGTTAGGAGCTACACAGGAGGAGACTCTCATGGTGTATCAGGGGAACAACAGATAGATCAGTTTGACCAAAACACAGAAGAGATGAAGGATAGTAGTAAGAAACAAAGTTGGAGAGTGTGTAGTTGTGTAGTTTTATGTATGCATGTATGTATATATGCATGCTATATGAATATGTACTGATTACTTCCATCTCTTCTCCAAGATCCTCCTGTCCTCTTCTCAGCCTATCTGTGGGTCCCAGGTACAAAAGGCCAGCTGAAAGGTCTGAAGCAATCGTCCTTGCTCCAATATGGAAAACGTCACCTCCCCACTCACTCACACCTCACGCCCATCTAAGCTGGCTTTCCTTTTTACCACTCAACTAAAAGAGTTATCCCTGAAGTTACCAATGACCTCTTAGTTGCCAAATCCAAATGGGCTTTTTTCCTCAATCCTCTTCTTCCCAGGTGACCCCTGTCTAGCATTTGATACTGCTAACCACCCCACCTTCTTGATACTCTACCCTGCCTCAGTTTCTATGTCACTATTTTCTTTTGCTGGCTTGTCTTCCTATCTAGAAAAAAAAACCACTAACAAAAAGTCAACAGAAATTTTTTTTTAATTCTAAGATTAGTCGTGGTAATCCAAGTACTCCACACAAACATTAGTCAACCTGGCAGTTTAATAAGCATTCACCTCGAATTTCACCTGTTCCTTAAGAGTAGTTTTCATCTTTTGCAACATGGCTAACATGGAAATATTTTGCAAGACTGCACATGTATAATCTATAAAGTGCTTGCCTTCTCAAGGACAGGAAAGGGAGAGAATTTAGAAATTGTTTTTACGTGTAATTGAGAAAAAATAAGAACATTCTTTTAAAATAATAATCTACTAAATATGTACTTTTTAAAAAGCAAGCTGTACATAACAAATATTTGTGACTTCATATGTGGAAATGTTCTCTCCAGGAGGTATATGTCAAATTCAGAATAAAAAATAAAATTTTAAACTGTAACTTAATGAAATCATGGTAAAGATTACTTTCAAAGTAAAATCATTTTCATGCTAATTAAAATTAAAGCAGTTAGTTTGCTTACTGGAGAGAGAGAAAAGAGAAAGAGAGAGAGAGAGAGAGAGAGAGAGAGAGAGAGAGAGAGAGAGAGAGAGAGAGAGAGAGAGAGACTTTACTCACCAAAGAAACAACTAATGTGAACAGCCAGGCATAGATGAAAAAGTAGTCACCTCCAATTTTAATGATATAAAGCAGAAGTGAAGTAACAGGCAATAAAATACACTGAGTCACAACAAATTTCTTGATAGCATCTTTCATGAAGAACCCTAAGGTCTGGGGAAAAAAAAAATTATGACAGAAAGCTGTTACTTTAAATAACCAACTGAATACAACGATTTGTTTAAAATATTGCCAATTACCCTCCCACTCAAGTTTTACTCCAATGGCTCACTGTATTGTTAAAATACCCATAAGTTTCTGAGGCATAGCAGGAAGGTACAATCTCTGGGAGGTCCTATCAACCTGGAAAGGATGCTGACCTAGAAAAGGACCACCCTTGTCTGAGGCACAGCCTAGCCTGAGGCAGAATGTTGGTGACCAGATGCTGAATATTTCTGCCAACAGCAACTCTTTAAAATCTTTTATACATAAAAGCACACATCACTGAAATCCAGAATCCTTAAAGTACTGAAAAGAATATGAAACATTAGCATGCAATGATCCTGCTTTTCCCTGAGGCTAAGCACCTGCAACCGCCTGGGTAGCAGTAACTCCTTTTCTCTACTTTGGAAATATCAATAACCAGAATAATTGTAAAGAAATGATTACCTTTTATAAAAAGTAGGAAGGAAGAGGCCTTAGGATTCAGCTCTGAGTGCTCCCCCTTTCTTGAGGTCATTTCTTTATTTGTAGTGGTGTCATCAGAAGGGATGCCACCCCAACAGTTTTGGGGTGCAGGCTCATTAATCAACAGTAAGACTCAAGTGGAGCTAGGTTTAGAGGGCAAGCCTCCTTTCCTGCCTCAGTTCATTTTTTTTTTTTGCATCTGTCCCTCACACCTTTAAAAGAACTGCTTTGAAATTCATCACCTGGGGGCAGCTAGGTGGTGCAATGCACAGAGCTCCAGCCTTGGAGTCAGGAGGACCTGAGTTCAAATCTGGCCTCAGACACTTGACACTTAACTAGCTGTGTGATCCTGGGCAAGTCACTTAACCCCGATTGCCTCACCAAAAAGCAAAAAAAAAAAATCATCACCTGAGAAATACTGAACTCATTAATGCAGAAAGTTTTTACAGAAAAAAAAACCCTCAATGTTTGTTGCACCTACCATGCATTTTTCTCAAATTATTCAAGCGACAGAAGTAAAGTGACATGCGTGTAAGTTAGGTGATGTATGTATAAGTTAAAGTGGGGAACCCTGGCACAACGGAAAAGAAGAAAGGTCATCTCCACATGACAATGAACAGTGTCAGTGCATTCTACGATACCTGTTGGTTGAAACCATGCTTTTCTTCTATGACAAATGTATTGTAAAGGCTCCAAGGCAAGCCAGTGAGGGCACTGAAGAGTGTGGCCAAAAACAGGAACACCAAGGACTGAGTGATCTATGGATGACAGGAAAAGACAATTACTATTTCTCCAAAGTAACATCACAACTCCCCTAAGTCCCAGAAAATAAGATCGCCCCTTTCTCCTTGCTACAGTTAACTCCCTCCACTTATGTCCTCAAGCCTATCCCCTCCCTTCTCCTTTGGGAACTTTCCTCAACAATCATTTCCTGTCCCTGCCAAACTGTACTCTCTCCTACCCAGTAGCTCTCTCTCTAATGCCTAAAACATGATCCAGTCTCCTCAATTCTTAAGAAGACTTCCCTTGACTCTATCTCCTCAAAGCACCATTCTATATTTCTCCTCCCTTCCGACACTAAAATTCCAGAAAAAAAATCTCTCTCCTCACTCCCTCTACCATCTCACTAGCCATTCTGCTTCTTATCAACCCCCTGCAACTTGACTTCTTGTCCCATTACATCAAGGTCATCAATGGTCTCTTAATTACTAAATCCCACCTCTTTTCTGTCCTCATTCTCCTTTCTGTGAGATTCAACACTGCTGATCACCCTCTTCTCCTAGAGACTTCCTCTTCCCTGGGCTTCTCTATTCTCTTTCTCCTCTGACTGGTCTTCTTGGTATCTTTTGCTAATTCACCTTCCCTAAATGAGGGTGTCTCCCAAGGCTCTGGGCCCCAGCCCCATTTTCTCCTCCTCTCTTCATGCTCTCTTCTTTCCCCTGTGTTCCTAACACTTCCACATGGAGGAGGTCCCGGTCTATAAATGTGGCCTTGCATACTCCCCTGAGTGTTAGTCTTTCATTTCAAACTGTCTGCTGTGGACTTCCACCTCTATGTCCCACTGTGACTTCACACTCCTATGCTCTGTTAAGCGAGCAACTTCCTCCCAACCTCCCTATTTCGATTGATGGCAATATGGTCCTACTTGCTACTAGGGACCAAAATCTTGGAATCATCATTCCCTCAACATTCTGCCCCCGCCACCCAATCAGCTGCCAAGTATGACTGATTTTACCTCCATAATACTTCCTGCATCTGCCCCCTTCTTTCCATTCACTTACAACACTCTTGTTCAGGCCTCCATTTCTTCTCTCTTGGACTATCATTAATAGCCTGGATGCCTGGAGTGCCCTCCCGCCTCACCTCTGCCCTGAAGAATCCTCTTTATACGGGGCTTGGCTCAGGCTGAAGATAAAGGTATGGGAGGTAATACATTAAAGTGAAAGGAAGTGGATGAGACTGCCAAAGAAAAGGACTGAGGGCAGAACTCTGAGGAATGTCCACACCTGGGGAAGGTGAGGAGAAAAGAAACTGGCAAAGGGAGCTAAAAAGAGGGGGCCAGAGGGACAAGAGCAAGCTCAAGAGGCAAAAAGACATGAGAGGGTCAATACTGCAGGGAAGGACTCTAAAGAAGAAAAAACTCTCTCTCTGAAACTAAAGGAGGGAGATAAAGACTAAAAGTCTAGTTCTAGCTTCTTGCCTAACATAGCTATCTAATATAGCATATATATATACATATATATATGCTATATTATATACGTAACATATACAATGTATGTATTATAATAACATACACAAAATAATAACATACATATATAATAGCATACCCATGGTGTATCCCAGTGCCTTTTATGGCATCACATTTTCCACTAACAGCCAGTACTTACACAGTGCTGTCAGGTTTGCAAAGCCTGTACACATGCAAGCAGCTAGCTGTTATACTGGACAGAGCACCAGGCTTTGAATCAGAAATACATGAGTTCAAATCCAGCATCAGACACCTGAGACACTAGCTGGGTGTAACCCTGGGCAAACCATTTAACTTCTGCTTCCTCAGCAGCTATAATAGCACTCACATGGTTGTTGTGAGGATCGAATGAGATAATATTTATAAAGTGCCTGGAACATACAGAGCAGGTGCTTAATAAATTCGTGCTAAATATTTTTCATTTCATTTTGATCCCTGAGATATAGATATATGTATATACAAACATATAAACATATAACATACATAGATGTAGATATATAGATATGCTTCACTTACTTCACAGAGAGTGCTTTCTTGTGAAAATAATGCTTCCCAGTACTAACAAAGCCTATTTCCACATGACTCAACACTAGTTAGCTAAGAGAAACAGGGTTTAGTTAAAGGTAATTAAACTGCTTGAGTGATCCCCCCCCCCACCTCCCCAAAAAGGGATCAATGAACGTCATTGCTCAAGAGGTCACTTTACTGAAGATCTATCTTATCGCAGCAGTCAATTCTGGACAGATGGATACACATACACCCTTATCTTACATTATGTAATGTAAATGCACACCCCCATTTATCTGTGGAGATCACTTTTAATTTCGTTAACAAAAACAGCACACCTTAGTGCTTGCTAATTTCCAATATCCTGTCTTGTTTTGAAAAGCTTTTGTTTCTGCAGCTGTGACCTTGCTGAGAGAGAATGCAGTCCTCCCCAAATGCTACCTCTATCAGTCACTACTTAAAATAGAAATGTGAAACATTATTGTCAGTAGCCTCCCTTATTAGCAAAGGAACAAGTGTTTCAAAACCTCTTTATTTGTTAAAATATTGGCTCTTCCCTTCTGAGAAAGTGGCTTGAAGACACCTACTTAGGGAGGATTAAAAAAAAAAAAACAACAAGCCCAAACCCTGCCCACGAGAAAGGTTCTACTTCTTTGTTTTTCAAAAATAAAACAATGACATTATAAACTAGACATCTATATTATACAGAAAACATGAATATTATCACTATCTCCTCATATCTGTGAATGCTTATCTCTATACTTAAGTACATATGCACACTGTAACTCCTTCCTACAAAGTTAATGGTGTTTTTATTTTTTTTTAATTTAGTTTAATTTTTTTTTAGTTTTTTGGTTTGGCTAGGCAATGGGGTTAAGTGACTTGCCCAGGGTCACACAGCTAGTAAGTGTTATGTGTCTTGAGGCCAGATTTGAACTCAGGTCCTCCTGAATCCAGGGCCGATGCTCTATCCACTGTGCCACCTAGCTGCCCCAAATGGTGTTTTTATTAATGCCTGATGAAATATCTAATGTCTTAGCTCAGGAGTTTCTCCTCTTCCCTCCCCTGCCATTGTCCTCTCTCCTGGTAGGATAATTCTGACAGGATCAGGGAAAGGGCACGTGTTCAGATCTGAACCTGGAGAATGATGCACCGGAATCGTTATGGCAGACAGAAAAATTTACCCAAGATGCCAAATAAACAAACCTCTGTATTTCTTTTATTTGTAATTAAAGCAGAATTAGAAACTGCTTGCAGAATTATGTGATTCTAATACCACTTTTATTAAATGGTTCAATAACCTCTTTGTTCTCACTGCCTTTGGATTCCTACGTTCCAGTGTGTGCTCTGACCCAAAGCCCATGAAGCCTAGCTTCTGAAAGTGACCAAGACTGACAAGCAACAGCAGCCTCTGGCCCACGTGGGATGTCCCAAGGAGTGGCACAGAAAAGCTGCATGGTGCAGTGGAAAGGGCATTGGATTTGGAGTCTAAGGATCTGCCACTTAGTGCCTATGTGACTCAGAAACACCACTTAACCTTTCTGGCCCTCAGTTTCCTCCAGTATAAAGTGTGTGAGTTTGACTAGATGACCTCTGCAGGCCCACAGCTTTCGGTCTATGACCTATGATCCTACAACTTCTGCTGTAAATTAAGGCGAAAGAGGGAGCACATTTGGTCGCTGCCGTCCCACAAGCTGGGCCTACAAGACACTTCTAGATTTGCTGCTCATTTCTCTATGCTTCCGGAACCCCCATGTGGCTCTGCTGGGGAGTAGTTTGCTCCCTTCCTAAAGGCTCCTTCCTCCAAGAATTCCTGCCATTCTCCTCTGGACTGATATCCTACATCCCTGCAGAGCTAATTCAAATAGCTATTTCGTGGCAAAATGCTCTACGTGCCATTGTCAATCCATGCAAGGTCCTAACTATAAATAACAAATGATTTAATCACCAACAAGATTAACTTTAGAATAAACCTCTGTAGGTCAAGAAGGGGGAAAAACATTTTTTAGAGTAAGAAAAAGTACCTCATACTCTGGCCCAAATCCAGCACGCCTACAAAATACTCCAGAAAAATTCCAGAGATATGGAATTCCTCCAAAAAGAAGAATAACCTGTAAAAGAAAACATATCTTAGCTATTTTTCAAAAGCATATGATAGTACAAACAACTCATAGAGAGAAGATGAATTGGCTTCCATAAGGAGAAATCATATCCGTTGAATTCATCAAGCGAATAAACTTGCACATAAACTAACATCAAATCAAGGGATAACACATTTAATTTCAAAATATCTTTGATGAAGATCAATTGATTAAGCACTTATCAAACAATTACTGTGTACCAGACACCACACTAGGCACTGAGGATGGATACAACAAATGAAACATTTCCTACTCACCAGGAGCTTACGTTCTCTACACCAAAACCATACAAAACACAAAATATATACTAAGTGCCTTCTGCATGTAATACACTGTGCTTAGCAATGTAGGAAATTCAACCTTTAGCTAGGACCTGCTCCCATGGTCACTCTAGTATACGGCTAATATAAACACTGACCACTATAGCAAACCACATTACATGAGAGCTGCATTCGAGAAGCCAAAAGTACAACGTAAGTTCCAAGAGCGAAGCTTGTTACAGACTAGGTGCATCGAGGAAGGCTTCTCGCATGAGAGTAGGCTAGGGGGTCAGTCCCTGAGAGTAGAGAAGTTTGTGCGTGGGGGTGGATGGGCTGGTGATGGCAGAAGACACAGTACTGGAAAAGGGAGCTGACCTCTGTGTGTGTACACATGCACAGAAACCAAATTTTTCGAAAGCAGGAATGTTTTTCCGTCCCATGCTGATGGGAGACAGAGAGGATAGTGATAGGTTTGCCAAACACAGCACACAGGAAGGAGACCCACCTAAGTGCTGTCCAGGAAGTACATCCAGAGAAATGGTACTGGGAGGCAAATGCATCCAGTATTATCAATCCCTATGGTCCTTATGGGACTTTTAAGAGATAGAGAACTAGCTCAGATATACAAAACAGAGTGGGGTAAAAAGTCATCTCCAAGAATAAGTGGTCTTATTTAGTATCCTCTGAAATGTTCTGGGAAAGGGACTAGGAAGTAACGTGTATAAGACCACTGATGATATTCCAGGTAATGTACGTCAGAAATATGGGGGAAAACCGCAGAGACTTTTTAAGGTTATATGAGTGGGCAGAAAAAGGCAGATGACTTTCAGTGTGGGCAAGTACAATGCAATGTAGTTGGAAAAATAGTCCAAATTATAGAGAATGCTGTGTTCTAAAACACTATCAATTGTTTCCACCTGTATAATGGCCCTTTCTCCCTGCCACTGCCACCATTCTAGGACAGACCCTTAGTTCCCCCTGCTGGGGCTACTTTAGTTGCCTCATAACAGCCATTCCAGGTCCTACTCTCTTCCCCAACCAATCAGCCCTTCATACCAATACCAAACTAATCTTCCTAATACATAAAGTTGGTCATATCTCTCATTAATTCAAAAATCCTCAGAGGCTCTCAACTGCCCACATTTAGAAAAGGAAGTAAAGATATCACACAAGCATGGCTTCATCAGGAACACTGCAGGCCAGAAAAATCTCATTTCCTTTTCTTAAGTGGTAGATCAGGGAAACACAGTAGCTATAGTTTACCCAGATATTGACAAAATAGCTCATGCTATTCTTGTGGAAAATACTCAGTAATGTGGGCCATATGATAGCATAGTTAGATGGATGTGGAATTGATGGAATGGCCAGACTCAAAGAGGAGTCCATTAATAGTTCCATATCAGCTTAAAATGAGATCTCTAGGGGCAGCTAGGTGGTGCAGTGAATACAGCTCTGGCCTTGGAGTCAGGAGGACCTGAGTTCAAATCCAGCCTCAGGCACTGAACACTTACCAGCTGTGTGTCCCTGGGCAAGTCACTTAACCCTGATTGCCTCACCAAAAAAGAAAAAAAAAAGAAAAAAAAAGCTCTCTAAAAGAAAGCCCCTGGGATGTGAGCTTGGCCTTACAGCATTTATAATTTATATCAATGACTAGGATAAAGGAATGCATGGCCTTATCAAATTTTCAAATAACACAAAGCCAAGGATAGTAACACACCAGATGAGAGTTGGGACATTAAATTTCTCAGTAAACCAGAGAACTGAGCTGAATCTAATTGAATAAAATTTAAAAAGAACAAAAATAAAGTCACATGCTTGTGTATAAGAAATTGGCTTCATAAGAATAAAATGGGGGAGTCATGGTTAGAACTTTTGTCTAAAACATCTGGGGGCTTTAGGGGATTACAAGCTCAATGAGTAAAATGTGATCATGTGATCTTGGGCTCCATTAAGAAAGGCATAGCTTCCAAGAATAATGAGGTAATAATCCCACTGTATTTGGCCCTGTCCAAACCATACAGGAACTTTCCTGTTCAGCTCTGGGTGCAATATTTTAGGCAAGACACTGACAAACTTGAAAGCATCCAGAGGAACACAAAGGGCCTCAAGTTCATGACATATGAGGATGTAATGAAAAGATCCTCATGGTTGTGGAGATGGTTAGTCTGCAAAAGAGAAGACCCTAAGGGGGTATGGTACGATCACCGTTGCCAAGTACTTGAAAATGTGTCATGTGAAGGGATGAGGGTTAGACCTGTTCTGTTTGGCCCCAGAAGACAGAGCTAGAACCATGGGTAAAAGTTGCAAAGACCTAAATTGAGGTTTGATGAAAGGAAAAACTTCCAACAATTAGAGCTATCCAAAATTGGAATGAGCAGCCCTTGAGAGACAGTAAATTCCTTCCTTCTGGAGAGCAAAAGCTGGATGACCAATTGCTGGATATGTTATAATGGCCATCTGTCTAGGGGTACATGGCTGCTGAGGCCCTTTCCAACTCTGAAATTCTATAATAACAAGTCAAAACCCCTGTGACATTCAAGACCCTCCACAATCTGGTGCCATCCTACTTTCCAGATTGATGCTACTTCTCTCTGTGTACTAGAAACTCTAGCCAGCCAGGATTACTCATTGTCCCTAACATAGCTTTCCCTTTATTCATACTGTACCCTGCCTCATAGTGTACTCCACCCCCTCTGGCCTACTGAATCCTCACCCATACTTTAAAAACCAGCTACCTCCTCCAGGAAGTCTTCTGATTCATTCTTCCCTTTCTCTGACAAAGTACTTAATGTCTTATTCTGTATCGTAGTTGTTTTTTGTGTCATAACTGCCCGTCAGACACAAAGATTCAAAAGGGCAAGGATCTTGCCTTAGTGAAACACACAGCTATGTATCCAATGGGCTCTCAATACATTTTTAACTGAGTCCATAAAAGGAGCCTGAGAGTCATTGTTAGGATATTACCTTTACACATCCGTCGACGAGCATTTATTAACCACATGCTATGTGCTTTGCACTATGCTAAGTGCTGGGAATACAAAGAAAGGCAAAAAAACAGTTCCGGCCCTCAAATAACATATATTCTAATGGGGGAGAGAACAAAAATAATTAGGTACATACAGCTGGGTAGGACCAGAAAAGGCCTGCAGGTGAACTGAATCTTGAAGGAGACCATTGAAACTAAGAAGCACAGTGGCAGGCAGAACACTCCAGGAATGGGGACCAGTACAAAGCCACAGAGACTAGAGATAAAGAGGAACAGCTAGGAGACCCATATAACTAGATTGTAGAGTGTATGGTACATAATGAAGTATAAGAAGGCTGAAAAGGCAGGAGGAGGTCAGGTTATAAAAGCCTTTAAATGCCAAACAGAATTTTACATTTGACCCTGAAAGTGATAGGAGCCCCTGCAGCTCACAGCCACTGGGGGCAGGACAGTAAAGAGGAATACATGGTTGGACTTGTGAAATCTTTAGAAACATCACCTTGGCAACTTAGTAGAGGACGGATTTGGAGGGGGAAAATGACTTGAAGCATGGAGATGAGTAAGAAGGCTACTGCCATAATGCAAGCAAGAGGAGATGAGAGCCTGCCCAAACTAGGATTGTGGTTGTATGGGGGGAAGAAAGGGGGAAATATACGAAGGAAGACTTGTGGGGTGAGGGGGGTGTAGAAGAATGACACTGTGTTTGTGGGCCTGGACAAATTCAGTATTAACACAGAAGTTCTGAAAGAAGGAAGGTTTGGAGGAAATACAGTCAGGTCTGCTTTGGATATCTTGAATTTGTGATGCCCAAGTTCAATATGTTCAAGAGCCAATTTAGGCCTTGTCTGTTTTCTAACTCACTCACCTCACCCAAGCCTGGAAAGCACTCCTCACCTCCCCCAGAGCTACACTTCTAAGGAACTTCTCCACTAAGCCCCAGGAAGGTCATCCTAGGGAAAACCACATCTCACATAATCCAATCAGCCTTGTTACTCACACCTTCCTTCCTATTTGTACCCCCAGTTTAGCATAGTGCCTGACATAAGGAAGGAGCTTAATAAATGTTTACTAACTCCTGACTCCACCTCACAGAATACCCTCTTCCATTAAGATGTATCTCAAGTACCACCTTCTATGTGAAGGCTTTACAGATCTCAACAGCTAGCAGTACTTAACTAGGTCAGTCTATATAATTTAATTTATTTCTATTTATTCTGCATATCCTTACATATGTACAGGTTGTCTTCCCTATCAGAATAGGAGGCCCTTTTAGGTAGAGATTCTTTCACTTACGGTATCTGTATTCCCTGGTGCTAGCTTAATGAATGCTTTCAGATGGCTGATGAACCTTAGTCATCCAGGCCATGCCTTTATTTTACAAATGTGAGGTCTGGAGAAGTTAAATGAAAATTCATCTAAAGAAATACCACACTACTAGGAGTTCCCATTCAATCTCAACATGCCAAAGAGAAGTCACGGTCTGTGTCTCTACTCCCAGCTCGCCCCACTACCACAAAGCCATAACAGGCAAGCAAAGGCTCTCGCGCTTTCTCAGCTCACCACACAGCCCGTGAGAGCCAGTGTAAATCTTCACACGCCTTCCCCTTCCCCTCCATCATTTCTGCATAGGTTGGGGACAGATGGAATTAGCACAACCTCCTTTTTGTTCCCTGTCCCAGGACTGGAGTGAAGTCTACATCAGACATTCAGTAAAAACCACACTTTCCCAATGCTTTAGGCCCATGGTTAAGTGTGCTCTGAACCCTCTTGCTCTGATCTCCTTCAAATCCACCAGAAGGTACTTCAGCACTGCCAGGTTCTTATGTTTGGTAGGTCCTCAAGATCAACTCACAGATGACTATACAATTAGCATGCTGTTTCTCTCTTTTACTCAGGCCTTGATTACACAGGAACAGTGCAAACATAGTATTTTCCAGGTCTCTTCTTTCACTGACCTATTATGTTTCTGCTTTCCCTGCTCCTGATGCACTATTTAGATTTTTTTTTTTGTTAAGCCACATTTCTAATCTCTCTAGCTCTGTTATTTGTCTGTAGTGACAAGTAACAGGATAAATGACAGGACTGTTAATGAACCAATCAAATAAATAAAAAAGTAACTGAAAATGTTTATATGGACAATATCATTAGCAAACTGGCTTCAGGATACTACAGGAAATTTTCTCCAAAGGCCACATTTGGAGAGCATGTGAGGGCAGACAAATAAGGAGAATACATTTCTGTGATTCCTGCAGAGTTTCTGATCATCAAGAACTGACTGTACTAAGAGAACACAAACCAAACTAACTCTGGAGCTAGCACTGAACAATCACTCTCTCATTTGTAAACTGATATTTGAATTTGTGCCATATAAATGTGAAATCAGGGTCAGCTAGGTGGCGCAGTGGATTGAGCACTGGCCCTGACGTCAGGAGGACCTGAGTTCAAATCCAGTTTCAGACCAAACACTTCACACTTACTAGCTGTGTGACCCTGGGCAAGTCACTTAACCCCAACTGCCTAAAAATAAAAAAAAAAGTAAATTAATTAATTAATGTGAAATCAAACCTGTGATAATTAGGCTAAAATTATTTGAGGTTATTTTTTTCTTAAAAGAATACTCACAGTGCCTTCAGTTTCTGAATATAATCCTGACCAAAAGCTGAAAGTACTTTTGTCCAGCTGATATAGTCGAGATTTTTCAAATGTTTCTGAATCCATGATTTGTCCTAATTCTTTTGGTACATGAGTAGTGGTTCTGTAGACACGTCTCTGAAATAAATGTAGTAACAAAAATACTTTAATAAACATTCACATCTCAGTTCACTGGCTTACTTTAAAATAATCTTTTAAGAGTCCTATCTTTACAGAAAGACTATGAGTCTAGTCCATATGAAAACAAGTATGACGCACTGATAACAGCACTTAGCTCACAGCCCCATTACTAATAGCTCTTGTGAAAAAAAAAACATGATCTGCTTTTCTTCTATTTTTTTTTGTATGGTCTTTAATATTAAGGTCCTATCCATTTAGAATTTATTGTGAATTATTGTGAAAAGATGTTGGACTAAGCCTAATTTCTGCCAGACTATTTTCTGGTTTTCTAGCAGTTTTTATCAACCAGGCAGTTCTTTCCCAAGTAATTCATGTTTTTTGGTTTTTGAACAATGGATTATTGAATCCCACTATACTATCCCTCATCTAGTCTGTTACACATATTTTCTAAACAATGCCAAACAGTTTTGATGACTGCTGCTTTTATAATATAGTTTGAGGTCTGCAAATACTATTCAATTTTCATGCATATCTTTTTCCATTATTTCCCTTGATATTCTATATCTTTTGTTTCTCCAAATGAATTTTGTTATTATTTCATCAAGTTCTGTAAAGTATCCCTTTGATAATCTGACTGGTATAGCAATAGGATCAGGACCATAAAATAACCTTGGCAGTACTGACACTTTTTCTTATACTAGTTCAGCCTAGTCATGACAGCTAAATATTCCTCCAGCTATTAAAGTTGGTCTTTATTTCTTTAAAGAAGCACTTTGTCATTGAACATGTACAAGCATTTTATATGCTTTGGTAGATTAGCCCACAAATATTTTACACACTTTATAGTTGCTTTAAATGGGATTTCCTTTTTTTTATTAGTGCCTTTTAGATTGTTATTCTTATACAGAAATGCTTTTGATTGGTGTAGGTTTATTCAGAATGAAACACTGCTGAAGCTATTAACAGTCTCAATTAGTATTGCTGATGATTCTCTAGGACTTTTAAATAAACTACTATCCCATAAGCAAAAAAAGGGGAGTTTTATTTTATCTCCTCTTTGCCTAAATTTCCATCTTTGATGTCTTGCTCTTGCGTTACGGCTACTACTAACACTTCTGGAACGATATCAAATAATACCAAAGAAAATAAACATCATTACTTTACTACTGTATTTTTGGGGAACCATTTTACTCATTCAGAAGGGATTAGGTATTGACAGAAGAGAACCCTGGAGTGGAACGGTCAAAGAAAGAGTATATTAGGTAGAATAGAAAGTTAACCTAAAACCTGAATTTTAACATATTGTGATTTTTTCCTGGCTCAAGTCCTATAAACCTTAGCTCAAACTGTCTTGTGTGAGATGTGGAACCACTGAGTTTGGGCATCTCTCTCTGAGAATAAAGACATGGATTTAAATTCATGTTAAACTAATAAAATTATTTCTGGCAGACTCAGACCTAAAACACAGAACACAGTATTTTTTTTTCTTCAACAGCTGACTGATTCATAAACTTAAGAGTCTGGGCTAGATGATATGTTCTAAATGTTACGATGTCAATTCACAATTTTACAAAGGAATATTTATTAAGTGCTAATATGTGCAAGGTACTGGGGACACAAAGCCAATTTAATACATATTTATCACAAGGCCCTGTGTTAAGCACTGGGAATCCACGAACAAAATGAAAAAAATTTTACATTCTTCAAGGGTTATGTTAATATGATATATAGGGGCAGCTAGGTGGTGTAGTAGATAGAGGTCCAGCCTTGGAATCAGGAGGACCTGAGTTCAAATCTGGCCTCAGACACCTGACACTTACTAGCTGTGTGACCCTGAGCAAGTCACTTAACCTCTATTGCCTCAGGAAAAAAAAATTATATATACATAAAAAAATATATAAACAAAGTAATGGGGGCGGGTGGGTTGAACTCTAACTGGATAGATCAAAAAAGGGTTTATATAGGAAGTAGCATTTAAGCCGAATGTGGAAGGCAGCTATACATCCCGAAAGACGGAAGTGGGGAAGAACATTCCCAGAAAAGGGAAACAACCTTATATGAACACAGGCATGAAGATGGTTGATGGAATGCTCCATATAAAGCAGACTGACTAATTTAGCTAGAACAGTGAGGAGAGATATTATGAAATCAGCCTAAAAAGAATTTTAAATGCCAAAGAGGGGAGTTTATATTTTTACTTAAAGCCACTGAAGCTTTTTGAGCAAGGGAGTAACATGGTCAGATCTGACCACGAATATCGTTTGGCAGCTTGGTGGAGAATGAACTGGAGAGATTTGGGAAAAGATTAAGGAGGCCAATTAGGTGGCTTTGAGGACAGTCCAGGGAAGAGCTGATGAGGCATTAGACAAGGGTAAGGTAATGGACCAGAGAATTGTTGTGGAGATAGAACTGACAAGACTGGGTGACAGGGGAGAAGAGGGAAGAGCTGAAGAAGACTCCAAGATTGGGAAATTGAGTAATTGGAAGGATCTTGACAGAAATAGGAAAGTTGGTTGTAGATAATGAGTTGTTTCAGACATACTGAGTTTGAGATGCTTATGGGTTATCCAGATGGAGAAGTCCAGTATGCCAATCAGGAACTGAGGAGTAGACATGTAAATCTGGGAGTGATGTGAATCAAAGTAATCACTGATCCCATGGGAGCTGATGTGATCATCAAGAAAAATATGTGTAGAGGAAGGGAGCCCAAGACATAGCCTTAGGGTACACCTATGCATGGAAGTGGGACAAAAAGTGAAACAGTCTACTGGAAGTGAGTGGACACAAAGAGTTTGGGGACAGCAGAATTAAAATAAAGTTATTATTTCACAGTTCACATGAGTAACCCAGAACTATGTGAATGGGGAAGAAATTTTAGGAACTCAGTTAGCTGTCACTCACAGACTTGTCTAACAGCAAGAAAAATGTGTCTATCATTAAAAACAGTAAAAATATCTCTGAACACTTGGCACAAAGGCTCTGTGTTAGATCTAAGATTCTATAATAATTTATATACATATATTTATATAATTATTACATATGCTATCACCTAATATATAATTATATTAAATTATATAATTTAATCAAATATAATTTAACTAAAATACATCCCTATATCCAGAATTTGACATAGTAGTCAAATGCAGCCTGCATGATCTCAGGATGTGGCACAGGATGAGATGTTTGGTGAAAATTTTTCTTCCTTAAAACTGTTCCTCCACGTTCCTAGGTGTGCTACGCATGAACCGTCACACCAGTATGGCCAAAACTCCTACACATCACTGCACTGCTGGGTAACAGACTTACCACCAGGGGTTATGTGAGTAAGCTTGAACTTGTATAGTAACTGTAACAGACTCACACATGGACTTCTGGAAATATGGCCTACGCTTGAAAAACATATTTGATGAGCAAAACATCTATTATGAGACAAGGCTTTGACAAAGAACTTTACTAATACAGAGCACTGTATAGTTTACAACTTGCCAGGATAATACAGTGTATAGAATGTTGTCCTGATGCCAGTGGACACTGTTTGCCACTTACTATTCAAGTGACCTTGGGTAACTCATTTAACTTCCCTGGGCCTTAGTTTTCTCATCTGAAATAAACATGGGGTTGGACTAACTGATCTCTAAGGTCTATCACAGCTCTAGGGGAAAGGGATTAAACATTTATAAACTACCTACTATGTGCTAAGTGCTTTACAAATATCTCATTCGATCCTCACAGCAACTCTGGGAGGTAGAAACTGTTATTATCCCCACTTTACAGATGAAAAAACTGAGACAAAGAGCAGTTAAGTGACTTGTCCACGATTATAGTTTGGAAGTATATGAACTCTGACTAAAGGCCCAGTGTTCTATCCAATGCACCATCACCAATGCACTTGCAGACCGCTATTTGAGGTATTGGACCTCCACTACCTGGCTCAAGACTACTTTTCCATACCTTATTTCATAAAATCGTCCTTCATACACTCTAAATTCCAGCCAACTCGAATTTCATCTCCTATCCATGAATTTAAGTGGGCTGTTCACTAGGCCTGGAACATATTTCCTTCCTCATCTCCGCAACTCAGAATTCTCATCTTCCTTTAATGTTGAGTTCAAGGTATTATATCTTCCATGAAGTCTTTTCCAATATTTCCAGTTGTTAGTGTTACCTACTTCCTCAAGTTATCTTTATGCACATAGCACCCCACCTCCTCAGTAAAATGTAAACTCTTTAAGGGCAGGGATTATTTCATTTTTGCCTTTGAATCTACAGTGCCTTGCACATCGTAGCTCTTAATAAATGTTGGCTAAATCGAACTGAACTGTGAAATAGCTAGAGCCAGGCATATTTACAGAAGAAAGTGAAACTGAAAGACAGCTGAGGAACTGTCTAAATTTACAACATGTGGCAGAGAAATTAAATCCAAGTCTACTGACTCAAATTCTAATGCTCTTTCCACTATACTACATTTAGTACCTAATTCTTTACCTTTCCAGGTAAAAGACATGATGACATATGTATACAAAAATGGCAAGGTAGAAATACTTATGGTAAAGATGATCTAGTGGTACAAGGCAGAAATGGAGGGAGAAATTGAGAGAAGAGTGAAAAAAAAGGTGGTGACAGGAAAATGGCAGGGAATATAACTGTTTTTGCACTCTGAAAAGGAATTTTCTAAATATCATGGAAAGAGTTGCCATTATTCAATAATGACTCACATAAGCCTTTAAAGAAAATGGTATGTATCTTGCATGAACTTTAAAGAGCCTCTCAAGTTTCTGAATCTAAAGTCCTTCCTCCAAGCTGGCTCAAAAGTAACTCTGCATCCTCAAAGGCAAGGCACAAGCTCTGGACAACTCAACCAGAATGAAAAGATTTTGAAGACAGGTCTCAGTGAACTGCCTAGAGCTGTCATCTGAGGCCCAGACTAGCTAGGTGCCTCACCCAGCTGAGTTTATGAGCTTTTTGGTCAAAACAACTCGAAGATTATCATCTAATACTGTCAGAGAAGGGTTATAATCAGTGCCAGTGGACAGAGTACCCACACCAAGGAAACTGTGGATTCCTGAAGTACTGGTACTTAGAAGGTAAGCTCCTGAATAAAGATGAAAGACATCAGGCTTCAGGAAGTAATTTTCTAATCTTATGGCTTCACACTAACAACAACAACAACAAAATGATGGTCCAATGAGAGGATAAGCAAAACACATTATAGGAACATAAAATGTAGAGGAACTGGAAGGGACCTCAGAGATCATCCAATCAGAATCCTCAGGGCTGCAGAGCAGAAAGACTTGGAATGAATAGTACCCGGTCTCAAATCCTGATTCTTCAATTTAATATTCGTGTGACATTGGACAAGTCATTAAATCTTTCAGAGGTATAATTTTTTGGTATGAAAAATGCGTTGGATAGACGAGACCTAACAAGGTGACTCTGAACTCTCAATCAATCCTACAATTTTACATTTCCTCCTTTTACAGAGGAGAAAAATGAGGTGCACAGAGAGGAAGTTCATTGCTCAAGGTCAAAAAGCAAGTAAGTGGTAGGGGAAAGGATTCAACCTCAGGCTCCCAAGTCAGGATTGTAAATCTTCTAGTGATCCCGGGATTATGGCAGGGTAGCCAGGGTTGAGTTCAGTTCCTAGGAGGCTTTTGCCTTACACCTGATAATCATTTAAGATCAACTGAGCCCCAATAAGGGCCAAAAACCTGAATTAATCTTTTCTTCCTGAGTGAACTGAGAATGCCCCTTCCTGTGTCCACAGCTAAAGCTGATCAAGAGCATTCTTATGTTTAGGACCACTAAGGCGCCTTTATTCCAGACACTACCTTGAATAATGGGATTTTCTCATGTTGGTGGTAAAGGAAACACAAACATCCTGGATCTGAAATTTGCCTATCTTGTTCAATTCCTTTCTCATACTCTAGTTAAACACATGGAGATCATAAATTGAGTAACACAGACATCCTGAGTCAGGGTTTAAATGCCCTCCTAAAATTGCTTAATTCAGGCAGAGTTAAAGCTCTGCCTCCATGTAACATGTTACATGCTGCTAACTTAGGGGAATAAAACAATATGGATTTACTTATCACCTAGCTCGTTGTCTCTTTAACCAACTTTCAGGTCAACACACCAAAGATCACTTCCTGCCCTCAGTTTCCTCATCAGGAAAAACGGGCCTGCTATTCTTAACCCTACCGAACTCACAGGGTTGTTGTTATGGGGAAAGCAACCTGATACAGCAGGAAAAAAACACTAGATTTGGGACTCCTAGAAGTGTGGTAATACTCCCTCAAGGGATAACTGAGAGGAAACCAACGTGGAAAATCCTAAAGCCCCATCAAGATGTGGATGATGACGATGATGCTCCAGAGACAAGTGCCAATAGGAAGCAGGTCTCAGAGGGCATCTTGTCCAACCCTCTCACTTTACAGATAAGAAAACAAGCTCAGAGAGGTGAGAGACTGGCCAAGGTCACACACAGTAGGAGTGAGCAGGACGGCAGCGATTCGAACCCAGGTCTTGTCTCCAAAGCTAGCCTCTGAGAGAAGTCATTCAATCCAAGCTTTCATCAAACATTTATTGTGCGCCTACTGCATGCCAAGGATGGGAGAGGTGGGGGTGGCAGAAGAGGAAGAGGCCTGAGAAGTCGTTTTGGTGGGGTGGGGGGATTTGGGGAGCGAGGGCGGGCTGCGACGGGGCCTAGGGCTAGGTGTTCCCCTCCCGGCCCACGCCGGGCGCGGCCGGCCGGGATCCTCGGCCCACGTGGGCAGGGCAGGCCGGCGGAGAGGGGAGTGCGGCCTGCCTTCCTCCCTCCCCTTCCTCGTCGCGGCTCCGCTCACCTGCCGCTGCGCCAGGAAGGTCTCCCACAGGTAGACGGTCCAGGAGAAGAGCAGCACCGCGCCGAAGATGCGCTTCTCGAGCGGCAGCGCCCACAGCGCGTCCAGCAGCGGCGCCCACATCCCCGCGGCCTCTGGCTCTCCTCGGCGCTCCCACCAGCCGGCGGCGTCCCGGCCTCCACCGTCCCCTCCACGAGCACGCCCGCCGGGGGGAAGGCGGAGGGAATCACACCCACATCCGTCCCGTCACCCGGCTCGGAGGTGTCACCGCCACATCGGTCCCCAGTGCCTCAGCGCGTGCTCGGTGTCACAGCCATATCAATCCCCGTCTTCTCAGCCTCCGGGGTTACGCCCACATCGGTCTCCGCAGCAGCGTGCTGACGGTGTTACACCCAAACAGTCCCGGCTTCTCGCCAAGCCCAGGCGGCACCTTCACATCCGTTCCCCGAACCCGGTTGTGTCACACGTCCCAAGAGCCCACTCAAGTGTCTTGCTGACAGCTCGCTCTTTGTGTCGCTCACCCAACCCCCTCCACCTTCACATCCAACACCTTCCCCGTAGGTTAGGAAAAGGCCCGGAGGCCGAGCAGAGAAAACGTGGGCAGCCCCTCGACTTCCGCTCAGCCCCACCCTGTCCCTCGTTCTAAGCGGAGCTGCGCCTGCGCGCCTTCTGGATGACCGCTTTATTAGCTAAGTTGCTCCTTCCTGCACGCGCTCCCTAATGCGGCGTTCCGAGCGCGAGGGCGCCCCTGCTGCTGCTCCGCGCGCCCCCGACTCCTGCGGCGTTCTAAGCTTGCTCGTGGCCCCTGCTCGGTGTAGTCTCTGACCCCGCTGTCAGTTTCCCTGCGGATGGCTGGTCCTAGGTCTAGGACATGGACGTGTGGAAGTGGATGCTGTCCCTCTCCCTCATCCCTGAGCCCTAGCGTTCTTCCAGGAGGGGACCTTGACAGGGGTCCTCACTCCTTCCATTCATTCAGCTCTACATCCATTCATTCATCCACCCATCCGGGCTCTAGGAGCTCAGTCCCTGCCTCAGTCTCCCTCTCTAGCCCAACCCACATCCTCACACCCAGAAATGCCTGCAGTTAGCCCCTTCACCTCCCTAGGACCAGTTACTCCCCTTCAGCAGCTCCAAAGATCTCTGTGCATCCTCCACCTGGGAGGCGGGTGGCACCTGAGCCCCTCATTCTTAGCCCAAATTCCGCCACCTCCATGACTGACCTCGAACTCTCCCTCCATGGTCACGATCTCCTCTCATTCCATCTCTCCCTCTGCTTCACAGGGCCAGGCAGTTGTAAGTCATGGAGGCCTGATGAATTAGTGTTGAATTCATTTGAATTGGCTCATTCCTCCTGCACCTCCTGTGTTGCGGTCTCGGGGTGCTGGGAACCCAGAAATTCAAGGGCAAACGTCACAGGTCCTTCTGTGAAAGAATTCGACTGGAGCCTTCTTTCTGCTCAAGACAAGGTTTATTAAAACATCGGTTGGGGTGAGTGATATTCATAGTGAGTCTGTGCCATTGGCCAGATTTTAAGAATCTGAGCCATTTAATGGGGGCAAGATGGACCTTTTATACAGAAAGACTATGGGAAGATCTGGACATGATGTAGGAGTGGCCAAGTGGTAGGGGGTGACTGTGAGAAGGGGTCTAGGTGGAATTAAGGGTGGGAAGTAGCCTTGGCAAGTCACTTAACCCTGTCTGCTTCGGTTTCCTCATCTGTAAAATGAGATGAAGAAGGCAATGGCAAAACCATTCCAGTATCTTTGCCAAGAAAACCTCAAATGGGGTCACAAGGAATTGGACACAACTGAACAACACAGTCAATAATGGCTTCAAGATGGAGTCAGCTTTTATTGACAACTTTCATAATGAGATTTGGATAGGTCTACATCAATAAAAGGGGGATGGGCCATCGTATCTCAGTGTGTCCCCAAGGTAGCAAGTAAATACATGGCAATTTGCCAGATACAAACAGGTAGGGAGTGACTTCCTAGGTGACTAATAGCAGGTAATACAAAGCTGCAGACTAAGTGACACCTCCCCTAATACTGATTGACATGCCTGAAGAACAGTGAGTCAAAGAGTCTGCATAGTTTTCAGTAGGGTTTAAGCCCGGGTCTTCTGAATTCAAATCCAGTGCTCAAGGCCTCACCAAGAACCTAAGTACCTGGTTCTCCCAGGCATTAGCCCCACTTCTTTTGTTCCCAGTTGTGGCTTTATAATTAACCAAATCAGAACGGAACAGTGGCACTCATCTCCACTTTTGATTCTCTTCCCTTTTGTCCTAAGTCACCTCCACCATCTGCCTCTCTAGCCCTCTTGAGCTACTGAATGCTGCTGGGGAAGACATAAAATCCTATACACTCACCACACATTCATTTTATATAATCTCAAATGGGTCTTTTCCTGTTCAAAAAGCAATTCTTCCATTATCCTGTCCTTCTATCGCGTTTTTCATAGTTCTTCCAAAGCCCCTTTTTTCTTCAAGCCCCTACCTTTACCTTCATGCCTCACCCCAGCAGATATCCTCCCATCCTATTTTACTGAGAGTATTGAAACCAATCCTCTTAACTTCCCTGATCTCTGTTCTTCAACACCTTGACCTCTCTATCTCTACCTGTCCTCCTGTTCTTGACTTCAGTCTCTGAGGATGAGGTTATCCTTCTTGCTGAAGTTAATTCCTCCACTTGTGACCTGGATCCTCTCTCATCAGCTCTGTTTAAGAGCTTGCTCCATTTATCATTCTTGTTCTGTCCTGACCTGTTAGCACCTTCCTCATGGCCAACAAACTCAGGTCCCCCTTGTCCTTAAAAAAAGTTTTGATATTGACATCCCCACTGTACTGTCTTATATCTCTCTTTTTCACTTGGCAGATTCCTAGAAAGTCACCTACATTTGTTACCTACACTTCCTCCCCATCAGCATAAGCCTCAGCTCCTTGCAATTGGTTTTTAATATAAAAAAAATCTACTGAAATTTCTCTCTCTGAGGTTATCAGTGACTCAGCTGCCAAATCCAAATTACCTTTTTCTCAGTCCTCAACATTTTACCTTCTTACAGAATTTGATACTACCAGCCACTCTGTCTTCCTGGATACTCTCTTCTCCCTTGGTTTCCATAACACTACTGTCTTCCTGGTTCCCTTAGCTGTCTGATCCCTCCTTTCCAGTCTCTGCTGGCTCCTTTCTTCTTGCCCTCTAAGTATTGGTATTCCTCAAAGCTCTGACCTAGCTCCACTTCCCTCTGCAGCAATATGCCACTGCTAGCCGGGGTGGGGGGTGAGGGAGGTGTTCATGTACCCTCTTTTATTAAAGGGCCCAGCTTTTCACATGAAGACAGAATTCAGTCCTGAGGAAGCCTGCTTTCTAACAAGAGAGGTTAGACTTCTTTTCTCGTCTGTCTCCTTATGACACCATCTTGGAGCCCCAGGAAAAATCACTTACAGCTTAGGTTTAGCTCATGTCTGGGTCTCCCCAAAGGGGAGCAGAAAGATATTCAATATATCATGTAGGTCAGTGATAGGACAGCTATTTATTTGTTTCTTCCATACAAAAGAAACACTGAAAATATAATAGACATATAATCAGGGCAGAGGAAAAGACTTAAAACAATAACCTATAACTCTTTGTATACTCTCCAGGGAGTTTGATACTTAATACACATATATCAAGTAATTAAATTAATACTTAATACACATTTAAACATGAAACAGCCATTTCACCTTCACTTTGGCTTTGCACTGTCCGAACAGTTCCCTGAAGACCCATGTCTTCCACCAAGTCAGGCCAGGGTTTGGGATCATCTTCCTGTGGCTGGTTTTCCTTTGCAGAAAGAGTGTATTTGGAGAAAGCTTCTCCAGCTGACAGTTAGCTCTGCCTGAGGAACTTAGGAGCTCCCGACCATTTGAATTCATGAGGCTACTTCCAAGACTAGAAACATCCATCTGAGGATCACTGTTCAGTTATCTGTACTCAAGGAAAAAAATTTAAAAAACAAACAAACAAAGCAGAAAGGTAAGTCTGAGCCTTGAGATCCTGACTCAGGTTCACTTAAACAAGCACATGTACTCACTGCCACATGTGAGCAACCACCATAGGTTCCAGGGGGAAGGGGAGCCCTTTTGGGAAGCCCAACTGTAAGTGTCACAGTTACCATGTTTTTGGCAGACAGAAAGAGAGAAGGTGAGGGTGAATGTTGTCTCTCCCTTTAAAGTCTACGGAGGGGGTTGCTCTTCCTGGCTCAGTGGACAATACCCTTTTGATGCATTTTCTTCCTCATGTTGCTGTCATAGGGTCCAAGGGATTGCTTGCTCCATCATCCTAGAGCTTGGAGCATCCCAAAGCTCCAAGTCTTCAGCACTGAGCCAATGCACACATGACCCACCAATAATTGCCATGGGAGCTCAGCTCAGTTCAGCTCCACATATGCTCTTCGGCATGTGCTCTTGCCAGAGCACATCAAGATGAGGGGTTCATGATCACCCCCAATATAACTCTTTCTCTACTTTCTTCCTTGATGATCTCATTTGTCATCATGACTGTTCAGATAACTTCTAAGTCCATATTGCAGTCTTAATCTCTTCTCTGAGCCCCAGTCTCACGTTTCCAAGTTCCTGTTATATGTCACTGGAGCACCTCAAATGCAACAGTCAGTCAAACAACAAGTATTTATTAAGAGCTTAATATGTGCCCAGCACTGTGCTAGTGCTAAAAAAAAAAAGGAAAAAATAGACTTAGCCCTCAAGAAACTCACAGTCTAATGATGGTGATGACGTGTAAATAACTAGTTACTGAGAGAATAGATAAAGGCATTTTGAAAGGGAAGGACTGCTGGGGGAATCAGGAAAGGCCTCTTGCGGAAAGTGAGCTTTGAACTGCCTTGAAGGAAGCCAAGAAATCTAAAGAAATGGACTGGGGGACAGTCAGTGAAAAGGCCCAGGGGTGAGACATGGAGTATTATGTTTAAGGAACTACAAGTAGGGTAGTGCAGCTGGATCATAGGGTGTGTGGAAGTGAGTTAAGTGTAAGAAGGCTAGGAAGGGGCCATGTCATACATACACTCTGAGATCCAGTGACACAGGCCTTCTTGCCGCTCCTGAAAGAAGAAATGCCATCATCTCTGGCCTCCGAGGATTTTTATTGGCTGTCCCCGTGTCTGGAGCGCCCTCTCTCCTCATCTCCACCTGCTAGCTTCTTATATAGGAAGTCCTTCTCCATCTTTCCCAATCCCAATGCCTTTTCTCTCTTAGTCATTTCCAGTTTACCCTGTACATAGCTTGTTTTTTACACAGCTGCTTGCAAGCTGTCTCCTCCATTAGACTCTGAGCTACTTAAAGGCAAAAACCAGATTTTTGGGAGGGTTTGTTGTTGTTGTTTTTTGCCTTTCTTTGTATCCCTACACTTAGCACAGTGCCTGGAGCATGGTAGCTACTCAATAAATGTTTGTTGACTGATTACTTGGCCTTCTTTGTGTACAAATGTTTGTGTTTACTAATGATTTTATAGCTAGTAATAAAACACATCCTAGTGAAAATAGGATCTTAGGATCTGTATTTGGTGCTCCATGGAAAGTGGAGAAAAGAGTGATTAAGACTGGATGCCTGTTTCTGTGCTTGGCATGAATAGGAGTTGGAGGTGAGGATGGAGTGTTGTGTTAACTTGGAGAGTAAGGATGGGCCAGACCTTACTAAACAGGCACCACATATTTTGTGCTGATAAAAAGAAAAAAAAGTAATATGCTAGGAGCTAATGGAGGGAAATGGAGAAATTTGTGAAAGAACTGAATTTACAAATAAAAATAAAACGAATTATAGTGTTGCATGAGCTTTCCATTCATTGGCTAGCCTCAGTCAGTAAATCAATATAAGACAGAAACAGGAGAACTGCAATGAATTCACTCAGAGCAAGACACATTCGACCAGCAATTGATGGACAAGTGTGTCCGTGATTCAGCTAGTAATATCTATAGTGTTCTACCATTCAGTTAGTGAGGCAAAGAGGGTGCTTGTTATAAAGCAGTCTTGGTCACTAGGAAGGAAAGGCCTACTTGCTACAACAAAAGAGATTGTTCATCACTCATTACAAAGCAAGCAGGAATGTATCCTGGTACCCATAGCTCAGAGAACCAAACATCCTTTCAGAGACTAGATAAAGGAAAGGAGAAGATTTCCTAGGACTATCAAAGTTTTCCTTTGCAATTTTTTGCTACTGTTCAGTCATGTCTGACTTTTGTGACCCCATTTTCTTGGCAAAGATACTGGAAGGGTTTACCATTTCCTTTTCTAGCTCATTTTACAGATGAGGAAACTGAGACAAACAGGGTTAAGTGACTTGTCCATTGTCACAAAGCTAGTAAGTGTCTGAGAACAGATTTAAACCCAGGAAGATGAGTCTTCCTCATTCCACGGCTGCCACTCTATCCACTGGGCCACCTAGCTAAAGAGGCTGAAAGGAGAGACAGAAGGAAACCAGTTTGTTGTAAGCTGATCCTGCTAGTATGTGCTAAGGCAATACACAGCGAGATGGCAATATATATATATAGTGCTGATATAGATATAAATATATAAATAGATATAAATATATTCAGCTATATACTTGTATATATGTATGTATATATATATATATATATATATATATATATATATATATAAATATACTTACTGAATGTAAAACAAAATGGAGTTAGTTATATCAACTCAACACACCACTCTTAGCTCTTAAAAGTCCACTTTTAACAACAAAATAGATTAGGAAAAAACGACTCTACAATTTGTTGCCACTGACAAAGGTGTATAAAACATAAGGATAAAACACTAATTCAAAATGAAGGGCTCAAATAAATTCTATTATGTGTCAGCTGAATTTTAAAAACAAGTTTTAATCATGATTTCAAGGAAGGCAATCACAAACCTTAGATGCCAATAAGAGAAACAAATGAGGAAACTGTATCACAATCAATGAAGCAGTATCAATGGTAAACATATAAACTGCAGAGCAGAGCAACCAAGTTCTTAAGGGCAAAGCTAATTGAAATGAACAAAGACCGAGCTAATAATTCACTGATTCTAGTTAACCCAAATGCTCTTCCATCTGAGCACAATAAGTCCAAAAAGAAGATGAATAAGAAAGACACCACAGACTTGAACAGCATTGGAAAAAGGGAATTTTATAGACATCTGGAGATTCAAAGATTTAAAATCTCAGAGAATATATGTGTATTTCTTAGATTCCCATTGAATCTATGGAAAAATTGGTTTTGTGCTAGGGGAACAAAAAATTTACGAACAAATATGCAAAGGCAGAAATCCTAAACACATCCTTAACAGATTACAATGTAACTAAATTATAATCGATAAAAGAAATATGAACAAAAGAGAATGACCTAAAATAACATCTTAATGAGTTGGTCAAATGCCAATTTTTTTAAAAATTACAAATTAAAGGGAATGACAATGAGACATGACAAAATTTGTTGACTATTAGAAGAATCCTAAAGGGAAAAGGTATATGCTTGAATACTTATATTTTTAAAAAAAGAAAGAAAAAAGAAAAGACTAATAAATTAAAAAAAAACCTAGAAAACAAAAAAAATTAATACTCCCAAAACAAATACAATAGGTTTTGAAAATTTGAAAAAAAAATAAAACAAAGATTTGCTTTTTGAAAAGACAACAAAATTAGCCTTTTAGTCTTAAACCAATAACTTAATTGATAAAGAATGCAACCTGTGTCCCAGAATATGAGCTCTACTAAGCTCCATTTTGGGCATTGAGTGGAAGCTATACAAACCTCCAGCTTTATATTAATACTGTAGCTGAGTTCTCACCTAGGCCAGGTGGGATAGGGACAGCCTTATGGGAAAGCTGCACATACAAAGGAAGGCATGACTCTTATTTGGCAGAGAAGATGCTGAGTATATTGCTGCATGCATATGTAAGGGACTTACTGAATCGATCTGAGGCAGACTCTGGAGACACACATGGAAAGAGAACGTTCTCAGAGGTAGGAGAGAAAAAGAGAGGTTTGGAAAGGTGGATATTTGTCAGAAGCTGTCCCTGTCATGTGCCTAGACTTGTTTGAAATTCTAGAAAATGCTAAGAAACAACATCCTCTGGTTGGGATTGTCCCCTCTCTCCTGAGTGAGCTGAGATATTATCTCACTCCCAGCTGTGAAGAACTCATTTACTTTTGTGTATCTATTGTTATATTTTAATCTGTATAACTTCTACAAATTCTGTTTCCTGTTTGGCTTAGGTAGATGAGTTTACTGCATAGATGGCTATTTGTGATGGACTTTTGTGCAACCAGCATTTGGTGAGAAGGGACCAAGCCTCGCAAATGTAAGCTTGGGGATACCTTCCCCCTCTTGAGATAAGAATGCATCTTCTGTTCTGAACCGATTGTATCCCTAGACAAGAGATTTTAAGGGGCAGCAGACAGATATAATTGAAGCCCAATATCCCCCTTAGGTGATGGAGGAGAGATTGCCCAGCCTTGGCTATCCTTGATCTTGCTTATCCCTCCAACCTCAGCTAGCATTATGGCAGTGAAGAGATGGCCCTTCTCAAATTCTTTGATGGGTGGGTAAAACCTTCCATCACATCTAGCTATGGGTTAAGTCTGAAAATTAATATAAACTGAGAGACAAAGTTCTTTCTGAGCATGATCAATTTATAAGTTAGGCTAGCAATAACCAATGGTGTAGCTAGGTGGCACAGCAGATAGAGTATCAGGCCTGGAGTCACAAAGACTCATCTTTGTGAGTTCAAATCCATCCTCAGACACTTACTAGCTGTGTAAAGTTGGGCAAGTCACTCAGCCCTTTTGCCTCAGTTTTCTCATCTGTGAAATGAGCTAGAGAGGGAAATGGCAAACCATTCCAGTATCTCTGCCAAGAAGACCCCAAATGGCGTGAAATAACTGAACAACCACAAAGCAGTAACCAATAAATTAGACCAATAGCTTCTTGAGTAAGGGCTGACAGAGTCTTTTATAACAATTTGCAAGAGGACAGTAAAATCTTGAGCAGCATAGGTGTGTCTTCTTCTGATAGGCTATTGATGACATAGTTAGAATTGAGATTGCATCATTTGGATCAGTGTGGCTCCACTAGCACTGAGTAGTTGAGATGCACCAAAGGTCTTTGGCCCATAAATGGTCTTTAGAGCACCACAGAAGCGCTTTGGGTTGTTACTATCAGCATAAAACTGAATCTCATCTGCCTTCTCAGAGACGGATGAACTATTCTGTTGATAAGCCCTATGGAATTCTCATTTTCCATTTAGCAGCTCTTGAATTCTCCCATCGTTTCAATCCATCCAGTCTTGATGTTGGCAGGCATTCTGGCCCAGATGAGCCAATGTGATGCCGTACACCCAGTTTCTGAAAGCCGCCCGCTCCTTTTCTGCTCCACTGTTGCTAACATGGAGCTACACTGATCAGTGATAAGGACACGAGCCTCGAGAGACATACTGAATGCTTCCATAGGGTTCTCAACAAACTATCATCAGCCACTTGGGGCCATCGACCTCAACTTCAGGCCAACCAAACTTCCAACTGAAGAAGTTTTGAATGTCATTAAGTTCCTCTCATCTGGTAAAGCTCCCAGTGCATGGTTCTGTCCCGGCAGCGATCTACAAGGCAGGAGGTCCCCTGCTCATGCTGATAAAGCCAGTAGTACAGCAAAAATTACCAAAAAATTACAAAAGCCCAATGCTGGTAGGCTGTCAGGAAATAGGCAGCTTAATACATTATTGGTATTGCCACTAACAGTCACATTTTGCAGAATGTCATGGCGAGATGTGGTGAGACAGCATGAAATGATGGGTCATGGACTGACCTCATAGTTAGGATGACCTGGTTTTGAGACACGCTGGCTAGTGACCCTGACCAAATCAATCTCTCAGTGCCCCCAGGAAACTCTCTAAGATGACAAATTTCAATAGAGTTACTGATTACCTTTGGTGGAGGGAGTTTCCTCACCAGGATTTTCCTGTATAAATGAAGTCACAAGCCCAGACTCCCTAATTCCCCAAAAAGGCAAGATGCAATGAGTCACCAATTGGTCATACTTTTTGATACAATAATTCCATTATTAAACCTTTATCCTTCCCCCCCCAAAAAAAAAGAAAAGAGTGACTTTTTAGTATAAAGTACAGTGCTTGGAATAATGAATGTGACCTCAAATAACAGTGAGAAAAGAGGCTAGCCTTACTTTACTCTTGTGTTTATTAGGAAACCTTCTAGCATTTCTCCATTGCATATGATACTAGATTTTGGTTTTGAAAACACACTTTTTAACTAATCTTCTAGCCAAGAAATACTACAATATAATTACAAGGTGATAAATTAATTGTAAAGATGCATCTACACCCTCATCCCTCTGACATATGTGTACCTTTCTCTGACAGAATTGAAAGAAACAACCTCATTGGATCAGTAGGACCTTAAATGGCCCAGCCCTATCAACAACAGAGTTCAATTGAAGAGAGTCAGGGCTCAGGAACATTTTGTGAAAATCTCTGAGGAAAGGTGGGGAGAAGGTGATTTCTCTCTCCTCTCTTCACCTCCGTTGGTGCCCATCACGGCCAAACTGAGGAAAATTCAACTTGCACTAACCTTGGAACGTCTTGTTCCTTCTTATTCTTAGAAGTAAAGTACAAGATCTCTTCTGGTCATATCATCTCATCGGCATATAAATATATAAACTCAAAGGCAGGAACCTATAGAGAACCTGATGAGAAATGGAACTCGGAACAAAATTATTCCACCTGGAAAAACAAAGTTTTGACAGTCTGATGCAAGTACACATAACCCGAGTACAACCCAGAAAGAACTAATTTATGCTATAATTGTGGTCTGCATGGATATAGGAGACATAAGCATACTTGGAGGAGGAATGCAGGCTTTATATGTTAGAAGATTCATTCAAAAATGCTATCAAGGAACAAATGTTGCCAGGGTTGAGGATGTCACCCTGGATTCTAAAAACAGTAAACTAGGCCTCATCTTCAGATGCTTATGGGTCCACCCCATGTGGACTCATTGGACATTATGCACAAGTGATAGTGAAGATTGAAAATGTGGACTGCGCTGCTATGTTGGACAGCAGATCCCAAGTGACCATTGTATTCTTATTATTCTATGAGAGAAATTTGAGAAAGGACCTTTCTAGTCTATGAAAGAACTAGGATTCAATATAATAAGTGACAAGGGCTGTTCATATTCAGGGTACGAGCAGGGTAAGCTTAAAATTTCCTAAGGAAGTTGTTGTCAATAGAAAGGTAGATACCATAGCTCTATTGTATCTAGGATCAGCAATTATCTCTGGGGCATCATTATTGATTGGAACCATCTCCATTTTCTTTAAGCTATTAGCAGGATACTATGGGTAAGAAGCTGGGACTTGATCCTTGATACTCTGACCATACATTCAGCTTTGCAGAAGATTATGGGAAGAGAGAAGCCATCTCAAGAGTACTGGGGCGTTTTACAACTTGGAAGAGGATCCCCAAAAGCTTTATTTTTATGACTCATCAGTGGCTGAAGAATGGAAGGATCGGTTAAGGAAGAAGATTAGAAAGAGGATAGATGTATTCTCATTGTGGAGAGTGAGATGTTCCCAAAGAACCTTTGCTCTCGAAACCCACCTGACTCCTGAACTTTCTGAGAGCATGCTAGACAGATTCCTCTACCTGAAATGACAAGCCTCACAAACCATATGAATGAAAGGTTGGTCAACAGCCTTCTCACAATCCACACAGATATGTATAGACTGTTGTACTTGGAACAAAAGAACTGAGGCAAACCGTGCCAAGAGTTCATGATGCCCTGTGTTATTTGATAGGCAACCAGGGGTCCTCGGTGTTGGGTTACCCAGTGGATACTATCAGATTTCTATAATAGAGGAGAGAAAGCAGCTTTTATCTGTCTGCTCAGCTGGATTTTACCAATATGTGTATGCCCCAAGCCACTTTGGAAGCAATTTGCTATTTTTCCAACAGCTGATGAGGAAAGCAAGTAGGGACATGAACTTCATGGAGATATTGGTGTGTCTAGATGACCTCATTTTCTTTGGAAAGATACAAGAACATAAGGGAAGACTGAAGAAAGTGCCGGACTGCTTATAGGAAGCTGATCTGAAGCTGTCACCTGATAAGTGCTAGTTTTGCTGAGCTTCTAATCCAGTATATGGGTCCCACAGTGTCTCAGCAAGGAGTGAGTATTGACCCAGAGAAGAGAGAAGCATCCATAGAGTCACAGAATTTGAGGGGTAGAAAGGAACTCAGCAGTCCACTAGTCTAACCCATATCTGAAAAGAAATCTGCCCTCCTCTGCTTGAAGACCTATTCCAGAAGCTGTGCCCCTCCCAATGCAGCCCCAAATAGCATTAGCTTTTTTTGGTTAGCACATGACACTGCTGACTCCTACTGAGCTTTCAGTCCACTAAAACCCCCACATCTTTTTCAGAACTGCTACCTATCTAAGCCATCTCTACTTTATACTTTATTTCTTCCTATACTTATTTCTATATTCAAATGCAAGACTTGACATTCACCCCTATAGAATTTCATCTAATTAGTTTCAGACTAACACTCTAGCCCAGGAGTGTCAAATTCAAATAGAAACAGACCCCTGCTTGCCTTATAGAAAAAAACCACACATTAACATTATCTATGTTGTATTGTATACTTATTTTATTAAACAATTTCCAATTACATTTTCCTCTGGTTCCAGGGACACTTGGGAGTCCCTCAGCCTCTAGTTTGGCATTTCTGCTCTACCCTGACTAGATCCTTTTGGAACTTGACTTGGTCCCTCACTGCATCAGCTATCTCTCCTAGTTTTGTATAACTGCAGTCCCAAAACTCAGTGGTATAACATTCTCTCCTTATTAGTGGAGATGAATGCCCTGTGCCTCCATGTGGTGAGAGCTGTCCCCCGACATGTAGCAGGAGGCTATAGTCATGTGGCTCAAAGGTGGGGAGGAGAAACATCTCTACCCAGAGTAGGCTGGAAGTCCCTCCATCCTTTTCCTGTCAGGAGGGGAAGCAAGAAATAGAGAGTAGAGGCATGACCACTTTGGAAGGAGATGGTCAATAAGCATTTATTAAGCACCTACTATATGCTAGGCCCTGAGCTAAGCATTGGGGATATAAAGGCAAGAAACAGTCCCTGCCCTCAAGCAGCTTATAATCTAATAGACAGTAAGAACATAAGCCATATCTTAGCATTGACTAATTGACAAGAGTTGTCCAGACCTTTGAATGATTGGGACCTTTTCTGAATCTGCTCCAGAAAGGTAGCAGAAGCAGGGGAGAGGTGAGGATCTCCTTTTCCACATGGGGTCTTGACAGAATCACCGGGGTGGTTACTTGAATACACCACACAGTGAGCAAATTATACATTACACTCCTTTGTGGCTTAAGTAATTACAAAATGACATAGTCTTCCTGGGGATTTAAGGAAGGCAAGACAGAAGCTAGTGAAAGCTGCTAATGCCACTTTAGCCCTCAAGGATTATTTGGGACACTCACCAAGCCTACACACAGACCACACTATTGTCACATTCTTAGAATAAATTTGATCTATCCCCTCTATTCTGGGCCAGCCCCAATCTAGGCCAGCCCAACAATTCAGGCTCAAGAGTTAATAAAATACAGTAAGGCATCCATGGACCAAGAAATACAATAAAAACAATTTGAGAGAAGAGATTAAAAGAATACAGTTTCTGAGTTTGTAAAGGATACCACATCAAACATTACACACACACACACACACACACACACACTACAGCAGTCTCTATGACAACTGACCATAGTAGGTCAGGAAGGTCCCATTGTAGGCCCCAAGCCCAGTAGGATCTCTACTAAACTACTGGTTCCAACTGGCTCTCCACTGGGCCTTTATGCCTCAGGTGGCATGGACGCCAAACGGTCTGTCTGCTCCCTTACAGAACTACCTAGCCTCCATGCTTCTGGAGTCCCTGTCTGCTGTGTGGGGCATAGAGTGAGGCTTCTGAGGAGGCAGAGTAAGAGAGATCAAAAGGAGGTGGGCAGGGAGGAAGAGGAGGCTTCCACAGGGGCCAGCCACAGTAGCCATGTGGCAGTGCTGGCTGCTTCTCTTTGGTGATAGCCTCGGCAGCAGTTTGGTGAGAATAGCAACAGCAACAGCGGAGGCCTCAAACTATCACTCCTACCACACACTACCACAGCCTAAACACCCGCCTGGTGGACTTAACCATATTAATGAGTGCAGACTCTCATTTTAGCATGGCTGTCATAGTAGCGTAGAATTCCCATTCCAGAGCTGAGGACTGCAAAGAGAGCAGGCCTTGGGGACAGGAAGATGGGTTTAAGTCCTCCCCTTGACACATACTAGCTATCTGCCCCCTGGCAAGTCGCTTACCTTGAATGTACCACCACTACCACTACCACTTCCACTTCCACTAACACTACTACTGCTACCACTACTCCTACTACTACTTCTACTAGCTAGGCTTTATGAAGCCTTCTTAAGGCTTGCAAAGTCCTTTCCATGTGTCATCTCTTTTGATCCTCACAACAGCCCTGTGAAGTAGGTACTATTTTTACCCCCACTTCACACAGGAAGAAACTGAAATTAGGTGACCTGCTCAGTCACACAGCTTGGGTCTTTTTGACCAGCTCCATCTTCCCTGGGCTGTGCCATTAAGATGCCTAGACAACTTTCTTAAGTTTTTGTTCATCCTTTGTTTTCAAAGAGGACCGAATGACATCATGGGTAATGTCTTGACTTGCTCTTAAATTGGATTTAAGTAAGGCACAAAGTTGTCAGCTTCACTCTCTCCTGCAGAGTCACTGGAGTCCAGTGGCAAGAAAAAGGTCAAGACAACTGGTGATGGCCCACAGTGCAATAGGTGACCTTGCTCTTTCTAAATTAGGGTCTTTCCCAGCAGGGCACAGTTTGTCTGTGACCACACTCATTCAATGACTAAGGTCTAGGTAAAAATTGAGACAAAAGATGGCCCAATTCATCATCCCAAAGACAAGAATCTGGGTTAATTAGTTTTCTCAAGACTAAAGTTGCCAAGAAATTGCCTATCTTCCCTGGTGGAGGAAATTTCCTCAGCCACAAATTTGCTACACCAGCAAAATCACAGTTCTAGACCAAACCCTACACACCAAGTAGGAAACGAGACCCATACTCCACCTCCTTTCCCACATCACTTTTTCTCTCATCCAGAATGCGTCTTGCCCTCTTCTTCTCTATTAACTCCTATTTCCAGGGTTAGGCCTCAATAGGTACTTGATCGATGCTTTGAACACGTTATCTGGGGAGCCTCTTAATGTTTGTGGGTGCTGTTGCCGCCTCATGTATGTCCCAGCCCCCTCTAGACCCCACCTCCATGGGAATCTTCTCTCTCCCTCCCAGGAAAGAGAAACAATCTAGTGGATGAACGGGTGGCCACAAAGCCAGATTAGGGATTTGAAGCATTTTATTTGTACTCCACACGCCACTCAAGACGATAGATGGGGCCTTTCTGGGAAGGCGTGGGCTCCTCAACCTGGCTTCATTGTTTCCGAAGTAGAGGTAAACCCAGGAGTGTGCAGGGGGCTCCGACAGTCCAAACAGTTACAAGGGTGCTTTGTGTAATTCTTGCCACTTTTGTAGGTCATGATCAAATCCTCCAGGTCCTTCACTTTACCCTCGACCATCTGTAGCTTTTGGAGGATTTTCTCCTGCAGGCTCAGGGTGACCATCATGTTATTGCTACCTTGACTAGTGGGGTAATGGATTATTCTTCCACCATTGTTGGACAATATAACTTGCAAAAGATCTGTGCCCTTCTTGTAAAGCAGAAGGAGTAAATTAATGAAGATGATGACTTTCTAAAGGAAAAAAAAACCCATAAGTTGGTTAAATTTATGTACATGAAAACATTACTAATCAACTCAATCCTAGTGAGGCTTGTCACTTAGCCTCTCATGGACTTAATTTTCTCATCTAAAAAATGGGGATAAGGGTCCTAGTGCTACCCACTTTTTGTAGGGAAACTGTTTTGTAAATCCTAGTGTTATGTAAATAGTTATTAATTGGGCAAAACACTCTCTTATTCATAATTTCTAGGGAATAGGGATTCTAGCTGAGTGTTTTTTACCCAGGTTTTTCCCCTGGAGAAATCTTTTTGTTTCAACCCAAGACATTATGTTTCCTTTAGAAATGCATTAGAGCACTTTCTCACCCTATTCAGCAAATGGTAGAGTAGAAATAACAATGAACTTGGAGATATGAGGACTTCATCTCTTCAAGCCTGTTTCTCTATCCATAAAATAGATTGTAATATCTCATGTCACCTACTTTACAGGCATATCATAAAGAAAGTGCTGGCTAAAGAAATCTCCAGGAGCTCCATATTGGGTCTAGGAAAAAACATAACCACCTACATGGGCACTAACAACCTTTCACAATCGCTGTAGCCGATCTTCCTTGGCTTACTGTATACTATTCCCTCCCATGCATTCTGCGTTCTAGCTGCTCCTTAAACTCCTACCCCTATGCTGTGACACTGGCTGTGTCCATCATGCCTGGCATGTACCACCCTCTGCTTATTCACAACAATAACTGACATTTATACACTGCTTTTAAGGTTTTCAAAGTGCTTTGCAGACATTTATTTGGTTCTCCCAATAGCCCTGTTGACAGACACTATTATCCTTCCTCTTTTACAGAAGAGGAAACAGATTCAGAGAGGTCACACACTTACCCTGGGTCACACAGCCAGTTAAGTGCCTATGGGAATGTTGGACCCTATTCCTGACTCTGGGTTCAATCTTCTACGTACTATGCCACACTGCAAGGCCAAAAGAGACCTCGGAACACAGACTGTCAGAGTCAGAAGGAACTAAACCCTGATTCTTGATCAAATGGGGGAAGAGAGCTTCTTGATTTAAGTCAGCTAGAGAGGGCAGTGAACATAGCACTGGACCCTGGAGTCAGAAAGGTCCAAGTTCAACTCCCATTCTTGGACACTTGTTGGCTATGTGAACCAGGGCAGGTCACTTAATTGCACTGTGCCACAGTTTCCTAAACTGTCAAGTGGCTATAATAACAGCACCTATTTGCTAGGGTTATCGTGAGGATCAAATGAGATAATATTTGTAAAGCGCTTAGCACACAGTAGACACTTAATAAGTGTTTCTTTCCATCCTTCCGGACTCAGTCTAGGGCTCTGTCAGTGGCTAATATAGCACAACTGCCTCTTAGAATCCCTAGCTTCCAGGAGTCAGGAAGACTTATCTTTCTGAGTTCAAATCTAGCCTCAGACACTTATTAGCTGTATGACCCTTGGCAAGTCACTTCACCCTGTTTACCTCAGTTTCCTCATCTATAAAATGAGCTGAGGAAGGGAATGGCAAACCACTCCAGTATCTTTGCCAAGAAAACTCCAAATGGGGTCAATGAAGAGTTGGACACGACTGAAATGACTAAACAACAAACTGTACTTTTATTTGTTTTGTTAAACATTTCCTAATTAAATTTTAATCTGGTTCAAACTTCGAGGCCCAGGCCTGGAGTCTGACACCACAGACTAGTGCCTAACACTCTTATTTGAAAGATGAGGATACTGAAGACCAGATGGGTTAAGAGACTGGCTCACGGACACCATATAGGTATTATCTACTAGTGATGTATGGCGGGGAAAATGCCTCTTAACTTGGGGACACTTAGGGTGTGATTATCCTTGAAAGGCAGAAAAAGGAACCCAAACTCCTTTGCAAGTCAGCCAGGAGTAGAGCCCACAAGCCATGCTCTCATGATATAAATCTTTCTAAGAGTCCCAGGAGGCTTCTCAGAAACGCCTGTTGTGAACATTTTAGGATTACAGCGTTAGAGAAGTTATCCAGCCCAGATGTGCCCCAATTGTCTCCAGAACCAGATTAAAATGTAACTGGGAAGTGTTTAACAAAATAAGTAAAAATACAATACAATATAGATGTTAATTTGTGATTTCCCAAGTCAATATGTGTCCCACCATCCACTTTTCTTTGAGTTTGACACCACTGCTCTAGCCCATCCCTTCATTTTACAGATATGGAAACTGAGACCCAGAGAAGCTGTGATCATGTGTCTAGTATGTGATGAGAGTTCTAAAAATACACACGCAGCTCAGCCCAACCTTGTGGTAGCACAGAATGTCTTTCATTTGACAGATAGGGATACAGAGGTGTAGAGAGGAGGAAATGACTTGGCCATCAACATGGCAAGAGACAGAGCCTTCACTAGAACCTTGGCCTCTGGACATACCTAGGATTTTCCACCACCCAGTGAATGCTGCCCCTTCTACTCTCAGGGTTTCTTCACCTCTTTTGTGTCAGAGTCCCCTGTGTCACTCTGGTGAAGCTGATGGACCCCTTCTTAGGATCGTATTTTTAAATGGATAAAACAAATAGGATCTCAATTCTATTGAAATACAATGATCTGAAAAATATTGTTTGACGTTATTTGATGTAGTTCCAGTATTTCAATTCTGTTGGGATACAATATTTGAATATTGATTTGAATTTTAAAAGTTCACAGAGCCCAGGATAAGATCTTCCACCTATACTCAGTCTACCGAATAAATCATTGCCTCAAATGCTCCCTTTTCCACAGCTAAACTCCAGCCTGTGCCCCTCTCACCTGCTTGTCTCTCCCACTGACTCCAGGACAGCCCTATTCAGATGCACTAAAAGCTTGGTGGTACAGAAGTAGTGCACTGGACCTACAGTCAAGAAGATCTAAGTTCAAATCTAACTCTCTGACATTCACTAGCTCTGTGATCCCAGGAAAATCACTTAACCCCTCTGTACCTTAATTTCTTCATCTGTAAGTGGGGATAACAATAGCATCTCCTTCCCAGGCTTGTCGTGAGGATAAAATGAGATAGTTATGAGGCACTTTGCAAATCTTAAAGCACTATATTTGTTGTTCAGTTGTTTCAATCACATCTGACTTTTTGTGACCCCGTTTGGGGTTTTCTTAGCAAAGATACTGAAGTGGTTTGCCACTTCCTTCTCCAGATCATTTTTACAAATGAGGAAACTGGGGTAAACAGGGTTAAGTGACTTGCCCCAGGTCATACAGCTAGGAAGTATCTGAGGCTGGATTTGAACTCAGGAAAAGGAGTTTTCCCAAGACTCCAGGCCTGGTACTCTATCCACCTAGCTACCAAAAGCATTATATATAAATATATAAATGGTAGCTGTTTTATATATGTGTGTGTGTATACATACATACATATATACACACATACATATATACATATTTTATATGCACACATACATATATAAACATGCATATATAATATTAAATATAAATAAGTTATATATACATATAAAACTACATATAAATATTAGCTGTTATTATCAACACCACCCGTAATCCTCATCTAATGGGACCCCCGCCACTCTTACATTCTTTCTCTCTGATGAGGGGTTTTCTCTTACAGAAAACTAACAAAACTGATAGCTATAATCCCCAAGAACTTTCATACCCTTATTATTCAGGAATGTGAAATGAGAATCTGTTATCCTGGCCAGGTAATGGTTCATTCCAGACCTCACATTTTAGGATTTGGAGAAAATCAGGAGGAGGGTAACCAGGATAATGAGATTAGAGATAGGCTGCAAGATTAGAGATTGTTAGCTCAGAGAAGAGAAGTCTATGATGAGCTGTCAGGGGGAAGAGGGTTTGTTTAATTTGACCTCAAAGGCAAGAACTGGAAGCAAAGTTACTGAGAGCCAGATTTTTCATTCAAAAACTTCCTAACCTTCCAGCATTGTTCTAAAGTGGAATAAGACCCAGATTGTGAAGGGCCTTAAATATCAGGCTAAGGGATTTGTAGTTTGTCCTACAATCTAGACAATGGAGAGCCATTAAAAAGGAGGCTCATGACAGCTGTGGCGAAACAAGGAGACCAATTAGGTTACTGATGTAGTTCCAGGTGAAAAGTGACAAGGTCTGATGTATGACATATCTGACCTATGTGAATAGAGAGGAATTAGTGGGTGCAAAAGATGAGGAAGGGTAGCTGATGACCGGACTCCTGTTAGGATGGCTAAGCTGAGGGAGAGGAAAGAGTGAAGGATGTCTCTGAGGTTAGCTAGGTGATAGGGAATGACATGATGGTTGGTGCCCTCGGCAGAAATAGGAAAATTTGGAAACGGAGGTGGGGAGGAGGAGGATAATGAGTTCTATTTTGGACATGCTGAGTTTGAGGAATTCAAGGAAGGAATCCTGGGGAAGGGGAGAGAGAGTCACTGAGTGGGCTGTGGGCACAAACACCTTTTTCCTGCCTGGGGTTGTTTTTATACACGGGACTACCATTTCTCTCGGCCAGGCCTAAGACTAAAATAGACCAGAAAGAAATATTTATAGTTGTACAATGATAAATGATTCTATTTGACAAATGAAGAAAACTGAAGCTCAAAGTGAAGTCTCTCCCAAGGTCATACACATAGTAAGCCACAGAGGCAGTACTTAAATCAGGTCTTCTAATGCCAAGGCTGGAGTTGTTTCCATTGTACAAAGGCTTCCTGGCTTACTTAGATCTTGCTTCTACCACCTGTCTTCTCTCTCCCCCATCCCCACCCCCTCCAACTTCCCTACTTCTGGTAGGGTACGCCATTTTTCCAGTCATTCAGGATCAAAACCTTGGAATGATCTTTGACTCTTCCTCCACTTCCCAAAATCTAACCTATTACCAAGTCCTTGTGGATTCTCATGTTTTCTTCTACTCCCATAGCTACTACCCGAGGTCAAGGTGCTTATCACCTCTCATCTGCACTATTACCTATGTCCTAGATGGTCTCCAAAATAATAATAATGTTACCTAATATTTATATAGCACTTACTATGTTCCAGGCACAGTGCTAAGCCATTCACAATGATCTCATCTGATCCTTAAAACCATCCTGGAAGGTTATTATTAGCCTCATTTTACATATAAGGAAACTGAGGCAAACAAGAGGTTAAATGACAAGCTCACACAGCTAATAAGAGGCTGAGGCTGTATTTGAACTCAGGTTTCTTTGACTCCAACCCTGGTGCTCTATCCACTGTACCACATACCACCCTGTTACTTTTGCCAAGCTTTTTCATCCATTTGAAATTATTCTTAATGCTTTGTTTCCAAAACACTTTAATGAGCATGTCTGTCACTCTGTAGACAAAGAGCCTTAAGTGGCTACCTTTAGCTAAAGGACAAAATACCACCTTTTAAAGGTCTTCACCACGTGGCCCCAGTCTACCTTTCCTCATCTTATTTAACATAACTCCTTTCCTGCACACTCCACATTCTTGCCAAATGGCACCAAGTCCATTCATTTTAGCTACCCAATATGCTGGCAATAACATACATTTCCACATCCTTCCCTTCCACTAGGTCAGCTCAGGTAACACTTCCTCCATATGTATGAGTCACAAATCTCCACACTTCCCCTTCAACCTTCTCCTCCTCAAATTTCCTAGAAGCACTTGATCTGAATCTTCCTTAGCCCTTACTCTGTTTTAAACTTACTTACATGTCATGAACTTCCTCTGGGGAACTACAAATTTTTAAAAAATATCTCTAGCCCCCAGCACAGGCACTTTACCTGAACCCACAGCAGGTATTTGAAGTCTGTTGAATATGAATTTTGCAGGGGCAGCTAGATGGTGTAGTGGATAGAGCACTGGCCCTGGAGTCAGGATCTGGCCTCAGACATTTGACACTTACTAGCTGTGTGACCCTGGGCAAGTCACTTAACCCCACTGACTAGCCAAAAAGAAAAAAAAAAACCTAAATTTGAATTTTGCCCCAGTTTTAAACATTGCACCAACTTTTAAGTTCAGATCAACTTACATTCTTAAAAAAAAATCTGAACTTTATACTGTAGATTCTTTAAAATACTGGCTTACCTTCAACTATTCCAAGTTCCCCCTGGACTCTTGTCCTAGGACCCTCGTATGACCCTTTGGCCATCTTGTATTTGGGTGATTCAAGTCAACTCACCAGTTCACCTTAATGTGGACACATGCAACAATGATGGGGATGAAAACGACATTAGATTATAGCCTCCCTCATTTCAGAAGTGGAGAAGGCGGCAGGGGAGGGAGGTGAAGAAAGTCAACAGGCACTACTCTGTGTCTAACTGCCTGAGTTGGAGGAAGCACAAATATAGAGTACTAAGTGCACTCCTAGTATCAGAAAAATCATGACGTCCCAGTATTAAAAGGAATTTCGGAGGATTTTGAGTACTCTCATATAAAGCATGAATCCTCTTTCATAACCATCCGTGGTCTCACAGGCTCCACTTGAAAACAGGACAGGAAAGCTCAGTACCTCTGCATAGGAAGCTCCTATAACCAGCCTAGAATGTTTTTTCCTGCAATTTCTGCTCATATAGCCCCTAGTTCTACCCTTTGAGAGCTTAGCTCAACCATTTTAGGCCCCATTCCCAATAAATCCTTAATATATTTGAAGACAGTTTTCATGTCCCATCCTAAGAATTCTTTTCAACCAGACTAAATCTTCATTTCCTTCTAGTGATTCCCAGTGAGTCCCCTTCACCACCCTGGTCACATGACCTGGTGCGAAGGCAAACTCATGCTACACATCGATTCTCTTGCTATAAAAACATTGTGGATTTCAATTTTTTATGTGGCCAGAGCTCATCTCTTAAAATACCAACCCAATTTAAAAACTCTTCAGATTGTTAATGGTAATCACATCTCTTGGGCAACTGCTTAAATTCCTCAGTAATATAAAAGAGTATAACCTTAATTGACTGAAAAGTTCGTTTCCAAAAGGCATATGTTCCTACTAGCAGGAAAATGGCAAAGATAATCCAAAAGATGGTTTGCCAGGTTGGACTTAAGTATTCTGAAAGCCAAGAATCTGAACTCAAAATGAGATTATTCTCTTGCAGCCAGTTCCAAAGTGAGGTGAGAGAGAAGAATCCTGAAGACTGAGCTGAGGGAGATGATGATGACATTTCATCCATATTGCAGCTCCTGGAACTACATGTGTAATATGCAGGAAGAACCTTCCTTCAGAAGCCTTGGGAGTCCAGGTTCGTGTTAGGAGCCCCAGGAGCGTGCCTGGCAAGTACAGGCTGCTCTTCAGCTTATGATGAACTGTGTCATTATGATGTCATTACCCCACAGGCCATTTGATAGGATGACCAAGTCAAGATACTATTTATCTTTCTTCCCCTGTCTCTTCTCCAAATCATTCTATTGTTCTGTTACTCATACCAGGTAACAGCACTTTAAGGTTTGAAAAGTTGTGTAGTGGAAAACTTGTTTGGGGACCTAGGTTCAAAACATGGCTCAGTCACTTAGCTATGAAATCTCACGCAAGTTAACCTCTCCTGGGACTTTTTACTGCGTTTACAAAATGAGGGGATCAAGTTAAATGATCTCTAAGTCATTTCTGTACAGTATCTTCCAACTCTAAACCTATAGTCTTAAATTTATTTTTATTACGACAACCTTGCAAAGTGGTGCATATTATGGTTAATTCTACTCTAGAGAAGGGTATTACTGTGCATGGAGTGCTGGGCCAGATGTCAGTACGGTTCATCTTCCTGAGTTCAAATTTGGCCTCAGAAACTTACTGGCTGCATGACCCTGGGCAAGTCACTTAACCATTTGCCTCATCTATAAAGTGAGGTGGAGAAGGAATGGTAAACCACTCCAGTATCTTTGCCAAGAAAATCCTAAATGGGGTCATGAAGAGTCAGACATGGCTGAAAAATGACTAAACGACTATTCTATAGATGAAGAACCCGAGACTTTTAGAGACTGAACCATATATTCCAGTCATAGCAAATTGAGAGGTCCCCAATGCCAATCACATTTCCCGATTTTCAGTTCAACATTGTCATTCTCACTGAGACCATCAGGAGTGATCATGGAGTGGGATCCTTCTGTTGGGTTCAGTGAGATAGCATGGCACAGTGATGGACAGACAATAAGGAGATGTATACAAGTTGGGCCCTCAAAATTTACTGCATTACCATTTAATACATCTGAATCTTCATACTCAGTCCTTTGTCAGTTGCTGTGTGAAGAAGCCTGAAATATAATCTTTGCTCATCTAGAGAACTCAAGGAAAGAAAAGATTAAAATGCATAGGAGAACAGGAAAATATACAAGTTATGTACTGTATGTTGGGGCAGACTGAGTTCAGAGAAGATGAAGATCAGTAAGGGTTGGAATAATGAAGGTACATTTCATATAGGTTTTAAAGGCTGGATAGGGTTTCAATACGAAGAATAGCGTCAGGAGGGCATTCAGGCTAGGGCAAGAGGAGGACTGGGGCAGAAGTTCACTGTATTTCACTGATGGCCAAGAAGATGCTCTGACTAGAAAACGCATGTTTGCATATAAGATGGGGCCAGAGTGAAAGCCTAGCAGAATTTAGAATTGATAAGGTAGAAAAAAGTTTGGTTTTTTTAGCTTTGGGGTATGTGTGTAACATGGTAACACTGTTTGGGATTATAACATATACATACAGTGAATTGGAGGAGGGGGAATCTAACATCAGGAAGAGGAATAACAGGCTTTTAGCTTTTTGCCTAAAAAAAAAATGAACACTGGTGAAGGGTAAGAAGCTGATGTTTGGGCTAGGTGACAGATATTAATATCTACAGGATATTATAGACCTAAGTTAAAGGCAAAATACAGGGATAGAACAAAAGAATATTGTCAGAATTAACCGAAGCCAAGAGAGCCTGATAATAGGACAAACACTTAACAACTCCTTGCCTGTTTAGCCTAAGCAAAATGGCCTGCTGAAGTTCAGATGAACTACATGTTGTTAAGTGATGCAGTGTATTAACACTCTCCCCAAACAGGGATCAGTCAGTAGTTGAATATCTTATTTTAAATTTAAAATGACTTTGAAGTATCAAAGCAAAACTGAAATTGAAACCATAATTCACAAGTTTATTGGCACTCAGGTGTAAGCATTTCAGTCCAAATAGCAACAATTGAGAAATCAAACTAAGATACAGGATTTGTCTATGATGAACAATTCAGAACAGGAATCATCAGGAATGACTAAAAGCTCTTGATATGATCTCTACAGTTTGGACAATGTCAACCATTCTCTTGTACTTGGAACTTTCTCTTGGCTTCCAAGACATTATTCTCCTACTTCTGTCAGGCCCTTGCTCCTCAAATTCCTTTGCTGAATCATCCTCTTCCTCTCCATAAAGTGTAGGTGCACTCCAAGGCTATGTGCCTTCTTGACCCTCTACATTCTTAGAGAACTCATCAGCTACCACAGATTTGATTAACAATTCTATGCAGATGACTACAAATATACTAGCCTCAAGCTCATTCCCACATCATGTCCATTTGGATATCTTATAATAAACAAGCATTAAGCACCTACCAAGCACTTGAAACACGACAAAAGTTAGACCAGGTCCCTCCCTCAAGAAGCTCACATTCCACCAGGGAAGACAACAGTGTGGGTATGTAGGTATGGTTTTGGGAAGGTATACACTAGCAGCTGGGCAGATCAATAAAGGATTCATGTAGTTGTGAACTGAGGGAAATACTAAGGGACAGAAGTGAGAAGGACAAACATCTGGAACTCAATTTGTTCAAAATGGAATTCCTATGTTCCAATAAACTCATCTCTACTTCAAATTATTTGGTGTTTTTTTTTTTTGGCAATTGGGGTTAAGTGACTCGCCCAGGTTCACACAGCTAGTGTCAAGTGTTTGATCGGAGGCCGGATTTGAACTCAGGCCCTCCTGACTTCAAGGCCAGTTCTATCCACTGCACCACCTAGCTGCCCCTACTTCAAACTATTTCTGTAGAGGACACCACCATCCTTTCAGTCAGCCACTGGTTCCCAATCTGGACATTAATCTTTGACTCCTCTGCTTTACTCCCCTAAATCCAATAAGCTGCCAAATCTTGTCTTCTCCACAACTTTCACACGTGCCTTTCTCTCCACTCATACCCTAGTTTAGGTATGTTATCACCTATTATGACAGCCTCCTAATTGTTTACCCTACTTCTTCCTTTTCTCACATATTCTCCACACCTTCCTATCGCCACTAGAATGGATACAAAATCTTTAGACTGGTATTTGAAGTCCTGAACAATGAGGTTCCCACTTAGTCTTTCCATACTTGACACCCCATCTCCCACCTCTGCGCAGTCCAAACACCCTAGTCCCAAACGCAGGACATTCTCACCCCCCACTTCAATCTTTAAGAATCTCTTAACTTCCTTTGGAACACGGTTTCGGTGCTTCTGTTTAAGTCCTTTCTCAATTCCAGTAGCTGCAAGTATGGATGTATTTAGTTTGCACATACTTTCATTTACTTCTATGTATCTGACCAATTTTAGATCGTTTAGGGAGAGGACTTTCATTCATTTCTCTATAGCCTCACTACTCAGCACTGTGCCCACCTCCCCATCCTCCTCTCAACCCCAGTTTAACTACTAAGCATCGATCAAAATGAATATAGCACAATCTCGCAGTACCACGTATTCGGAGAACGTCAGAGTAGGAAGAGACCTCAAACAAAACTCATTTAGTTCAACACTCATTTTATAGACAAGGAAGACAAGTCCAGAAAGAGAAATGGACTTGCTTAAAAGGTCAGGTCACAAACGAGTTGCAGCATGAGACAACCAGACTGGTTTTCAGACTCCCTCCCAATGAAAAGGAACTGAAGATGAAATTGCTCTTGTCTTCATATGAGATTCTTATCTTGAGAGGGTGACAGATTATTACTCCCACTTTAAAATTAATCACTGACATTTAACTTACCAATAAAGGGCCAGAGTTACCATTAGTAAGCACTTGGTTTGAATCATAGAAATTCTAGGTTGGAAGTGACACCAGAGACCACGTAGACCCATCTGTACCTGAATAAGAATCACCTTTACAATATTCCAATGAGCAGTCACTGGGCTGGTTTGGGATTAGGCTGACTGGGGATCTGAGTAACCAAGAAACTGCAGGGTAAGAGTAAGAACAGGAATATGCTTTATGGAAAGATGAAGTATAGTAGTATAGAGGATATAAAGAAAGCTGGTGCTTTTGTATGCAGAATGGTGAAACAAGTGTAGAGGAGAACATCTCTTGGAGCATTAAAACCTAGGTACTTAGATGGAACTATGATTTCACTAGTGTATTATCCTCATGGTTAAAAAGATCCTGGAAATCTTAGTTCAATTATCTCTAATAGCATGTGCAGAAAAAACCCCCCCAACAAACAGTACTCCCTCTACTTCCTTCCGTTCAAGTCTCTCTCTGCCTGCCATTTCTAAAACTTCACAAAAGGTGTGACATTTTTTTTTTTGGTAAGGCAATTGGGGTTAAGTGACTTGCCCACAGTCACACAGCTAGTAAGTGTCAAGTGTTGGTCTGAGGCTGGATTTGAACTCAGGTCCTCCTGACTCCACGGCCAGTGCTCTATCCACTGCACCACCTGGCTGCCCCAAAAGGTGTGATTTATAAGTCAAAATGGCCACCCTTCACACAAGGCTGGAAGTGTCCTTTTGGTGAGGTTACATAAGAAATTTCAGTGGACTATGTGATATTTAGTTCTACAATTCCAGGCTGCATAAAGTACTGTCCCCTCCCTTTCATTTCCACATTTTAAAACAATGATGATTCTTTTTTTAAAATTTTTTTAACTTAATTTTTTTTAAAGCAATTGGGGTTAAGTGACTTGCCCAGGGTCACATATCTAGTAAGTGTCAAGTGTCTGGTCTGAGGCCGGATTTGAATTCAGGTCCTCCTGAATTCAGGGCCAGTGCTCTATCCACTGCACCACCTAGCTGCCCCTAATGATTCTTCTTTAAAAGAAGTCTAAACCTGGCTGCTTCAGTTAGTCATGACAGGAAAGAAATACAAGAACACATGTCCATTCCATCCTGGGAGTGGCATGAAAACTCTTGCCAATTAAACCAGAAATGGGTGAAAAATTGTAATTTATTGAAACTCAACTCAAAAAATATAAGATGCTGTAGTGTACAATATATTACACAAAGCACCCTCAGGTGCACATTCAAGTCAAGTAAGAACTCTGCCTGCCTCCCTCCCCCCAGCCCTCCCACCCTGGGGCCTCAGTATCTGTTCCATATACAATCAT